ACAATCGAGTATGGCTATTAAGCTGTACAACCGTGTGTGTTAACGGTTGTGTGATTGGTGTATGGGGAAGGGGAAATGAGATGAGGCTTATATAACATCTGCCAATGGGGGGTTGAGGATGAGAAGTGGCTTGCGTAGACTTACTTTCGGAATAGGCAAATTGGTGAAATCTTTTGGATATCCTGTCAGGTTTGGATTTGGGTATCTTGGTGTCTACGCCCTCCCCTTTTAATGTGTATAAATGCTGATTTGGTGATTTGGACTTGGGTAAGCCGTGCGCCTATGTTGGATGAGACAGATCGGTATATAGTGATTTTGTCTTTCTTCGGATGGCTTAATGAAAAAGAGTGACTTTTGTTGTGGATGACTTGTTTTTCAGGTATGGAAATATGGATTGTACATTGATTTCTCTGCATGACTATGATAGGAATACTTTTCATTCAATAATGCTTTTATAGGCTTGTAGTTGTTTCTCTAGTCATTGGGTCTTCTCTTATCAGAGCACACAATTACACATCCGTATACACCAAGCTCATGCTCGAAGGGTGATCCACGTCGTCTGTGTCTGATCGAACATTTGAAGAGCAAAAGTCAAAACAAATTGAGCGAGGAAAATTTCACAGAAAATGCATAGTCAACAATCACACACTAGACGATAAATTCTCAAACACCAGATATCGTACACAGCTTGAATGGAATAAACTTTTGAATTCCTTCTTCAGCTGACATGCAGAAGACTTGTCTAAGCTAACCAGAGCATGTGGCTCGGCCTGCCCTCCATCCTCTTTCGAGGAGCGGGCGACCACTGATCGTAATCTTCATGGTATCGTCTTGAAGCTAACCGTTACTCCACCCCAATGAACAAAAGCAAAAAACTTAGTTCATCTGCCTGACGAGCTGGTTGATGAACTCCTCACGGTTACCAAGGTCACCACCCTCGATGAAGTGCTTGAACTTGCGGGTGCGGAAACCACCGGTAGGGGAGGAGAGCTTGAAGGGCCAGAGGAAGTTGGAGACAGCCTTGAAGTTGGGGCCGACGGTGTAGAGCTCGTGGATGATGTCCTCAATGCAGGTGATGCCGTACTTGCCGAGGTTCTCCTCGATGAGGGCGTTGTCGGTGATAGGCAGGCGCTGCTTGTTGACCTTTCCGTAACCGCGCTTGTAGACAAGCTCACGGACAGTCTTGAGGTTGGGGTATCCGTAGGTGACGAAGGGCTCGACAATCTTCAGCATCTCAGAGGTGGCCTTGGTGAGCTTGACGAAGACACCGTTGTTGATCTGGAGGAGACGGAGGAGCTGGAGAGTCTTGCGCTTCTTGGGGTCGATCTTGTTGATACTGCCAGGAATTAGCATGCGAATAGCCGTTTTGCGAAAATTTTACATACCCCTTGATACGGACGACAAAGGCGAGCTTGGCCTCGGCAGGGACGTAGAAAGAGTTGTCGCGCTTTGCGGCACGCTTGGCCTCGATGATGTCCCTCTCGGCCTTGACGTACTCCTGGTTGTACTTGGCGGCCCTCTCCTTGATGACCTCGCGCTTCTGCTTGTTGGCCTAAGGAAATCTTAGCCAACTGTGCTACTCCTATCTGCTTACGCAGGTTCTGGGAGATTTTATACCTCACGCTTCTTCTTCAGCTCGGCAGCCTGGGAGTCGGTGGTCTTCTGGTGAGCCTTTTGCTTCTTGAGCACCGACTCGGGGACGGCGATGTCATTGTGGGTGGGGATGCTGAGGCACAATTAGCATTACGACGAGTCTGCGATGGCATTGAACTCACGAAGTGCGGGCCATTTTGCTGGTGGTTAGTGGGCTGCCTTGGTGTTGTCGAGACGCTGAAGAAACAAAGTTCGGCTGAGGGAATCGAAATTCATGTGCGGACGCTAGTGGGCGTGCCAAGACATCGAGCCGCGCTAATGCCCCGCTCTATTGGTCCACTCTTCGCCGCCTTCGACATTTTCCTGAGAGCTACCAACTTGCGACAATTGCTGCTAGTTCGCCAAGTTCAGGCTCTACATATTCATATACCTAAAAATGGGACGAGGAGGAGGTCGCGTGAGTTTTCGCAGCATGCGCCACATAGAAAACCCCACTGACTTAATCTAGGGCGGCGGTCGCAAACCATTCCGCGGCAAGAATAAAGGTGGACGCGGCGGCGGCGGTGGAGGACGAGATACTCGCACTGAGCCATGGTCTACAATTGAGCGCAAGAATGAGCTCTTTGAGAGCTACTATCGCATGGGAGGCTTTTTGGACGAGGCAGAATTTGAGGAAATGTGGAAAGCTCTCCAAGCAGACTTGCCCAACAGCTTCCGTTTTACTGGTACAAAGTCTGATGCTCTCGCCGTGCGTGAGATCTTCAAGCAGCGATATGTTCCAGCGATTGCGTCCAAGCATTTCGAGGGCAAGCCAGTCTCGCCCCCCGAACCAGTAGCGGCCTTTCCTGACGAGCTTGTATGGCACATGAAGACTCACAAGAAGATCATTCGACGACATGCGCCTTTTGCGGATTTCCAGAAATTCCTCGTTGCCGAAGCCGCCTCGGGAAACATCAGCCGACAAGAAGTTGTCAGTATGATCCCACCACACTTTCTCGATGTGAAGCCGGGTATGGTGGTTCTCGACATGTGCGCAGCACCAGGTAGCAAGTCGGCGCAGCTGGCTGAAATGATTCATGGCGATGAGGAGGAGAGGGTGCAGCGGGTGGCGAATGGCGAGTCTGTCGATCTCAGCGCAGACGGCGACTACAGCGATGATGGACGCTCGACAGGTCTGCTCATTGCCAACGATTCTGACTACAAGCGCGCCGGCATGTTGGTTCACCAGGTCAAGCGACTCAACTTCCCGAACCTGATCGTGACGCAACACGATGCATCGATATTCCCCTCGATCGAGCTACCCAGCCAGGGCGGCAAGAAGCAGTACCTAAAGTACGACAGAATCTTGGCCGACGTACCCTGCTCTGGTGATGGCACAGCTCGCAAGAACCCCAATGTGTGGCAGAAGTGGACACCCAAGGACGGCCTTGGTCTGCATGGTCTTCAGCTTCGCATCTTGTTCAGAGGTCTACAAATGCTGAAGAAGGGAGGTCGTATGGTATACTCTACCTGCAGTATGAACCCTGTGGAAAACGAGGCCGTCGTTGCAGCAGCCATCGAGGCTTGTGGTGGAAACGCCAAGGTCAAACTCGTCGACTGCTCAGACCACCTCCCGAACCTCAAGCGCAAGCCGGGCCTTAACTCATGGAAGGTCCTCGACACTTCATCCGTGACTGCCGGTGGAGAAAAGACTGCTCACATGTTCACCAATTGGGAGGCGTACCAGAAGGCAAGGACCAAGTACGAGACTGAGGAGCCTGAACGCCAGTTCTCTACCAAGGTCACTCCCAGCTGCTTCCCTCCTATTGCCAAGTCCGAGGAAGAGCGCATCCCTCTTGAGCACTGCATACGGGTCTACTCACATTTGCAGGACACTGGTGGTTTCTTCATTGCTATTCTTGAGAAATTAGATGATATCAAGATTGCGCAATTACAAAGCCCAGAGACCCTCAACAAGGGCGATAGGGCACAAGCTGAGACGACAACCGACTCTTCTGTTCCGACACCAGCGGAGAATGTCATTGAAGCGGACGCTACAAAGACAGACACCGCAGATGACGCCTCTGATATTTCGGCCCCTCTCAAGCGCAAGCTGGAAGAGACCGAAGACACTGAAGCGCCAAAGAAGGTCAAGACCGATGATGCTGCGGAGAATGGAGTTGCATCAGCCCCAGCTACCGAGTCTGTTACAAACGGCTCCAAATCCGCGGTTTCCAAGGGAGCCAGCCTCAAGCCTGAGAACCAGAACCAGGCCAAGGAGTACTTTGAGTACCTTTCTCCTGATGACGCGACCATTGCCTCCATCTTGGACTTCTTCGGCATCGACGAGCGTTTCCCGCGCGACCGCTTCATGGTCAAGAACAAGGAGGGCCTCTCCCTTAACAAAATCTACTACACTTCTGCTTTCGCAAAAACCATCATCTCGCAGAACAAAGACCGTGGCATGAAATTCATCCACTGCGGCGTCGTCATGTTCGTCGCACACAAGATCAAGGATCTAGACCGCACACAAGCCCCATGGCGCCTCCAAAACGAAGGTATCCGCATCCTCGAGCCCTGGGCCAAAAAGCGCATCGTCAAGCTAGAAAAGAAGGAAACCCTTCACCAGCTTATCCGCGAAATGTTCCCCAAGCTCCCCAAAGAAGGGGACACTGGCCTCGGCGAGGTCGGCGAACAGCTCCAGAAAATGGACGTTGGATGCTGCTTTGTCCGCGTGGAGAAGGACGAGGAGCAAGGTATTCCGTTCCGTATGGTACTGCCTCTTTGGAGACATCCAGGCAGTGCGAATCTCATGGTTGACAAGGATGATCGCAAGGCTATGCTTTTGAGATTGTTCAATGAGAAGGATACCGAGATTATCAATCATGTTGCTGATAAGGCGAAGGCGGAGATGCAGGCTAAGGAGGCGGAGGAAGCGGCTGAGGAGGCTGCTGAGGAGGCAAATGGAAGTGATGAGGAAGAAGGCGGTGTCAGTCTTGATGCAGCGGACGGAGAAGATGTGAAAATGGGTGAGGATGCCTAGATGGTGTATCCTCGTGAGTTGAGACATGCATGAGTGTTGGCGTTTTTTTTCTTACTATTTTTTTCATATACTTATCACGTATAGCTTCAGATATTCAACCACGCATGAATGGTACCATGGATTTATGGACTATTTGGCTTCAGAACCCGAATTATTACCGTGACAGCGTGATGTATGAGATGTCAAGTATGTATTCTGAACTAAACTTTACATTCGTGTCCTACCCTCTAGTCGTATCCAGCGTGTCAAGTTCACCAGCACATAAGCACAAGCACAATTCTTTTCTCAAACACCAATCAACCCATAAATTCAAACGGATATCAAATCCCTAATCATACAAAAAAACGTCTCATCTAGCATAATATTCCTCCATGTACCCTAATCATCAACGATAATCATTCGAGTTGTAAGAATTGCGGTTACCCTGGTATCCTCCGCCACCTCCGCCACCACCGCGATGTCCGCCTCGTCCGCCCCTGCTGCCACGACTTCCCCTATCGTCTCTGGGTGGACGATCACTGTAAGGGTTGCTGTTGTTTTGGTATCCACCGCTTCCCGGTGCGCTGCGCCCGAGAATTTCGTCCGCGGGACGGTAGAAGCGTTCGTCACGGAGGGAGCTGTTGTTTGGGGCCTGGCGAGGCGGTGGTGCGCCGTGTTGCTGGTTGGAGTTGGCCATCCAGGCGGGCCGTTGGCCGGCGGGTGGTGGGACGGGTGGAGCGCCGTAGGGAGGAGCGCCGCCTTGCCAGCCGCCTACGCCGGGTGGAGGGACCCAACCTGGGGGTGGGGGAGGTAGGAAGTTCGCGCCGGGTAAAGGAGGAAAGTTGCCGCCGGGGAATGGAGGCGCAAAGTTGGGGGGTGGTGGTGGGTAGCCGCCAGCTTGGCCGCCACCGTAGCCACCTCTATTGTTGTTGTCCCAGTTGCCGCCTCCACGACCATTCTGGTAACCTCCTCGTCCACCGCCATTCTGGTAGTCGTTGCGGTTGTTGTCGTTACGGCGATCATTGTAGCCTCCCCGACCACCTCCGCCTCCACGACCGCGGCCACGGAAGCCACCGCGCTCGTTGGAGCGACGTACCGACTCAGCCTCACCAGGACTAAGGGCTGGTTTGGGGAGCTTGACACCGTCGAGCAGAACAGACTTGTGTGCTCGAGCGGAGGTCACGGTTGGCATTTCATAGTATACCCTATGTGTTGTTAGTGATTTGCTTCAAAGATGTACATTTACTGTAACATACCTCATTGAACGGTCCTGTGTGATTTCAAAATCTGTTACGCCGTCGGCGTCAAACGGTGGCACAAGTTGGCTGTCCATAACAAACAAGTCGTGCGGCTCAACGTCTCCATGTAGCGCTCGACTCTTAGCGGGATCGATCCTGTGCTTTTGCTGACCCTTGCGATACAGAGCCTTTTCTACGTCGTCAAAAAGGTTACACTCTTGCGAGAACATGAGAGTCTCCTTTCCGAATTCGTTTCGCTTCCTCTCATCGTCTGAAAGCTCAGGGTACTTCGTGGCCATAGCGGCAAGTAGTCGCTTCTCGTCAATGAATGGTAAGACGGCGACACCTTGCCAGGCGAACTTTTTGCCATTGAGGTCGATGGGAAAGTCCTCAGGGTAAAAGTCTACAATGGAGCTGTTGGGGTCTTCCATGAGTACACGGAACGGTTCGGGGATGGCATGGTTGGATGCGGCAGGCAAGACACCCATCAGTTGCTCGTATGGATGGAAGGGTTTGCCCTTCTCAAATAGCTTGCGAGGGTCCATGTCTTCGAGACCAACAAAGTCGGCAGCGAATGGGGCATAGTGGTGAGGGAAGTACCATGTCCACGAAGGGCAGCCTTGCATATAGTAGGCCAAGACCCAGCAGAGACCTTCAGCATACTGGCGTGCAACTTTGTTGCGGAAGGCAATGTCGTTGGGTGCAACACCAAACTTTTGCTCGTAGTAACGTTCTTCGTAGCCTTCTTCCCAGAGCTTGATAGTGTCCTCTGGAGTGCCATCATCGTTTTTCTTGGGCTCAGTAGCCTGAGTTGGAGACTCGGGAACGACTGGTGTGTTGCGCCCAGGCGTCCCGTTGTCGAGATCCTCTATGTCATCTGCCTTACGCTTTCCAAGGTGGACAGGTGTTTCAGCACCAGAAGCGGATTCGGAAGCTGGCTCAGACGCCGGCTCAGACTCAGGCTCCGGGATAGAGGTGCCCTCAGCCTTGGCCTTCATCAGCTCCTTGAGCTTGGCAGCCGCGCTTTTGTTGGCTTGGGAATCCCGAGTATGCATAATGTCCTTGTGAACATCGCGTACCTCCTTTGACTGGGCCTGCTTAGGATCAAAGAATACAATGCCTGCACTTGTGTAGGTGTCTGTTGTCTCCTTTGCTCGCTTGAACCCTGGGGCTGAAAGGCCATTTTCGTCGGTTCGCTGGCGTTTGTTGGCATTGTTATGAGCTTCACGTCGAGCCCTGTTAGCTGCCTGGCGGTCTTGGACTTCCTTACGCTTTTTGAAAATGCCAGCCTCTCGGGTGGCAAGAGCTGAGAGAATCTGCTGGACGCGGCGCATATCAGGAAATCCATCCTTAGTCACATAGTCATCCATATCAGCGGCAAGATCTCGCCAGATGCTAATGAGCAAATCGATACCCTGGTCGCGAATTTCAAGACTTGGCAAGTGTGGCAAGAAATCGTTACCGACAAAGAAACACATAAAGACCCAATCATCGAGTGAACGCTCCAAGTCATACTTGAATTTGCGCTTGGGCGTGTCCATTTCGACAGCCAGATACTCTCGCAGGATATTGGTGTGCAGCCAGATGAAGGGCTTGAGCTGGTGTTCAGACGTGGCCCATTCCGCATCAGCTTCTTCTTCAGTGAGCTTCTTGCCATCATCAGGGAATTCACAGTTGGTTCGGATGTGACCTTTGCGACCACAGCGGGTGCAGACCTTGTCCTTACCAGAGTCGAAGAAGACGTCTTCTCTGAGAACACGGAAGTAAGGCTCATGAGTGGCAAGACTCAGCATGATCAAGTCGGCATCCAAGCCGTAGATGACGTGCGATGTATTGGGGTCATGTGTAGGCATAGCGCGTTGAGAGCGAATGAAGTTCATGATTTTGTGTTCTCCTTCACCAGGCACAGATGCATCTGAAATGATGACTTTCATGTCCTTCCACGAAGGGTCGGTTGTGAACTTGTACGCACACCAGTATTGAAGACTCTCGGCAAGAAGATGCATGAAGGGTGTACCAGGGGTGATTGCATTAGAGTCCCAGGTCTTTTCAACAACCTCTTCGAGACTATTAATGTCCTCACCACGGCTGGCCTTTTGTGAGTTGAGGATCTTCTGAAACTCTGCACGCTCATCGTCCTTTTCCTTTGCTTCTTTGGCTGATCGGAAACGACGCGATCGCTGCTGGTTCATTTTGGCACGGGGGGCAACACCATCGACGGCCATGTAGAGTAGCTTACGGGGACGCACCATGCCGAGGACGCGGTCAGTGTACTCGAAAATGGCAAGCATCATGTCAGCCTCAGTCTTGGGCGCGGGCTTGTCTTCTGGATGCGAGCATGGATGCACAATGCCGTTCATGTCGAGGTATAGGTTGTCGAACTCCTCACCGTTGGGATTGGGTCCAGTACGGTCTACGGGGATGACGGCATCACCGACTTTCTTGGGCAGTTCCTCTTGCACGCTTGACACGATCTTGGGGTATTTCTGGCTGAGCCAGCGAAACATGGCGGGAACACCCATTGTGGCGGAAAGCGCTCAGTGGCGCGCTGTGCAGGGGAAGGGTGTGAGGGTTGTACGTAGAGGAATGGGGGAGTGCGGCGATGGCGCAGACGCGTGTGCTAGTGCTCTGGAAGTGTGGGTAGTATTGCGAAGATACTGAAAAGGCTGGAAAGAGCGGCGACAGACGCTTCTATTGATGAAGCGCTCCTTAGAAAGAAAGAAAGAAACTGCCTGGCGGCGAACACTGTGGCCCTCCTACTGTGTGGTGGCGCTAGAGGCGATATCTAACAGCAGCAACAAGAAAAAGAGCCTCCTGGGATCGCAGGCTTCTTTGGCGCGCTGTGGCCGAGTTGCGCGTGGGATTGATGGGGATGGGGAGGGGAGGAGGGGGTTGAGTGTTACGGTGAGAAGTCGACAAAGACGCGCGAGGGTACAAGATTCACTGCCAAGACCGGAAGCCGGGGCTTAGCCGAGCAACGTGCGACCAGGGTGCGGTGTGAGCGAGCCGCAGCCCGTGCGCCGAATTATACGTGGAGCTTCAAGGCACGGGTGAATGCTGTCTTCACCTATGCGGGCGGCAGTCACGTTGACTGAACGAGGACGCCGGGCTGATCCGATGGTTCCTCATACATATACTACATACACTCGCATGAAAATTCGCCCAATCGCTGCCCCTATCCCTGCCATGAAGCCATAGCCCGCCCAAATTCCTTCAAGATGATGCGAGTACTCGAGGCCAACGCGCCTCCCAAGCAGACTGCCACGGATACTATCAGCACGCTGAGCGGGCGCCTGACCAGCGCAACCCTTCTCGAAGACCGCCGCGCTGCCATCCTCGGCCTCCGTAGTTTTGCAAAAGAATACCCCGCCTCAGTCGCATCAGGAGCGCTGCGAGGACTCATTACGTCTCTTACCAAAGATGGTGACGATGTGGACACGCTCAAGGTGGTGTTGGAGACACTACTCATGCTCTTCCACCCCGACGAGAACAGTCCAGAAGCGTCCGAGGAAATAGCCCTGTGGCTGGCCGACCAATTCTCTCAAGTATGTGCTTTCTTTTGTATGCGTGCCTGCTAGTGCTGAGCTTATGGTAGCGACAAGACAACATCACTTTGCTCGTCGACCTCCTGGAGAAGCCAGATTTTTACTCTCGCCTGTACTCGCTGCAGCTAATTCGCGCCATCTCGCAAGCACGACCCCAACGAACCCAGGAATGTGTCCTCACAGCGCCCGGCGGCATCGAGCGCCTCGTCGCAACCCTCGATGATCCACGAGATGCCATTCGCAACGAAAGTCTTGTTGTGCTCAATGACTTAGCGCGCTCCTCATCTGAACTCCAAAAACTATTTGTTTTCGAGGATGCCTTTACCAAGATATTCAATCTGATACATGCCGACGGCGGGCTCACACAGGGTGGCGTTGTGGTTCAGGACTGTCTGAGTTTGCTAGCCACTCTCATTCGCTTCAACGTGTCCAACCAGACCAACATTCGAGAGATGGGTCATGTTGCACGATTCTCTGCACTGCTTCCTGGGGGAAAGAAGCCGAAAAAGGCACGTCCCACTGTAGAAGGCGAGGACGATTGGGTCAGTCCGCAAAGCGATAAGAATGTTTGGGGTCTACTTGCCATCATGCGCATGTTCCTCGTCAAAGGGAGCCCAGGTACACTGCAAAACCAAAATGTTTTTCAACAACATGGCCTTGTCCGTCAGCTTCTCAACATTACTTTCGATCCTGCAACTGCAATGCCCATTAAAATCGAGGCTCTCAACACTTGCGCCGACCTCGTCAGAGGCAATCCCCGACTACAAGAAGACTTTGCCCAAGAGCAGGTTCGGCCCATTGTCGAACCCACCACAAACAGCGTGGCTTCTCCAAATGGCACCGCGCAGGTATACGTTATCGAAGCGCTTCTTAACCTTGTGCTCTCCCCTGCACCCAACGATCTCTTTGATTTGCGCAATGCGGGATGCGAGTGTATCAAGGCTTATTTTTACAACCACGTGCAGATTCAGGAACATTTCCTCAACAGAGCTATCGGTGGCCACGAAGGTGGTGATGAGACGGCTAATGCGCTGACTATATTGATGGCGGGTCCGCAAGTCCCTCCAACCGGCGACCCCTACAGGATTTGGTTTGCAGCAACCCTCATGTACCATCTCATTTTCGACGATTACCAAGCAAAAAACACATTGATGCAAGTCAAAGAAGGCGACGCGGAAAGTGGCGAGGAGGTTGTCACATGTATACAGACATTGACTGCAAACCTGATTGCAAGTCTGCAGCTCGGTGAAGACGAGCGCATCTCAGTCGCCTACCTGATGCTTTTGCTAGGCTGGCTCTTTGAAGATGCTTCGGCAGTAGATGATTTCTTAGCAGAAGCTAGCAGTTTACAAAGCTTGGTCCAGGCTGTGTTGACACCGGGAGAGGATCGTGTGCTGATCAGAGGTCTGTGTGCAGCACTGTTGGGCGTCGTGTATGAATTCTCAACAAGGGATTCGCCAGTACCGCGACGCGAACTCCAGCCAATACTCATCTCAAAGCTCGGTCGCGACAAGTACCTCGACGCCATCACGGGATTGCGACACCACCCTCTTGTGCGCGACTTTGAGGTATTACCTCGCAATGGCGGAGGTGGCAGCAGTTTACCTGACGTGTTCTTTGACGAGACCTTTATAGACTTTTTGAAAGACAACTTTAGTCGCTTGTCTCGAGCGATTGACCGAAATCCGAACATTGAGCAGCATCAGTCGCATGATGGCGTTGATCGAGATGTAGTTGATGCGTTACGTGGCGAAAGAGATGAAAAGGAGCAGACCATCCAAGAGCTTCAGGCACAGCTCATGACTCTAGAGCAAAAAATAAACAACGAACAAGCCGAGCACCGTAAGACACAGCAAGCAGCGGAAGAGCAAAGAAATACGTTAAAACGCATCAACGACAAATTGCACGATGACTTTGACAAGGAAATCGCGAACAAAGACCGCGAGCACCGACAAACTGTACTTGAGACGGAAAACAGGTACAACCTCCAAATTGTTGCGCTCAACAACAAGCTGCAACAAGCCACCAAAGATGCAAACATTGCCGTCGCAAAGCTCAAGCAAGAATATGACGGGCAACTGCTTGATGCAAACAGAACACTAGCTGAGCTGGAAAGTCGACTGGCTGCCTCAGACAAAGCTCGGCAAGAGGCTTCGGAAAAGATTCGCAGCCTTGAGCAATCACTGAACCAGGCACGTGGTGAAGTAGCTAGTATCACAGAAACCCTGCGTAATGCGCAATCGCAAGCCCAAAAGAGCGAGGGTGAGACCAGGAAACTCATGGAAGAAAAGGAAGCGCAGATTAAGAAGCTGAAGGAGGACAAGGAAGCGCAGACCAAGCAACTAAAGGACGAAAAGGAGGTACAGGTCAAGCGACTCGAGGAAGAAAAGGAAGCAAGCCTCAAGCAGTTCAAATTAGAAAAGGATGCTCTCCAGTCGAGCGTCGACAAACTCAACAAAGAGAACCAAGATCTCAAGACCAAGGTACAAGACCAAACATGGAAGGTCAAGGACGCCGAGGAGAAGCTGCGGAAGGCCGAGTCGGGCGCAAAATCGACAAAGGAGAAGGAAATCAAAGAGCTGCAAGAGAAGCTACGCAAAGCCCAAGAGAATGAAAAGGAGAAGACGACCGAGTTGGAAGATCTCATCATGGTACTCAGTGATCTTGAAGAGAAGAGGAGCAAAGACAAGGCATGTTGTAATTTGAGGCTGGATATGGACTATGCTAACGATGACAGGAACGTCTCAAAGCTCTTGGGCAAGAAGTATCTGACGACGAAGAGGACGATGATGATGACGACGACGACGATGAAGAAGATGAGGATGAAGACGAAGATAGTGATGAGGAAGAGGAAGAGGAAGAGAAGAAGAAATAGGAAGTTGCCGTCCGCACGTAGCCGTAGCTCTCTGACGATTCATAGCCTTGGCAGCAGCTCAGAAATACTCATACGTGTTATTGGCAAGAACACTGACTTGAACAGTTCATACATCAACGCCACATGCCATTTGAATGCTCATGCACTAACACAAACTGCAGGCCTATCGAAGCTCTGCTTGCCACTCATGTCCCCCTATCCATACCCTAAAACACCATAGCCCCACCATCCACAATAATATCCATCCCATTAATATACCTCCCCGCCGAACTACACAGCAACACCACTGCCCCCGTAATCTCCCAGGGATGCCCCATCCTCCCCATCGGATTCCTAGCATTCCAACTCGTCCTCGCCCTCTCGAGCCCCTCACCCTCATTCAAAATCGTATCCATGTACCCGGGACTCACACAATTAACTCTAATCCCAAAGCTACTCCACTCCGCCGCCAGACTCTTCGCCAGCGAGAGTAGCGCCGTCTTAGACGAATTATAGGCAGCCTGTGGCTGCGGGAAGTTTGTATGGTGGGCCGATATGCTAGCCGTGAAGACGATACTGCCGCCTGTGCCTTGGTCGCGGAGCTGGCGCGCGATGGCTTGGGCGCAGAGAAAGGAGCCGGTGAGATTCACGTCGTGGGTTCTGCGCCATTCGTCGGCGGTCATGTCGATGGCGTGGGTGCAGCCGACTACGCCGGCGAAGCAGAGGAGTGTGGAGATTGAGCCGAGGACTTTGAGGGTGTCGGTTAGGGCGGCGGCGATGGCCGTGTCGGAGCGGACGTCGACGGCCATGGTGAGGATGCGGGCGTGCGGGAATTGGGTGTGCAGTGTTTTGAGGTGGGAGAAGGCGGCGTCTGGGTTTAGGTCCCAGAGAGCGAGGCCCGTTGCGCCGTGTTCGAGGAGGGCGCGGGCGGCTTCGAGGGCGAGGGTACCGGTGCCGCCGGTGACTTGGGGTGTGTGTTAGGGGGATGTGGTTGTATAGTGAGTAGATGGAGACGTACTGATTGCATTGCCCTTGACTTGAAACCTGTACTGGGCTCTTTGTGCTGCAGTTAGCCCCTCTGGCGGCGGCTGAGGCGCAGTAAGAGGATTATCTGCTGTTGACAGTGTCATTTCTGGCAGTTGTCTGTTGACGAGTGCTGCGCGGTCTTCTCCGTCTCCAGCCATTTTGGTGTAGTATGGATTGGGCAGATGTTTTAACAAGAAAGGAATTGTCTTTTTCCCGGACTTCTCTGAATAAAGTCTACATTTCGGAAGAATATAGAGGTTGTTTTTATATTTGGTGGTCGGACGACAGATGTCCGCGTTTTACTGAGGTCTGGTGGAGCTTCCTTCGAGCTTGAACATGACGTCGCGAGGGTTGCCCCACCCCCACCACTAGGTGTACGTTCATCCGTCTGGGGCTGTGGAAGGTTTGCCGAGCGCCTAGGGACGACCTAGAATAGATATCTGTGTGCTCGGCTGAGTGATCATGGTTTTCTTCATGTGTCATATCCCAAAACTATGCGGATGTCGGCTTGCGTAGAGGCAGTGGGCTGTCAATCTGGACTGGATACGAATGCAGAGTTTGTAAATGTACACAGACAGTAGGATACACAATGTTCAATAACTGTGGACAAAAATGCTATCAATATTACGAGTTTATGGGAAAAAAAGAGTTGGGTATTCTCCAGGAGGGGCCTGTACATGGCCTATCAATTCATATCCAACTCCTTGGTAGACGGCGCAAAAAGCATCTGCACCAAAGCATAGACATGTAGGTGTACTTTTTTGTAACAAAAGCCAGGCTAGGCGCATGCAGCCACAAAATACGAGTGTGCCTCAAAGGGGCAATTTTGTAAAGACCCATGGATCACGGGTGCCCTTCGGTGCCCCTCGTCCCCTGTAGCCGGACACCCAAATAGAGGCCGCAAGTGTGCCGTTGAAAGCGCCCCCAAGTCCGCCATGTGCCGTCGAAGATACTGGATTAGGCAATTATCAGGATAACTGTGGATTGCCCTTCCCCTTCGTGCCCTTTTTCGAGCAATCCATCGTCTCGGATCGCCCAGCCCACCCGTGCAGCCATGTCGACGAATAAGCATTGCATGCCGCTGTCACGTCCACCCACCCCTCGGTGCCCCCTTCACGTTCCCCCTCGTGCCCCTCATACCCATTGATTCCAATTGTACGGTGCCCAGATGCAGCCATGTCTCTGCTCGAACCACTGCCAGAGCTGCTTCTTGTCCAATACCACAGGCCGCCTCCGCCTTGCGCCCGGTCATTGCGCCCGGCCAAGCCTCTCACCGATTCTTGCTAAACCCCGCAAAACAATAGACATCTGGTCGATAACCCTCACCGCAACCCACGGTAGAACGCCCAAAGTAGGAGTTAGTCGCCCAGCTAGGGATCAAAACATGTCGCTCAAACCTCCCCGATAGTTCAAACCCGCCTCTTACTATCCCACTAGCGCCAATGAGCAACGCTCAGGCTAGCTTTACCCGCACCACCATGCCTTGAACACAGGGTATATCGACTTGGTCCTCCCTGCTCCAACACCAGGCCTTGCAAGCCAATTGCTCATGATAGACTGTCTTTAGCTCGTTTGAGCCGACTTCCCGCTTTCCCTGCAGCCAAAAAAAAACGCTGGTGGAGGATCGGAGGCGCACGAGACTTGTAGCAAACAAGGGCCCGTGACGTCGTGCATTATCCAACCACGAGTCAGCATCCGGGACCCGCTTGCCGCGTCTTTTGGCTCTCTCCATCCCACCTTTATGTCAACTTTGTTCCAAAGCCTCCTCCGTTACCATGTTGTCCTAGATCTACGCGTCTCTTCAACTTCTTTTCCTCCTTAGAACTTCCTCCTCCTGCATTTTCCTTCTTGTTCTTTGAGCGTCTTCGTTGTTGCTATTTTTGGGCCGTGGCTTTGCTTGATCAGATGTCTTATCTACAAAACTCGCTGCGGAGATTCCGCCGCACGCAAACTCATAATGTCGACACTTTGCGGTTACAGCCGCTTGCTGAGCTGTCTGGCTCGCTCGGAGACCTGGGGACGTTACTACCGCTCATGACTGCACTGGTTATATCGAATTCGATATCGTTACCCTCCACACTACTCTTCACGGGAGCGGCCAACATCCTCACGGGCCTTTCCTTTGGTCTACCTCTTCCGGTTCAACCCATGAAAGCCATTGCCGCAGTAGCCATTGCACGCAAGTTTTCCCTCAACGAGAACGCAGCAGCCGGGATAGTGGTAGCAGCATTGGTAGGCTTCTTCAGCGTCACAGGTCTGCTCAACTGGGCAAACCGCGTGACGCCCATTCCAGTTGTCAAAGGCATCCAAGTTGGAGCTGGACTCTCTCTATGCCTCAGTGCTGGATCAAACATGCTTCTCCCACTGACTTGGACCGGCCCATGGTGGGGTGACAATCTCCTCTGGGCCCTCGCAGCAGTCCTCTTGCTCCTCTGCACCTTTGCATATCCCCGCATGCCATATGCAATGATCGTCTTCACAACCGGCATCATTCTCTCCCTAGCATCGCCCCAGGACGCAGACATCACAGTACCCGAAGCAGCAATCCCCATTCTCCACCCTTCAAGCCACGACTTCTGGACCGCAATCTCAACTGCTTCGCTCGGCCAGTTCCCCCTCACAATTCTCAATTCCGTCATCGCTGCTTCAGCCCTAGCAGCTGATTTCTTTCCTTCCCCACCTTACCCCATCGCCCCCACCGTGACGGAACTCGGCGTCTCAGTCGCCGCAATCAACCTTGTAGGCTGCTGGTTCGGCGCCATGCCCGCCTGCCACGGATCCGGCGGCCTCGCCGGTCAATACCGCTTCGGCGCCCGCAGCGGCTCAAGCGTTATTTTACTCGGCTCTCTGAAATTCACACTAGGTCTCATCGCCTTTTGGAAATCACCTTCTATCATCACACTTCTCGCTAATATCCCTAAATCTCTGCTCGGTGTCCTGGTCCTCGCTGCTGGTCTGGAACTCGCAAAAGTAGGCGAGAGTGTGAATACCGATGCGCGGGACTTGCGCGTGCTGGAGCGGGATCTCACCTGGGATGGCAAGAGGGTGAGGGAGCTGGATGAGCGGGACAGGAAGGAGAGATGGACGGTTATGCTGGTTACGGTTGCCGCGCTGCTTACTTTCAAGAACGATGCTGTCGGCTTTGTGGCGGGGCTCGCGTGGCATTGGGGATTTGATGTTGCGAGGAGGGTGCAGGGGTGGAGGCATGGCGAGAGTGAGGGCAGGGTGTGGATGACGGTTGGACATGGAAGGGATGAGAGTACGGGCTTGTTGGCGCATACGGAGTCGGATACTGTTGCATAAGTCTAAAGCGTAGGTAGTATTACATTGTAATTCAAAGTATCACATCACATTTCTTCAGCTCCTATCATACTCGCTTTGAATATCTTGCTCAAAGTTACTCAATAATACCAAGTGATACAAATAACCCAAAACCTCTTCTCTCTACGCGCCTCTTCCTCTCCCTCTCCCCCTTCCTCCCCTCCCCCGTCTCTGACCTGGCACCCGCGCCTGATGCCCTCTAGGCACCACCTCGCCCCTAACCCACATCTCCTCTCTCTCCTTAAGATCGATCCAGCGCTCATCTACGGTCCTCCCCGGCACCTCGGCCCTCCTCCTGACCGCCCTCCCCGTAACCCCATCCTGCACCATCAACTCCATGCCAATACACTCGTCAGTACCCTGTTCGTACATGCCCAGCACGAGCGCCGTGCCCGTCGCATTGTACGACGGCCGCGGATCGATCATGTCTGAGTTGCGGAAGTGGACGAGCGACGAAGCGAGTAGGGGGTCTGGGTACGGATCTGCGATGCCGTGGAAGGTTAGGCTGTGGACTGCGCCTTCGGTGCCTGCATATAGGTACGGGGATGTGGGCGAGGGGATGGATAGGGTGTAGACGGGGGATTCTTGGCGGAGAGAGGAGAAGTCGTGGCGGTAGGCGGTTGGGGGTGGGGGTTCGCGGGGGTGAAGGTAGAGGTTCCATCCTTCTGATATTGTCGTTACTGAGGAGACATTGGTGTTGCTGGCGATAGGAGTGGAGGCCTGGGGCTTGGATGGCTTTTTGGGGGTGGACAAGGGGATGGTGGTGTAGGTGCGGGAGCCTGAAAGGCGGAGGTCGAAGACTTTGATCATGCTGTGGACGGCTACGCCTGCTACGATGCGTTGTGTGCCCTGAGCAGCGAGGGAGTAGATTGGGGAGGTGTCGGTTGGGTCTCTGTATATCTGCTCGAAACCGCGGGGAGAGCGCAGGTCGTGCAGGCGGATAAGGCCGTCGTAGCCGCCGGAGAGGAATGTGTTGCCTCCGTCCGAGCTACCGTGTAATGTGCTTGGTATGGGCAGTATTGAGTAAACTGACATAGAGCGCGAAGTGGCTGCGTTGTCGGTGACAATATTAAAGCTGCGAAGGGGCACAGGCATGAGGCCGTCAGGGCCAATATGGTATACCTCGATTGGTTCTACGTGTGCTTTCCGGGCTATGGCGATCTTGTCATTGGACAGGAACTCGCAAGACCATAGCCCGCCAACATCTGTGCCTGCCGATGTCGTCTTGACTTCGGAGGCGGGTTTGATCTTTTCATGCAACGTGTGGTCGCGATCTATAGCATACAACGCTAACGACGAGTCTGCTAGTGCAGCTGCCACCATGGGCGCGCTTGAAGAAGACACCGAAAGACCATTAATACCTCTGCGGCCAGTTTCGTACTGTTGTACCAGCGTTTCTTCTATGCCAGGGTTGACACTAAGCAGCGACAGTTCACCTGATGCAGTCCCGAAGACCATGTCTTCGCAAGCCAAATTCCGCTGATGCGGCCGGAGCAGCTTCAGTCGGGTGATATCATCGCGTCCTTCAAAACTGTCGGGGATTCTGTATGTAAACCACGTGTTTAGGTGTTTGAAGGAGTCGTAAGACCACGTCTGATCAGGCGCCTCTTCCAGATCCTGTTCGCGTTGCCTGATTTTCTCTACGTTTGCACCAGCTTCTTTTGTCCTCAAAATGATTTGCGTGCCCGCAGACCATGCCAGTACTTCTCGTCGCTCTCCCCACCCACCATACATCTCTTCATAGCTGTCGATGCTGGGTTGATAGCCCATAGTCTGCCCCTGTGGAGGTCTCCACCTCTCAGGTCGCCAGGTATTGAGACTCGTTGTATTTCTTGTAGGCTCCAAGTATGCTGCGATGAAGCCTTTGCGGTTCCAGTTACGGTATAGTGTTGTGAGGCCATGGACGGCGACACGAGCATCTGAGTCGAGCCCGCCAAAGCCAAATCGGCCTTTGAGCAAGGCTTTCCATCCGTCGAGCTTTGCAAAGTCGCCCAGACGACGACATACTAGCGAGAGATTGAGGACATCTTTGGGACGGTCAAGATGTCGCGTGATCAGCGAGAGGATCTCATTTGGGAGTGTGTTTAAAGCCGCCATGGTGTGTCCGACGGCGGGTTTCACGGGTGAAAAATATATGGTCCTAGCGATGGGGCGGTCGGGCCTTGTAATAACTTGCTAGGGCCGGTGATGAGCATGATTGCTGGTGGTTAAAAAATGAGTTGTGCAGCGTAGGATGACGACAGGAAGCTGGCTTGGCAGGCAGGCAGGCGTTTGCACTAGTAGCCGGTGAGTCACGGGCCAGGAGGGAAGGATGGGCAAGTTCGCTCTTTGACTGTCTTCTCTTGACCTCCACTCATATACTGCGACTTCACGTTTCAAGCCCACGTCATCTCACCCACGTTGTTCCCAGCAACCACGTTATGGCACCCGATCCCCGGCCGTGCTCCCCCCTTGGTAGCCTTGCTTCAATTAGCCGTCGGAATGCACCCCCAGCACTACTTATCAGCACCCGGCCATGACAGGGCGAAACCGCCTTGGCCGCCACGCTACCAGCCCGAGCCGTAACCGATTAACGCGTCCCTGGCATTAAGACGCGCCAAACAGCCGCTCGCAGAGCGACATCCGGGCTATCGATGTCTGATCAACCAAGTCGCTTCAATGTCCGACTCGGGTCCTTGCCAAGCATCCCCTGTAGACGAACTGCACTGCCATTTATGAAGAACAAACGTGACAGCCCCGCACCTGGACTGCCTGCGGTATATCGTCGGTCTCTGTCGGGCGCACTCGTTTTCTCTATTCTCAGCAATCACCATCCGCGGACCTGGGACTGGCCCTTTGCATGAGGTGTCGTGACGACGGCTTACAAGTGCCAACTTTAACCCCCCTGCTGCCAGCCTCCGCGCGCCCGGTTTGCCAGTCGCAAACACTCTTGCCATTCACATTCGTGCTCGTTTGAACCAACCGCTCTGACCAGACTGACGACGATTGCTTTGCAACACGACCAGGCCAGGCCACGACAGCCATGGTGGCCGACGAGAAGAACGTCTTCGCATTGACCAGCGCTATCGGTGCACTTCGCGATCGGCTCCGGCACGACATTGACGGCTTGCGCCAAATTCACAACCGCCGCAAAGATGGCAATGGATCGCCCATTAATCTTATTGCGCAGCTGACAGCTCTGAAATCCACATATGGAAGCATACAGGACTGGCTTGACAGCAGTGGCAATGACCTGCATCCACAGCTGCTTACGGACTTGGATATGCTCACCCACTCGTCCGATGAGCTTTCACGCTATGTGAATTCGCTCATCAAGACCTTTCAGCAATCAGACTTGCGTGCCTCCGATTTTGCAGCCAAGCTAAAGTATGCGCTTGCTAGCAGGACCATGGGCCGACTGCAGACGGTTGCGCAAAGGCAAAATGATGCTGTGAACCTACTACTTGCGGCATGTCACTGGTGAGATATTTGACCAGCCAGCCTCTGACGTATCAGATTCCTAACAAGCAACAGCACAGCACAGGCGCAACGAAAGATTCTGCTCTACAAAAGTCGCCAAATCAGGCAAGAGGACGTTGCAAATCTCAAACTACTTTCACAGTCCTCAAGATGGAATAGCGGCTGCATAGCAGGACTTACGCAGCTGTCATCCTTCGTCCAGTGGCTAAAGCTCTTGTTCAACAAAAAGTCTGCTCAAAATTCACTCGACAGGAACGTTTCGCCCAGCGATGCAAACTACGAGCACGTCGAAGCAATCAATCGATCAGAAGCAATCGACCGTGCGCTGCAAAGAGAAGCCACTAATCTCCGTCATGAGACCAAGCTCGTCCTCGTAGGGAAGATCAACAGTGGTAAGGATCTTTTGATGCACCAATTGAAGATGCTATATGCAGAGGGCCATCAACCTGCCAGTGAACGCATCAAGCACCGGTGTCAGATCATCCAAGTGGTCTACTCTCTCATGCAATCCATGGCCGACTTGCTCAAAGACACTGGTGTATCCCTGCCGTCCGAGCTGAACCAGCATTTCGCTACCCTACTCAACGAACTGGAGGCTGGTAATGAGGGCATCACACCAGATGCGGCCAAGGCCATTGATGGCCTCTGGTCGAGTCCACAGTTTTCTAAACTGTACGACCACAACTTCGAGATTGACTTCCCCCAATATGCACCCTACTTTGCGCAAGAAGTCGCCCGCATAGCTGATCCAGATTATGTTCCTACAGAAGCAGATATCATTCGCTTGAACCAATCTATGCGCGGCATCAAGGAGTTGCGCTTCAACTGGGATGAACTGGATATTCACCTTTTCAACGTCAAGGAGGGTTTTCCTGATCAATTCCGGGAGCGCTGGTTCCATCAGCTTGAGGGAGCGGCTGCACTCATGTACACCATTGATGTATCCCTGTACGACAAGCCGAGTCCCACCCAACCGAACGAGTCTCTTTTGATGGACGAATTCAGGAGCTTTGAAAGCTGGATCAGTCAGCCCGGATTTTCAACCTCTTCCATCATTATCATATTTAACAACTACACTCGCTTTACCAGAAAGATGCCCCACTCGCCTCTGGAGAAGTTTTTCCCGGATTACTCACCCAGTAAAAGCGAGCCCGAAGTATCCGCGAGGCAGTACATCATGCGCCATCTCAAAACCGTCAACCACCGAGGTTTATTCTTCTATTCCTTCTGGGTCGATCTCGATACCAGCGACAACAAGCAGTTGTATTCTGCACTCAAGACGACACTAACACAGATACAGCAACGCAGGACGGAGGAAGAAGCTCAAAGTTTGACCCGTCCAAGCCCAGACTCGGAAGGCCACTCGAAAACCAGCTTGTCTAATATTGTTCGGACTTATAGTCTGAAGAAGAAAGAGGTGACTGAGATAAGTTGAGCAGATCGGCTTGCCGTGGTGTTGGTAAACCAATAGTGTTTTGTTTGCAGTTTTTGGGTTATGGCGTCTCTGGATACGAAGATACCATGGTGGCGGGTCGGCGGCGTTCTTGCGGAGATGGGCGACCATGTGGCGACCGTTCCGCCCACAACCGAAAGGATTGGGGCGAGCGATGCCTGCATTAGGTGTTTGACAGAGCCAGTGCATATACCCCAGAATGATTTGTCAATGTTTAGTTGTAATCTCCATTGCTCAGCCACACAACGCTCGAAGCCGACCACTGCAGCATTTCCCCGTGACTCTATATATTGACTCACATACGTACGATTGGATGAGAAAGCTCGCTCTTGTAAAATACCTACTCGTATGTTAAATAAAATCCACGCGACTCGTCTTGGCAATGCTACATTCGCTGGCACATCAGTTACAGACGATCGAACTGCTTGCATTCAATGACATGCGCGTCATGCGTTCCTACATATAACTGTTGGGCCAATGGCATGATGGCGATGCCTGGTGCTACATCATAAGTGTTGATTCACGGTGCGTTAGCAAGTATGTGATAAGACTCACCGTTATCCAAGGCAGCCGTACTCGTCCCATGATTGTATCGACTTTCCCGTCGGCAACACTTAGACTGGCTAGGCTACCACCATGTTCTATATTTGGTTGTGATGATTAGATAGGATTACCAACGGCCCGGTCGCAACCTTAATTCCGATCGCTGGTGACACCGTCTCCGTGGCGAAGTCCAACGACAAAGAAGAAAACAATCAAGACTTGTTTTGATGTGACATTGAGGTACACGCAGCTTTGTGCTATTTGGTGCTGGAAAAGGCGGAGTGAGATTCGTGTTGCCCCTGCTTATGCATCACCTAGTCCACTACCATGGCGGACTAGTGGCTGACGGCCTTAGACCGCCACAAACATAGCCTCTTCGTAGCTCAACGTTTTTCCTCCACTACTTGTGCCCACTGCTTCAATGCGCTTCTCCACACCCATCGCGATTCATGTGACAAATCCCATCTGTCGTCACCTCCCCACAGGCGGTATGTCCGGCCCTGCTGCTGCTGGCGACATGCTCCACGTCACCCACCATGGCTTCGCCTGCTCAAGTGGACACTCTTTCATGACGGATCATGCTCGGGTCGCTCTTCCGCGATGATTCAGCAATCCGAAACTCCAGCTTCCCTCGCCTAGCGTACCCAATACAGCAGTAACTAATCACGGATCGTTTACTGATTGAACGGCTACGCGGCATCGAACCGGCATACAGCTTGTAACGTGGCTGGCCAACATGACTAAGACCCCAGAACATGTGCTATGCAGTTCCCCAAGTCTCTGATGATCCGATCTCACCATATTGCGGCGACAATAAGGTTAAGGTTGATGGCGGCAGGATCACAATCTGCATTGCTTGCTTCTGTCTGTCATTTGGTCCAGCTACTATTTTGGTCGTGTTTATTCAGCAGCGCTTAGAAAAGGCCTGATGGCAGAGGCAGGCTGCAGACGTGTTTCGCTTAGCAAGTGTGGCCCCCATTGTTATGTCCAGGGGATTCTGTGCTGCTCGAATGTAACCTTACAACGTCCATTTGGAAACTGATCAGCGGCTCAAAAGCAAGCCCTTTTCAGCACATTTCGTGCACATCATTTCCATACTCCGGTTCCCATTCGTACTTGCTGGCGCCATGAATCCCCCTAGTACCACACTATCGCCAGAGTCATCGCAAAGAGGTCGCCAAAGGACAAGGCAATCGGGAGAGAGCGCAGAGGCAACCGTAAAGCCGAAGAAGGTCAATAGCGAGATCCGAAAGCAACAAAACAGGATCGCTTCGCGTAACTACCGTAAGTTGTTCTCGAGGATAGCCTTTGTATCTCATCTGACTTGTCTTATCGCAGGTGAAAAGCGTAAACGCAAGCTTCAATATCTCCAGCAGTTGATCAGTGATGAGACAGACGATCATCAGGGACATGAGCCATCTCCCGAGCAACAAGAAACGTATACGCCCTCACATTCAAGAAACCACAGCACCATAGGATCAAGCTTATCGCCTTACCAAATGCCCTCCATGCCTTCCAACAGTGGCCTTAGCTCTCCAGAAGCCAGGAGTAAAGTTTCACAGACCCCCATCATGGCAACCACAACCCCATCTTTTGGTGGCCAACATGGTACCGCATCACACGCATATGGTGTCTATTCTTCAAACTGGAACGCAAATCCCTACTCTCCGCCGCCACCTCCTCCAGCAACCACTGCCTGGAACGTGCCACCGGCTTGGACATTGGGATTTGAGCATCCTGTCCAGACCTCTCCACAGCCATCGTTGTACCACTACAGTCCTGGGCCTCCAGCACCCATATCATATCACCAGCAAACACAGAATCTATCACAACAATCATATGAGTACCTCTCCAACGCATACGACTATGGATATGGCTCATCACTCGGGCCACAACACCAGGTAACCCACAATCCCCATGTGAGTTTGCCTACCTCCGCACCTGATTACCAGCGATATCACCCCCGACCGCACTGAGGTTCGCAACATGCCCATCTGCGGTAAATCCGGCGCAGAAACCACGCATGCTGACAGAAGGAACAGTTTCCGATTGGACATGAGCCCTTTACGTTTGAACGATTCGTTTATATTTGAACACCAACAGCTCACACTACTCATATGATCACTTCCTCAAACAAAGAAACAACACTCGAAACACGCGTCATATTTACCGCCCAATGATGCGAGTGGACAATGTCAGATGAGGATTACGTTGCAAAAGTTACGAATTTGGGGCAGCTATGTGGAGACGACCACACTTCAGCTGAACTGCGCACTGAGTCGGCATCAGCTCACCCGACATGGCTATGAGAATGTTTCACACGCCCTCCAACAGAGGTATCTTACCCCTCGCAACATCGCGACGCGCACTACCCGCGACGCTTACGCCAAGAACACGCTACGCCTGAGTACAACACCATACAATGTTCAAGACATGGCGTAGGAGGGGGCACCGGGGGTGTGTGACTCAAGAGCTCCGGAAATTAATATGCGTGTTAGTCATCAAAGTACCGGGAGCTTCTTGCGAACTGCCGACGAGTCTAGTATTCGACTAAAGTCCCATGTGTCCAGTCTAGACTGCAGATGCAGCTGAAAAAAAAGACGTGGACAGGAATCCAGCCAGCATAAAGGGATCCTGACGTCAGCTGACCCCCATTCCTCGGGGCCATCTATCCCCACCAGACAAAAACAACCCCGCCCAGTTTCAGAAACTGTGGTCGATATACAGGGTGCGCTGTGCGTGTGGCTGGTTGCGACAGACGACTCCAGACCGCAACTGACTCGAGTGCGATTTGATGCCAAACTGCAACAGGACGCCCCCGCAAATCATGCAGACCGGTGTAATAGAAATAGATTAAGCCTGGCTGGCTGCCTTGTCACTAGCCACGGTCATGCTGTAGGGACACAGGTTGCTCGGCCTCATCTACACAGACTGAACATCTTCATCTTGCTCATCTTTCGTCATCCTAGCCATTTACTCCAAGCGATCTGTATACAGGAGATCAAAGAACCTTCGAAATGTATTCTGTCAGATACGGCTATGAATGCCAAGGCGTCTGTAGATTCGGCATTGTAGTAACAATTTGTTTTCCGCGGAAAGGGGGGGGGGGAGAGTGGAGAGAGTGGAGGAGAGGATGGAGATTACACAGTTCACATTGACATACGATCACTCGCAGATGAGGAATCATATAGACTGTATACGTGTAAAAATTGAAATTGATAAACTTATCTATATGTAGATTGGAAGAGAAGAGTTGAGCGAGGATAAAAAAGTGTATTGGAATATCAAGTTGAATCCTCTTCGCAACTTCAATTCCTCGCACCCAAGAAAAAAACAGCTCAAGACTTGAATGATTGACGAAACAGACAGGATTCACTACAGTAACATGACTTGTATTCTAAATTTGCAAGCATTGAATCCATCACGTGATATTCCATACTTCTCAACATCACGCTTTCTCATACCCCATCAGCCTTACAGTCACAACAACAACAACAAAAAACACACTATTTGCCAATTTAATATTTTCATTCTTATTTCTGTGCAGCTACCAAAAAAAGCTCGCACATACTTGGATAAAAGGTTCTTTCTTACCAAAGAACCCCCAAAAGTTTGTTACTGTACAAAAAATAAACTACCAAAAAAGAAGACAGACCATTCATAAGCCTTGCTTTCATAAAAACCGAAGGGAGGGGGAAAAGCGGAGAGAGAGAGACAGTGAGGGCAAAAAAGCTTTGCAAACGCCACCATGTTTCCACGCCCCATTCATGCAATATACATGCTAAAATGTGCATTTTTCTTTTTTCAACTAATATCCCCCTTGCCTTTGCTCATCTTTAGTCATGATGAAACTATGCGGGTAGCGGCGGGCCCGGGGGACCCGAGCCATTGCCACCGTTGCCCCTCGGTGGAGGCAATATAGCTGCGGGAAGAGGGTTGTCTGGTATCTTTATGGGGGAATCGGGCATAGCCTTTAGGCGACCGGGGAGGTCCTCGCCCTTGATGACTTTAAGGATTTCTTGCTTGTCCAGGGTTTCATATTGAACAAGTGCATCGGCTAGACGATCTAGCTCGGTGCGTTTCGATTGAAGTAGCTCTCGTGCGCTTAACTTTGCCTCATCTATCAAACGTCGGACTTCATCGTCGATGAGTCGCTTAGTCTCGGGGGAGACCATTTCGTAGTTGGACTTGAAGTCGACATTACCGAGCTTGTCCGAGAACCCACATGCTGTGACCATGTTGTACGCTAGCGAAGTGGCCTGCTGGATATCGCCGGAAGCACCGTCAGCTACATTGTCAGCACCAAAGACAATCTCCTCTGCCATCTTGCCACCCATGGCTACTTGGAGCTGACGAATGTACTGCTTGCGGGTGTGGTGGTTCTCTTCCTGGGGAAGGAAGAATGTAATACCGGCAGCGTGTCCACGGGGAAGAATGGTTGCTTTGTGAACATCATTGAAGCCCTTGGTGAAGAGACCAACAAGTGCGTGGCCACCCTCGTGGTATGCAGTGTGGATCTTGTCTTGGAGCGGAATTGTGCGTGTCTTCTTCTCAGCACCCATTGTAATCTTGTCCTTGGCCCATTCCATATCGTTGAGGGTCACAAACTTGGCCTGAAGCTTCGATGCGCGGATAGCTGCTGAGTTTGCAAGGTTCTCCAACTCTGCACCAGAAAACCCAGGGGTACCGCGGGCAATGGAAGAGAGGTCGATATCGGGTGAAAGACGAATCTTCTTGGTATGATACTTAAGAATGGCCAATCGTCCACTGACGTCAGGAAGCTCAACCTGGACATGGCGATCGAAACGTCCGGGGCGGAGAAGAGCTGGGTCTAGAAGTTCAGGGTGGTTCGTTGCGGCAATGAAGATGACACCGGTGCTTTGATCAAAACCGTCGAGATCATTGAGAAGCTGGTTCAGAGTTTGGCGGTGGTAGTTGGCATCGCGGGACTTTCGCTTTCCGCCTACAGCATCCAACTCGTCGATGAACACGATGGCAGGCGCCTTGGAACGAGCAGCAGTAAAGAGTTCGCGGACGCGCTTCGCTCCGACACCAACGTAGACTTCGTCGAATTCAGAACCAGACATGTAGAAGAAGGGGACGCCAGCTTCGCCCGCGCAAGCACGAGCAAGCAGGGTTTTACCAGTACCGGGAGGGCCAACTAGGAGGACACCTTTGGGCAATCTTCCACCGAGTTTGTTATACTTGTCTGGATTCTTAAGAAAGTCGACGACATCGAGGAGTTCTTCCTTGGCTTCGTCGCAACCGTGGACGTCACTGAAACGGGTGTTCTGCTGCTCTGGACGAACCTCGGCAGTAGTGCCACCACCAACCTTCTTGAGAACACCACTAGTCTCAACGAAAAGCGTAATCAGGACCAGGGATACGTAGGCAGCCAGAGCGAAACCGCAGATCCATCGGATCCACTTGAAGATAACGTTCATCAAGGACTCCTCGACAACAACATAGACAGGGTCGGTCTTAACGCCACTGCCACCCTTGGTTCTTGCGACCTGGGCTGAGTTGGCATTTGCTCCGAGAGCCTGAGTGATGGCCTGACGCTTTTCTGGTGAAAGTCCTTCCTGAACAGCACCTTGCTGTCCAGTCTTTGTCAAGGCCTCATTGTAAAGCTTGTCTATGACATCGTTTGTGGCGAAAAGGCCTGTGTTGTACCGGTTGATGATGATTTGAGGCATGTTGGCGCGCATAAGTGCCGAGTAGAAGGAAGCCTGGGACGGTGCGCTGTTGGGGTGCTTGTTGGCAGTCTGTTCCAATCGAGCAAGTTGTTCATGCGAAGGTCCACCGAAGAGCGAGCGTTGTTGTACGAGATTCAATCCGAGCATTCCTGGCTTTGAGAGCTGACGGAGGTGCGATAGAGGGCCGTTGCGAGACATGGTAGAGTGTTGACGTGTCTTGAGGGAGGCGAAGGGTGAAGCGCTAGCGAAAGGGTTGCATAGTCCGACTCGCGATACTGTATGATGTTAGTTGTGCCTTGTGCCTTGTGCCGGATGCCTTTTGTTTTTTACTAACCCGAAGATAACTTGGAAAACGGAGTAGCGCAGGCGGTGGACGAGGAAGCAGATTCGGAGTATTCGGGACGAGCAGGCTGCGCGCATTGCTATATTCATATCAGTATGATGAACGAGGGCGATGGACTTGGATTTGCGTACATGCGCTCCTGCCATTACGGTAGACGGAGATGATCGTGAGGTATGAAGCTGACGGATGCCGGCAGCCATGGGCTTTCGCCCAAAGCCGTGCCAGGAGGATCGCAAGACAGTGGACATGGTTGGCCACAGCTCGGTGGTGACAGAAGCGACGTTCTATACATTCTCTATCAACATGGGGCTCAATGACGCGATGTCGGGATTCGTGGCAAACCGTACCTGGACTGCGCCGGCCGCATAGAAGGCCATAGTGGAGATTGTGCAGCGGCAGAGGCCGCAAAGACTATGTATGATACCAGATGGAGGGGTGAAGGATAGAGTTGCGCAAGTGAAAGCAAAAAGTCGTGGCGGCGAAAGGCCACCGGACGTTGACGTTGATGTTGTCTAGAAAGAGGAAGAATAGGCCAGTGCGCATCGATCGTCTGGTCTTGGACCCTTGCATGACATCGCCCTCCGCCTCCCACCGCCGTGGCTTGACACCTGGCGTTCCCACTCTGTCTTGGCAGCATGTCTACTATGTACTTACATAGTCCACCTCGGATTGTCATTGCTGGGTGCAGTATGCTCTTACAGGTATGGACAAGTCTTACAGTCCCATGCTCTTCCCCAGAACACCGGCGCGGGGTAATGTTTTGCCTAAACGAGCCCATCTATGACAGGCTGCGAAACCGGCGGGGTGTTTCCGTCCAAGACAAGACGAATGGGGAGAAACCATGCAGGAATACAAGAGCAGATAGATGTTTGCTGGTACAACTACAGGTAGGCAATGCTTGCCAGGCCTAAAGTTTATTCAAACATGGACGCTGGGGTTCCGAACAGATACACCTCGGTTGGCGGGGTTAGGGAACCACGGTCATCACTGCGCCCGGAGCATCTCATATAGTTGACCTGATACATTGCCCATCTTGATTCTGGTATACAGCCATGGCATCTCCAAAATGGAAGAAATTGTATGAATATGCAGCATGCGACGTACGCCTACCTTGTCTGTGTATATGCACTTCTCAGATAACTCACCTTGCATAGCTCGCAGATGGCCTACTCAAGCTCCACGTTCCTGGCGCAGGCTTTCTCGCCGACATAAGTATGTGCGCCTGTAACATTTATATGCAACAGACCCACTGAGTCGTGTCCAGGGCCATTGCTCCATACTGCTAGCATTCCGAAGCCTGAGCCGAGAAAGGTGCTTGCGCCTGCATCGACCTTCCTCATGGTCCCCAAAGCCACCAAGTCTTTCCCGACCCCACCACAGATGCCAGGCAATTTACCTGCCTCCAACCTCTCGGGTTCAAGGCCATATGCAGATTATACTGAGAATGGCACCATTGTCGTCATCAGCCAGCCGCCTGGTCAGAGTTGCGCAGTGGTGGGGGGCATAATGGCGGCTCGCATGCAGCATCTTGGAGCAGAGGGTATTGTAGTTGATGGCCGAGTAAGAGACATCACTGCTCTAAACCAGATGAAGTTGCCCATCTGGTCCAAAGCGACGTCTGTGATCGGGGCGGGGGCCGAGACAAAGTTTCATGCGCACAATGTGCCTGTGAAGATTGGGGAGACAATTGTCGAGGCTGGCGACATCATCATGATAGACCCATTCGAGAACGGCGTGGTCGCGGTGCCACAGGCAAAGGTGGACGAGCTACTCGAGCTGCTGCCGAAGCTGGTCGAGGCCGATGAGAAGGTTACTGCAGACGTCGGGAATGGAGTCAGCGTAGAAGAAGCCTTCAAGCGGCACCGGGGTTAGTTGACTTGTGATTGTCGGTAAAACTCTAGATATTTTTCCAATCAGACATAAATGTCCGCCGCACTGGCGACAGGATGTGAGAAGCCACTGAGAGAGCTCGCAATCAGATGACGCCCGCTAACCCAAATGTCGGGTCCGTGCACCGCCCATTTTCGCGATCCCGGGTTCAGAACAACGATTCAAGCTTTGGTCAAATCATCACCTCCAACCCTCCGCACCACCCCCATCCCAACTCGAGGACCCCCAATTGCCCCGGAGCATTCACAATGGGTATCACCGACTTCTTCAGCGACGTTTGGGAGACCTTCTCCCACCCCTCGGCCGACGCCGAGCACCCCGTCCAGGGTGGCACCAGCACCAAATCGCCCGCTTCCGGCACCGACGAGGAGAGCGGCGACGAGGCCGAGGTCAACAAGCAGGACACAAAGTCAGGCGGTTCGGATGAGCAGGGACACAAGCCTTCCGAGGAGCCTGAAGAGGATGAGGATGAGGAGGAAGAAGAGGAGCCAGACCCAAAGGACAAGCTCGAGAAGGGTGAGTGACTCCGGAAGACGCAGAATATGGCAGAAAGCATGGGCAGAATCAATTGCCTATCGGATGGGATTGGATGCGGTGCTACTGGATGGGCATGTGCAGGCACCCACTCAGGCCCAACGCATCATCAGATGGCGGTATAGAAGAGACGCATGACTAACAGTTCATCGCAGAATGCGCCGAGTCCAAGGAATGCCATGGCCCCAAGCACCACTACGATGAGTGCGCCCAACGGGTAACAGGCCAGATTGAGGAGAAGGGCAAGGCCGACGAGGACTGTGTCGAAGAATGTATGTCACTACCGCACCTCGCCTTGACCGTAGAGATGAGCTAATGCCTTATCAGTTTTCCACCTGGCTCACTGCGCAACCCAATGCGCCGCCCCCAAGCTCTTTGCTCAGCTCAAGTAAACCGATCTACCCCACAACATCCACTTTCCCATACCAGCGTATAGATAGTGCATCAGGGTCAGCCATTCGGATTGCGTGCAAATGATCAAGACATTATGGATGACTGTAAATACCATAGTCATGTTTAGAAATATCACTGTACTTCTATCTCTCCCTCTGAATCAAACTCTACACCCAATTGCAAGTGAAAAGACACTGGTTCTACTGATTAAGTGAGAAATCTGGCAACAGATCTACAGTGTTGATATCTACGGATAATGATTGGCAGTTCAGAAAGCACGAAACAAGGAGACTTGGACGCAACACAGAAAAACCCCGATTCTCGCTTTCCTCCACGATTCAATGACACAGACTCCCTGATACATCAAAACCTTATGAAGAGAATGTCCCATTATCATCATCGTCATCATGCTCAGAACCATGAGTTGAACAAGCCTCAGTATAATACCTACGCATGGGAATCCTCCACCACGCCCTCATTCACATCTCTCGACAACCTACCCTCCGTAACCCCCAACCCAACCCTCTTCCACCCAAGCGCTAGCGGCAGCGGCAAAACCGCCAACGCAAGCACCGCCTGAAAAACAAGCGCATTAAACATATTCCCGGGCGGCCTATCTCCCACAGACCCCTGCGTCCCCCTCCCGAGCTTCTTCACAAGCTCGAGATCCACCGGCCGAGTATCCTTCAACGCATCCATAACAACAATAATAATAGCGCCTATAATCTGGCCGCCCACCCAGCAAATCGTCGAACTAACTTCTGGACTCGCTGGGAAAGTGATTTCAACGAGAAACTCCAGCGCAATAGGGAGTAAGGAAAACGAGGCTGCGCCCAGCGCAGCACTGAGGATATACGGCGCGGCAATTGTGCGCGTCTGCGGCGCCCAGATAAAAGCTAGGTAGGCAATTGAAATGAGCGGGGTTAGGATCTTGACGGCGCTGAGGTAGGCGTGCGTGCGATCCACAATAGGACTGACGATTGCGCACGCAACGAGGCCCGTTATGATGAGGACGGCGCCGCAGATACCGGCTTCATCTTCTGAGTAGCCGTATGGATACAGGATTTGGTTCATGAGGCTGGAGAAGGCGTTGAAGAGGCCGACGTAGACGCCGAAGGTGAGGAAGACGATGTAGAAGGCGGGGGTGCGGAGCATGTGGCGGAGGGAATCTATAATGGGGGTTTTGGCGACGGTGGAGGAGGCTGCGGGGGGAGTTGGGGGCGCAGCGGGGATGAAGAGGGAGGGGATGCATGCTACGGAGGCGACGATGGAGATTATGAGGACGGTGGTGGGGAGGGAGCCTATTCCTGGGTTTACGAGGGATGCGACCTTGATGCTGTTAGTTATGTTGTTGTTTCTCTTCGCTTTTTTTTTGCGGATCAAGAAGAGTGAGAACTTACAGCTCCACCGAGGGGATTCGCCAGGCTTGCCAACGCTGTAGCTCCCACTCGTCCAGACTCGGTAAACCACATGTCGCTGTATCTTGTTGGTGCCGCCAACACAAATGGTTGTGCCAGACCTGTTAGAATCTGGCCTACCATGACGACCCCGAACATGCCGCCATTTGTCACCGTGCCTGCATACCTGATCCAGTTACCCGCTAGAAGCAAGACCGAAGCCGCGATGATGGATGGCTTGGGGCCGCGGTGCAAGAGGTAGATGGTGAAGGGGCATGATACGGCGAAGGAGAGAAGAAAAGCGGTAGAAAGCCAGTTGATACTTGACTCTGGTACACCGAAGTAGAGTGACGAAGTAGTGGAGATGGGCGCAAATGTTAACCACTACATTTTGATGTCAGTTTTCCACCATGTGTTATGATAAGGTTGGTGTTTTGGCGCTTCCTTCCTCCCCACGTTCGGGACAACCCCGGGGGACGAGAAATAGCAATTTCCGCCCTCATCTCAAGATAAGAATTGCCAAGGAGGGATCTAACAATGCTGACAGCCTCGCCCAACTTTTTTTGAGGCCCCCTTTCAGTAGACAAAGGGGAAAAGAAAGGAAGGGTGAGCGATCAACTTACATCCCAACTGATGACGATGTTCAGCAGTACCAGCTGCGCCAACCCAATCCACCGTCTCTTGTATACCCTGTAGTGCTCATGACTATAACTCCGTCTGTGCCTGCGAGTCCTAAAGCTCTTTCCCCACGGCGTCTGCCAGCGTCTGCGCACCTCGCCCTCTGGGTCCAAATCGACAACCTCGCCTCTGGTAGGGCCATCTCTATACCGGGATGCGCCGGGCGCAGATTCGTACTCGAATTCCTCAGCGGAGAAGTTGGGATCCTTTAACATCGTGTCGCGCGTCTGCGTGTGCGACAAGTCGTCCATGTTGACCCAGGCTCGACGATGAGGATCGCGCGGTGTCATACAGCAATAAGATAGCAGTAATAGTGGTTCCCAGAGCCTGCGGGGAACACACAACCCTTGGCTTGTGAAACCGGGCGCCAAACTACTAGTAGCAAGATGAAGGTATCGATTGATGGATGCTGGGATGCCGCCCACGCTGCGTGACAAAGGCGATGTCTCCGGATGCGAATTGGTGAGATGCAGGTGCTAAAAAGCACTGGTTTATCCGTACGTATCGTATCGTCCTTTTATCGGTCGGCTGCCTTGCCTGGGTCACGTCCACCAACAGCGAAATCCCTGCTCCTGGTATGCGGACTTTGCATACGAGGACTCGCGTGCGGACGATCCATGTTTTACAATGGGGATGGGCTTTGCCGGCTAATCAGTGGACTTTGCATGGGGAAAGGGGGTCTACTACTAGTCCAGACGGCCTTGGAAACTATGTTTAGGCCTACCAAGTCGGATTGTGTATCGCGGGATGCGGCCTCGTCGCCCGAGCGTTCCACCCTAGACGAGCTTCAACCACACGTCTTTGTGGGTTGATGGCATTCGCTAGTCATGGCTTGCCTGTGCGATATACGAGTTGCATGTGCATCGCGGGGTAAACGTCATCTACTACGCAATTGCAATCACCGCGGTTAACATGTGCAGGTACTGCCACCCATCCGACGTAATCCGCGCAACGAATAGCGCGCAATCGAGGCGCAGTTGGTCGGGCAGGGGTGTTGTTTTGGTGATACTTGCGAAAATGGGTGAGAAAGCTTCCAAGAATACCTTGAGCATTCAATCACAGGTCGAAGCGCTATGTGATTGCGCAAAACAATGCACTGTCTGTCACAGATTGCAATTCTGGAACGATGCATTACTCATGCAAGAAACGAGAGCAAGAGAGAGAAATACCGGCAATAAAGAGTACTGAGTGCTCGGAACAATAGTTGCAAGAGTCCGAACTGATGCTTGGACGGCGGAATACTTGGCAACCCGTTTACGAGCATCACACCCTTCTAACAAAGCCACCCCGAAACTCTATTTGCAAGACACCTTGAGGCGCTTTTAGGTCCTGCTAAATGACGCATGTCACAAGCCCTTACCAGCCTTATGCAATTTCGCTTTTCATAGTCTTCTTCTTTGCTCAGCCTCGGGCGAGCAAGTCTAGGTCAATTCAGTACGTACTCCTTGTGCCTGGGTACTTTTAAAGAAGCACGTGCCCTAGCTTTTCATTCTCTAGTCAACGCTATCGAAACCCTCTTTTAACTATTTCAAGTACATATGTACTCTCGTATCTGCCATACTGCGGACCATCCGTCATAATGGCCGCTGTCCGCCGTTTCACCGGTTCTCGCAAGCTCTTCCATTCCAGCACGTCTTTTCGGTCTTTCTTCCCCGCAAAAATCTCGGGCCGTTGTCCAAGAACCTAGACGGTCTTGCCTCATATTTTTTTCGGTTTTTATCTACCGCCTCCGAGGTTGTGGCAGGTTTCCGTTCGTTAGAGTTTGAGCAGGGATTCAAGTGACGCAAGCAAGAGCGGTTGCTTCAATCTCCATGTTGTCTCTAGCACGTTGGCCCATAGTTGGTGTTAGATGCCGAAGGAGACTGACTCAGGTACCGGTGGATCTGCGGTGCAGATCGCTTACATGTGGATTAAGATCGCCTGAGCAACACAACGTGGTTGGGTAGATCAATGCGGTAAGCGGTATCGACATCACGGGAATCACGATTGTGGTAGAAATTTTGTGAGGAGAATGAACTGCCGTGCTTACTTTTACGGGACAAGGATAGAACACTGTGAACTGTCAACGGTAATTGTGCATTGGGGACGATGACGACTGATCCTGATGGCTGATGATGTTGATGCAGGGTAAAGTGCACAGCGTCATACCCTAAACCCTTGGATATGGATTGGGTAGTGTTGCAGGCCAGCTGTTGTTTATCCGTCATCACAGAATGAACCTTGTTTAGTGGTAGAATGTGCATTGCATGATTAGGTTTGGTCATGGGGTTTACGGCCGTGACTTCTAATCCGCGGAGAAGTGTAGTAGCAGATGTTGTATACGCATGCCCGGATCCAGGTAGACTTGTGGTAAACCTGTGTCCCTGACTCTGTGGGTCAACAGTCTTGACCAACTGACGTAGGATTATCAGGGTTTGTTATCACTGATCCACCATGATGGTGAAGCATTGCCTATCTATCCTAGAACTGCATGGCCTTCTCCAGAAACGGGAGGCAAAAGGATCCATCAGTATGATGACGTTACCTATCAGCAGCTTCCTAGTTGTGTCGTCCTCAATCATGACATCTTCTTGAAAGGGACGGTTTTGCTGTCTGCGAAGGAAACAGTATTGGTAGTCTAATCGATCTCAAATAGCACTGCAAGTTTTCCAAAATTGCTTAAGTATGTTGTTACTAGCTGGTTTTACTACCAAACTCGAGATGTCCCTGGCTTTTTTCTGTGATGATGATTCTCGGCTAAATCTGTCCCCGGGCAATGGCTGACTAGAAAACACCGAACCAGCATTGTTACCATCCTGACCTTCAAGCTTTCTAAGACCTAATCCTGAATAAGAGCCATCTGTTTAATATAGGTTTTGCTGTTCCAGCAGTGGTGGCTTTGGTTTGTCAGCTAGGAATCCGGTTGTAACTCTTTTGGCTTAAATAGGAAGGTTTCCCTCTTTATCAGACGGTCAGAAACTCTAGATACCACAGTCGTCTGGTTACATTGGTACAAATAGACAATACAGCAGACTGTATCGTGCCTAAGACGATCAGACTATCTCTGGGGGAACCTGAATAACTGAATAAAAAGTGTGCCCACTACAACAATGCAACTCCTTGATAACATCGACATTACGCACTGTTATTTCGTAAATATTAAGGAAATGAATAATGATATACTCAGTGAAACTTCGACAATCTTGGTACATTGCCACCGCTATCTGTGGTGATCTTTTCTATGACTTAGGCTGATGTTGGACGTAGTTGTTATCTGGCTATTTCAGTTCTCCCAGAGCTATCATGTTGTGCTATTATCTGCTACGTGGCAGATATGTGAACAACTGGCAGACTTGTTTGTCCAAACATACCTGCTTGGCTTTTTGTATCCGATACAACTGCTCAGACTCACGATGTCGAGATAGAACTCTAATATTAGATTAGTCACTTTCCATTATTTTACCAGAATTTGTATGCGAAATTAATTCGAGCAAAGTTCTTTGAGTTTGCCATGGACATAGTATCATTTAGACAATAACAGTTATCGTCAATACAAAGTATCGTACTATGAACCCTATCCTCTTTAACTTCTCCCTCACGAAACCATCGCCTGCTGAGTAGGCAAAAATCTAAAGATACCTAGAGATTACTTAGACCTCGAGTTGGCGATACATGTGATCACAACCTCTCGTCAGACTTACGGACACACCGACTTCAGCCCCAGGGTACAATCTCATCCTATAAGGTTTCCTCACTAACAGAGCACTGACTACAAGTCAGCACAGCTTCAGCACCGCCACCCATCTATTTTTACCGCTCCAGTCAGACCAGCCATCGAGATCCCAGTGTCCATGGACGACAGTATTGTTCACCCAGAAGCAATGAACCCCTTACAACGGCTTGAGAGACAAGACAGAGCACAATCAATCATCACAAAGCGCCGTAATGTAACGCCGATAAACGACACGTATGAATCACACTCCCCTCGGCGCCCAAAGTTCATCCGTGGTGATGTCCTTCGGCCCTTGTCTATTCACAAAACCCCACGTTATCAAAAAAACAATCACCAGTCATACGCACCTCACACTACCTAAACGCCCCCCCCCCATCACCCATTTCCTCCTCCAAATCCCCCTTCCCTACACACCTCTCTCCCTTGTCTCCCTCAGATTAAAATCCCCGGGAAGGGACGGGCCGTAAGCACACCACGCTGCGGCTCCCCCGAACATTCCGTTACGATATTCACCCAACAACCTCAACCCGTACATTACATCTTTCTTCTCACCAGGAACATTAATTACACTCCACGGCTCTGGTAGCAAGATCCCCAGAATATGTGATACGGCAACCCAATCGGTTTCAGCATTCCCGTGGCTCCGTTGTGCCGGAGAAAGAAGGGGGTAGGAGTTGAAAGGGACATGGGTCGGTTGTATCTCCGCCTTTACACTTCACGGTAAACGCACAGGTACACAATAGCGCGTATATCGTATACGCATCTCGATGCCATTGGTTTACTTTGAATCGCGCATCGGTGATTGCATTGTCATGGGGGGATATTTTTTTGATTTGCATCCTTGTGTGATCAAAGTTTAGTTTTGATTGTTTTTTTTTCGATTTTCTGAGTCATTGGCATGGGGAGAGGTGCGTGTAGCAAGAGTTGTTTGCGACACTTTATGACGTTTGTTTCGCATGCAGTTTCCTTTTTTCGAAACATCAAGAGAGCACTGATCTGTCTGGGGAGGCAGTCGGCAGTTCGGGGTGCGTATGGGGGGGTTTGGGACTTTCGGGTTATTTACCATATGGGTGATATATTCGTGGAGGAGAAGGGAGGGAAGGAACATCGGCTTTATAGTCATCGGTTTGATTACATTGAAGTGTGTCTTACTTTCCCCGTCCGACCCAATTGGTTGGTTTCTAGTTCAACTGTCTTTTTTTGTGACTGGTAAGTATTGCCACTTTTCTATTCATACAAAAAGAATATTCGGAGTGGGCGAGGTGAGGCCAAACTCTAATCACATCTAGAGCCATCCAGAGCCAGCTAGATGCAGAGGGTCGCCTTCAACGCTCATACGCATTTTGCACCCTGGCAGTTTCGTACCCATGGTTCTGATAGTAGACAGAGATTGGGCACCACAAGTCAGTAGACGGCGAGGTGAGGCAAACAAGCATTCACACAAAAAACGGTCGGATGCAGCAATGATCAGAGTGTCTGCGATGTGCACCGAAAGCTACCAAGTTCGGGCGACCGTCCCGTCCCGGGCGGAGTATTCTCCGACATCTTGCAAAACGCAGGACACTCGTGCACACCTGGGAAGTAAGCATTAACGGAACAGAATTATCATCGATCTTTCTTCCCCTCGGTCCCTGTGATTACCTACATGCTGAGCCAGGTTTTTTCAGCTACCAAAACTTTATTTTACTCCTAGCACTCACGTAGCTTAAGTGTCAAACACTGAACCCCCATCATCATTCCTCCTTCTCCCTAGTATGGCTCTTAGTCTTTATATCCCGTATTGCAGGGCTGCTAGACTAGTTCACGCTATACTAATCTTAGAGAAGCACGCTAGTGACATCTGGACAACGGATCAGGGTCTAATTAGGGGTTAGTTAGCCAGTCGTAAATTCGAGGGCATCTTTGAGAACCATCACTGTTTATTGTCACACGGTCTCGGAACTGGCGCCGGGTTCCCATTACGCTTCTCCAATTACTATTTGTATACAGATGCAAATTATTCTGCCCTATCAAAAGGGAAACTTGCAGTGTTGATGAAAGCTAATCTTATTCACTATGGAATGTGCCGTCCATCTTGTCTAGGCTGTTTGGGAAGGTGCATCGATCTGCGCATTCATAATAGAGAGGGGAAACACTAGTCAACCCTAGTATGGAGTATGCCCCGAGTTCAGGGACGTGCTGGTGTTGTATGGGATGAGATGAGGTGTGTCGATTAGGTAGTGACTTTCCATGGCCGAATGAGTGAGGCCCCAACGCATCGTCAACGACCAAGACCGTCTTCAAGGGAGCCCTCTGCACGAGGAGATTGCGCGTACGAATATCATTGCATGTTTGGTGGATCAACTTCAAGACAACGGTGTCGAGCAGCTCATATGCACGGCAGTTACTTGTCTTCGTGGTTTTCTCGCACATCTTGTCTGCTTTCGGGGATGATTATCCAATCCTTGTCATACTTATTCTTAACCCCCCACAGCTCACTCTCGGCTCCTGTTGAGGCTGATAAAGAGAGTTAGCTTTGTCAACAGCAGCCTCGTGGCGAGCATAAGGCCCGATCCTCACGAACAGACAACCCCGGTCAAAGGGGGAGGCAAATCTCAACAAACCACATGTCGGTTTGCCATCAGAGACTCTGCGTTAGTCTATCAAACTTTAAATGTCTCTCAGTTCTTTTCGGGCTCTGGTTCGCCTCGTGGCTATGGGTATGCACAGACATGTTCAGCTTGATATTGCCAAGAACGGTCCGATTGTATGTAGTGAAACTACAAGGAAAACATTCGTAACTGGAAGGAGGAGCAAGGGAACACGCTGCTGGGGTTTCTTCTCGTCTTTCGAAGTACAGTCGGCTCTATTCTTCGGACTCAAGGGGTCCCCCAGGAGGGGTTGTGCCACGGGGTGTTTGTTTCTCTGAGGTATAAGTACTGAACAGTCTTCAGCGCTGGAATGGGTAGACTCAGTTCTTTCAAATATCAAATCAAGAACTTCTTTGTACTTGATTGATATTCTTTTCAATTGTATTGCCAACGCGGCTTGTTTTCCTTAAGTGGTACACCACTTCTTCTCCAAGATGTTGGACACCATCACCCGCAACGCTTCACCATGGAGTGCCTTGTCAGTGGTGTTGCTCTCTCTTGTCGTCTACCAAGCGGCAAAGATGATCTACAATGCCCATATACACACTCTACGAAGCATCCCCGGGCCTTGGATATCCTCTGCCACCACACTCTGGATCCGGTGGCAGAGATGGCACGGCAGGCTCTCCTTGGAAGCAGACAAACTCATGGCACAATACGGTCCTATCGTCCGAATCGCCCCCAATCTGGTAATTCTGAATGACCCTGAGTCCGTGGAAAAGGTCTTCATCAGGAAGGATCTGGATACATCACCAACCTCAATCCGTGCTCTACGTGTCGGCGGCCACGACTGGACAGTCACCTACCCCCAACACGACATCGCACGCCAACGCCGCCATCCCGTCATGATCGCAACGACAACCAAGAACCTCAAGGCGTCCCACCAATCCTTCGTCAACATAATTGAGGAAATGGTCCGCGACCTCGGCGCATCTGAGGGCACAAAATCCGAAGACATCGTCCACCACCTCCGCATCTGCACACTCAAAAACTCCCAAATCATCATGGGCGGCTCCGCCGTCGACCTCGACACAAAGGACTTCCCCCGCGTCGTCGGCGAGTACAACTTCCTCGTCGTCTGGCGCCTGTGCCTCCCCTCCTGGCTCTTCGAATGGCTCCAATACGCCCCAATCTTCCCCCACGCGCGCTTCCGCGTGCAATCCAGCGACAAACTCTTCGACCTCGGCGAAGCCCTCTGCAAGCAAGCAGCCCAAGCCGCCCCTGACACCACCAGCACCACCGACACAAACGTCCACAACCTCTTCACCGACCCCACCGCAAAATACCCTACACAATCCTCCTGGTCCAGCCCCGAACTCGGCGCCGAGATGGCCGGCCAAGTGCTCGCAGCCACAGAAACTACTTCATCAGCCCTAGCCTTCATCTACTACGAACTCGCCAAGAACCAGCAGCTGCAAAAGATGCTGTATAAAGAACTCATCGCGCACGAGGGCTACGAAGACCTCGACACCCTCAAGCTCCTCGACGCATGCATCAAGGAAGGCCTGCGCTTCCGTCCCCCCGTCGCCCTCACCGGAAGCCGCTGCGTCCCCAAAGGCGGTCTCGAAGTCCTAGGCTACTACCTTCCCGCCGGCACAGTAGTAACTACGCAGTCCCTCTCAATGAGCCGTCAGCGCCCCGACCTGTTCCCGGATTTCGATGCGTATAACCCGCTGAGATGGATGGATGAGGATGACGAGTTTAGTGCCGAGAGGAGGAAACTGGTCGTGCCGTTTGGCGTGGGTGCGAGAAGGTGCCCAGGTGGCAACATGGCGACATATCAGATGAGGCTTATTCTTGTAGCGACAATCCGGGCCTTCAAGATTACTCTCGCGCCGGAGACGACACCGCAGGCTATGGAGCCGTTTGAGGCGAATGGGTACAGGTCGAGGCACGATCGATGTGATTTGATCTTTACGCCACATACGGTGTGAAGGGGGGTGAGATCGAAGGAAGATGCGGGGGGGGTTTCTTTTTGTAGTTTTTTTTTTCAATAAAACTTTAGATTTTTGACTTCCACTTTGACTTGTTATGAAAATCAACTCATGTTTTAGCTTTTCCTGAGTCAAGTGTAACTACAACACGTTTGCACACCAAGTCAGTACTTCATTCACTGTCACCTCATTATTTCTCTATACCACCTTTCCAATCGGATCCCCGCAGGCCTTCCGCCCCACTACTCCTCATCCTCGTCATTCTCCCCCTCACCAACCGGCGGCGGCGGAAGCGGAATACTAAAATTATCCAGACTCGCCCATTGGCTGCTTCTGTAATGCGCATCTTGCGTCATACTTACTATGGGACTACTCCACTCCTCGGTCGCAGCGCCTGCTTTCCCTGGGCTGGGAAAACTGCTTGGGATAAAAAGGGGAGGGGGCTTGCCCGGCGAAATAAAGACAGGTTGGGAGCTAGCGATGTGGTGAGGAGTAGTGTGTGTGCTTGAGAAATTCTGGATTCGCTTGGTACGAGGTGTGCGCTGTGTGATTTCATCAACTGTGGTCGCTTGGCTGGGACGGGACCCTGATGGATGATGGTGTGGTTGCTGTAAGGGCATTTGTGCGGTGTTTAGAGGTGGTAGCGGCGTGGCGTTGTAGCTAGATGCGTCGGGTATGACACGCAGGCTTGATGATTTGGAAGGGTGTGCATTCACGTACTGTGAGTACGAGAGCCATTCATCCTGTAGCTGTTTCTCTGCCTTGCTCGAATGGGATTCTTGAGTCTCGTGCTGTGGAGATGGGGAGCGGGGGACCTGGACAAACTCGCCGTCAAGGTCCGTGGATTGATGCATGTCGGTTAATACAGAGTGCAGGGAAGGTCGCCTGTCCGATTGTGATGGACGTGGCTCTGTTTTAATTGAAATCTCCTTGTTAGAAGAATCTTCAGGCATAGCCATAGGCGTAGAAGGGAAATTGTCCTGGACGTCTGCCTCGAGAATCGGTGGTGTCGAATGAAGCTGCTTGGTTTGTGTAGGTAGCTCAGCTCTAGGACTTCCAGGCTCTTGCTTGATCCGAGTTGGCTCATCGTGGTAAACTAGATGATCCTTCTGGATAACCCACTCGCTTTGACTATACGGTTGCTTATGGAGGTCTCCTAATTCGGGTGAGGGCTCTTTGTGGACTCGGAGAACAGGAAGACTGTCTAATTCTGGCGATGATTCTGGCAAGATTGTATCACCGGTGTCATTGGCCTCGGCACACGCGCGATCAATCTGATCAATCATAGCCTGAGTATCCGTACCAACGCTTTTACCCAGCGCCGAAAGTCCCACATCCTCGTTAAACTCTTGCCTAGCTCGTTTAGGCAGAGGCGCGTCTTCTTCAATGGCATCGTTGTCTTCATCTTCGGAGTCCTGGATGGTGCTCTCAAATCTCCTCAGTTTTGGTGGAGGTATGGGAGACTTAGACGGCATCTCGAAACTCACTTGTTTCCGCTTTGAGGGGGTTTCTACAACCTTGTTACTAGCGTTTATCGCGCATTGCTTTAGCGGCGACTGATTCAGCTTGTGAGGCGTGAATTGGGTAGACAGTGGCGAGTCTGCTGGTGATTGAGAAGATGGTATCTCACAAACTCGTCGCTTCTCGGGGGTAGACAGGAGACTGAATGGGGCCTTGGCTGACCTCCCTGATTTGCGTGGAACAGATGAGGCTTCTCCTACTTTTAGGACATTTGTCGCCGGATTCCGTCGGGTCGCTCGGCCTGATCTTCTGGAAGGAGCCTCAATAAATTGCGTTGGCTTATAGCTGTCGTCACAATCGTCTTCTACTGATTGCAATACAGGCCCGGCCACGTCTTGCGAATCCACCGTAAGCTGATGCTCCTTTTCTTCAACCAACAGCGATTTTGCATCTTCCTTAACTTTTTCAGTAGTCACCTCCGCACCATCATTGTCCCCTGTCTGATACAAGCCTTGCTGTGCGAGTCGCCGTGCCACAGCATGGCCATACTCATGACCTTCTTTATCTTCGGTTTCAATACTGTTAAGCGCTTCATCCATATCGTCATCTGACATTATCTCCAGCGGACGTATTCCAGACACCATTTGTGTCAGAGTCCGCTGCTTCTGATCCTTGCTTCTTTTGTCACTTTTGCTCTTGCCTCCCCAGCTCAAGCGTGGTGTCTTCTTGACAGGCTTAAAATCAGGCTCTTCAATGCCTGGCAGAGGTTTTCGCCCATCTATCAATTGCGTCATGGTTGACTGCCTTCTCAGTGCGCGCTCTCTATCCATCTTGTTCGCCTCGTTGTCAGATGTACCCTGAATGCGCCGTGTACGACGATGGCTCTTTGACGGCGCAGTTTTGCATTGACGCTTGGGTTTATGTGGAATGTGATCGTCGTGTTCGCTATCTTGCTTCCTGCCCTTCTGCTTCGACTTGTCCGTAGTTTTCTCCTCCGCATCCTCCTCTATATCCGTTTCAAAGTCCTCACCATCATTATCCGAGTCGCTAACAACGCTTATCGTCTGCCTCCTCATCCTATCTGGCAGAAACACCATTTGCTGCTTCTCCTGGTCATCGCGTAGGGGTGTAGAGCGGCGGCGCACCGTCTTACGCTTATGCGGAAAGTGTATTTGCTGTGGTGCTTTCTTCGAGTAATACACTTTGAAATCGGCTTCTCGATTGCTGGTTCGCGTGCGAGGCGTCATGGTGCAACGGGTGGCGAGCAATCGACAAGTAGAAACGTCACAGCGTTGCAGACGCGAACGCGTTGAGGGGCCACTAGCGCGAAATGATGCCTATGGACCATGCGTCATCATCCTGGACCGCATCCTGGACCGCATCCTGGGCCGCAACTCAAACGTCCACCTGTTAGTAACAGATAGACATTGAACGTAAGTAGATGGTATGGAGCCACGAGACTTACTATGGGAGGATACGAGTATTTTCACCTTTACCTATACCGTCTGATAGGCAGTTGAATGGACGAGCAACTGGGATTGAAGAGATGAACTAGATAGGCTGAAAACTGATGTTAGATGATGATCTACTGTACACGAATGTTTTCATCTTATCTTCCAGGCTTGGACGATGGTTTCTGCCCAAGGGTTCACTAGTAATCATGTGCACTGGCACAATATCAATTCAATCATCAGAGTCATCATATCAGCTACCAAAGCAGGCTAGTATTACTTTTGCATTGTACCGTGTGTGGTGCTATACATTCTACTTGTAAAAGCGTATTGCTTGATGCTTCAACTTTTCATGTTGATAGCAAATCTAAGTCTTGATAAAACCAAAATGACATAAAGGTTGTGAAGACAAAGGCATTATTAAACATGCCAAATTAGAAACATGAAAGCCCGGGTTTAGGGGCTGTGAGAAGAGAGACCATATGACAAGGGGATAGGCAGTTTATGCCTTCTCCGACAGTTCCTTGGGTTGTACTGGGGGTGTGCTAGTTCCAGTTATGGAAGCGTAGCGAGCATTATCGTCTTGCTTCTCGCCCTGGCGAGCAGAGTCGAAGTTGTAACCGCTGCCAGCAGGTGAAGGCTCTTCGGGTGCTGTCTGGTTGTTGGCTCCAGCTAGTTGCTTCTCCTCCTTCTGCTTCTTGGGCTTGGGCATGCGGACGAGGTAGTAGAGGACGAGGGCTGCGAATATGTTGAAGACAATGTAGACCCAGAGGATACTAAAAGTACAAGTCAGTGATGCTTTGATACAATGTTGGTCTCTAGCTGACTTACCCGAAGTTACGCCAGTAGTCTTTGTAGTCAGATGAAATGCTCTTAAGGAAAACATTGGTATCCGCAATGGAACAGAAGTTGCAGTCAGAGGTGGCGTTCGGATTAACCACATATCCACCATTAGGTTTAATCCAGGGCTGCATGTATTCGCCGCAGGTCTGGCCTTGATTAGGTTGGACCCGAATGAGTTCGTTTTGAGCGCACTGTACGCGACTGTTGGCGATACCACCGGACAACAGACCAGACACCATATATGTAAAAGGTGAAACACGGTACATGAAGATCCAGAAACGAGGAAACTGTGAGGGTGTAGCGAGAACACCACAGAAGATGAGGCAGAGCGAAAACATCAAGTTGGCAATGTTGCCACCAGTCTCAGCGCTCTCGACACCGGCAATGATCATGTGCGTGAAGGTCGAGGTGAAGAGCAAGAATATCCAGACGTAGAGGAATACCTGGAAACCGCGGAGGTGGACTTTGTCGGTAAATTCGGCATTCTTGTAGAGGCCAATAGGATAATACCAGCAGAAGAAAATCAACACAGCCATGAGCGAGTTCCACGGAAGTTCCACGAAAATATTGGATATCATGAAAGCCTTCCAAGAATAAGCCTTGCTGGGTCGCTCGCGAACCTCATACAAGGCGCGCTGGGTGACAAAATGAGGCATAATCTGCTGGAGCAGTTGACCGAAGATGGTCATCAACATGAAGATACCAAACATTTGATTTTGGAGACCAGTTTGGGTGTTGGGCATCTTGTAGAGCGAGAAGCCGATGAAGAGACCAGAAGCAACACAGAGGAATGTCTTGGAGTAGATGTACGAAGGGCTGCGCCAGTATTGTTGAAAGACACGAAGGGTGGTCTCACGGAGTTGAACCGTGAACGGCGCGGCAAACTCGCGGTAAGCAGCCTTGTCTTCCCGTTTCTGTGCAGACAAGGTACGCTGAAGAGCCTGGGCTTGGCCACGTTCCGACTTGAGCTCAGCGAGATGGCGCTTGACCTCGGCAAACTCTGGGGAGTTTCGCCATGTCTGGTGCCAGTCAATGTCGGTATGCGAACCAGGAGCAGCGCCAATGACTTCCAACATCCACTCGGCCGGGTTAGCATCAGGGGGGCAGGCAGGGCCCCCGTTGCGGACAAAATAGTCAACAAGGACACGCGAGTTCTCACCAACATCTCCATAGTAGACGGTTCTTCCACCACGGGCCAAGAACAACAGACGGTCGAAACGCTGGAACAACATTGCACTAGGCTGATGAATGGTGCAGAGGATAGCCTGACCGTTCTTCTTCAGTTTGTCAAGAAGATCCAGGATAGCCCAAGATGTTTGAGAGTCGAGTCCAGAGGTAGGTTCGTCCAAAAAGAGAAGAAGGGCAGGCTTAGCAGCTAGTTCCACGCCGATGGTAAGGCGTTTTCGCTGCTCGACATTAAGACCTTCACCAGGCACACCGACAACTGCATCGGCATATTCAGTCATTTCCAAAAGCTTAATAACCTCTTCGACGTATTGAACCTTTTCTTCACGAGGTACGTGCGCTGGTTGACGTAGGACAGCAGAGAAAGTGAGGGCTTCACGAACGGTCGAAGTGGACAGATGGAGATCCTGCTGCTGGGCATATCCTAGTATCGAATTAGCGGGTATTCTTCTTTTGACAAAGTAGTAGTAGATGCTCAGCTACAAAGACTTACCTGTTTTGCGCTGGAAGGAATCGTCACGGGGCCGACCGTCGACCAACATTTGACCTGTAATTACACCCATAGTTGTGCGCGTAGCCAAGCAGTCCAGAAGAGTTGTTTTACCAGCACCTGATACACCCATGAGCGCAGTCAAAGTACCGGGTTTAACCCATCCATCGACGTGGTCGAGAATGCGGCGATGCTGTCCTTTGATAGTGATATCGTAGCATACGTCCTCCCATTGGAAGATGGCAGTCTGGCGTTCGATGATGGCGATGTCGTCCGAGTTGTTGTTCTGCGCGACAACGCTGCGGCCAGGATCAGCAGCTTCGAGGTCGTCTTGGGACTTGCTCTTAGGAGCGGCAAACTTGTGGCCGCGACGGAAAACAAGAACTTCACCCTTGGATTTCTTAGAGGTGATGTATTCCGTAGCAACAAGGTAGACCATCATGAGAGCAACCATCAGCGCACAGAGGATTCCAAAGTTGCGCCATTTGTTCTTGACGTAGTAATCGAAAGCCGAATTGATGTAGGCGTCTCCCTCGACGTATGACTGCCCAGCAATGGATCCAATAGCCTGGCAAGCTCGCTGTGCGCCAGAGATACCTTCGTAGGCGCTAACACCTGCAGCACCAGTGCTGGTAGGAATGTAATTTGTGCATTCGAATCGCCTGTCGTGGAACTCGTTGACCATGAGTGATTCGAAGCCATAGCTGACAGGGTTGATGCGACGAATCCACTTGGCCCAACCCCGCATGTATTTCGGAGGGATAGCGAAACCGGTATACATGACAAGACCGAGAATGAGGATGGCAGCGGGCGCCAAAGCCTGATCCAGAGAGCGGGACAAAGCGGCAATAGACCGGAAGAACATGGACATTGTGAGGGTAAGGGTAAAGGAGATGAGGAGGAAGAAGAAGTAGTTGCCAGGTTCCCTTCGGAGATTGGTCATGAAGTACAAGACTAGATTAGTCGTAATAGCGTTGACAATCTTGTAAGGCATGTCCGTCAACATACTGGCAAAGGCTTCGGCAGATGGGTGGTAGAGGGCGTAGCGCGAATGCTTCTCAACAATCGGACGCTGTGCATAGAGCGTAAGAATCTCAAGAGCGGACCCGAAAGCGTTCATAAGGATGGCGAAGAAGAGCAGAGCCGACCGAGAAAAAAAACTCGCTGTCGTCTGTTGCAGATTGTAGAAGACGGACGAGATGATCAAAGCCACTATCGAGTTTGCGATAACCTGTGTCAGGGTGATTGTGGGGTCGGCCTTTAATCGGACGAAGCCTCGCCATAAGCAAAGCTTGACTTGGTCCTTGTAGGTGAGCGTGTAGGGCGATGCCTCGCGTTGGCCTTTTGCCTTTTGAAGCTGGCGAGACTCCTTGAAACGTTCGCTGGACTCACCACCAATGGGGTACTTTTGATCGTAGGCCTCGATATCTCGAAGCAGAGCTGCTCGTTCAGGAGACTCGAGCCAGCGCTGTGCAAACTCATCGGGAGTGCGTGGGACACGGTCCTCAAATCCTTGGCGGACAATACGCTCCAAGGGGCTGGTCATGGATGTCAGGAAATCAGCGTCAGTCTGGCGGTCCGGGCAATGGAAGCCCATGTTTACGAAGTAAGACTTGGCTTCTGTCGTCCTGCCAAAGTAGATTTGTCGGCCCTCATAGAGGACAAGGGCCTTGTCAAAGAGATCGTAGGCAGCCTGAGGGGCCTGGTAAATAGCGACGCAAGCAGTGGTACCATTGATCTCACTTTCCATGCGGAGGGTTTTGCAGAACTCGATGGCGTTCGCAGAGTCAAGGCCTCTGGTTGAATTGTCCCATGCTTGTAATGGTGCTCGGCTGAGGGATGCTTCAGCGATAGTGACACGCTTGCGCTCTCCACCAGAGACACCACGGATAAAGTCGTTGCCAACACGTGTGTTGATGGTGTGGGAAATGCCGTATAGAGCCATGATGACGTCACGCTGGTGCTCAGCATATGTTTGAACGCTGACACCACCTGGGATGTATCTTGGACGACGAGCTTGAGCAGCAAAGTAGAGCGTTTCTCCGACAGTCATCTGGGGGAAGTGAACATCGACTTCGGCTGTGTAGATGGCCTCACCACGATAGTTCTTGTTCATGAGCTCTGGGCTGATACCTGTTGGTTGTGAGCATGTGAGAGAAGTGGTGATAGAATTGAGCAATTGTCAACTTACCCTGGTAATTGAGCTTTGTGTTTTCGTCGACGAAGAAACCGTGTGTCTCGCCAGTAATGGTTTTCAAAAAGGTCGAGCAACCGGACCCAGGGGGTCCCAGCACAACCAGCATCTCACCCGCCTCTACGAGACCATCCAAGTTTCGTAGAATGTTGATCTTGCGACCCTTGTTGCCTCTGAGTTTGTTGTAGAGGCCGACTCCTTCGAGCCAAATATTACCAACACTCTTTTGGAAATCTGCGTCGGAACCAAAACCATGGACGTTGAGGTCGCGGAAGGCAATACCAGCGGTTCGAGTGGGTGCAGCGTTCTCGTCTGAGAGTTGCAGGTTGAGCATGGCTTTTGTCCAGGCACGAGCGTTAAAGTTCGGTCCATTGGGGTCCAGAGCGGAGCCAGGGGCTGCGTTGAATGGGTTTGCTTGTGACGATGATTGCTGACTCTGGACAGTGAGGCGTCGAGCGAGTTGGTGTACTGCATCTTCTCTCCTGTTGGTCTCTGCGATTTCTTCGGCATCACGCATGTTGGCGGACGACTTCTTGTGGTCCGGGTGGTGGTTGCGAGTGGGTGAACCCTCTCGAGCTGCTATGGTAGACGCATCTGATTCGGACGTCTCGTGATCCCGCTCATGGTCATGGTGTTGTTGTTGTTGTTCACTCATGGTGGGCGAGGTGTCGCCACTCAAGGGCCAATGGTAGTCGATGAAAGGTTGTGAGCAGAGCAAGGCTGGATAAAGGTATTAAAAAGAAGGTAGCAAGATAAGAGAAAGAGGCCCGGACGAGTAGTGGGAAACGACAAGGGGAGACATGTATGTTGCTAGAGCTGGAGGAGCAGCTAATAAGGCTCCGGCCTAGTAAAGGATTCAGCCTACCGGGCTGGGCCAACGTATGCACCGTATCTGAGCCAGGCCACCAAGCCGTTTTAGGTGCAAGTGAGTATTCCGCATCCTGTCGTCGGACCAATTGGATAGGCGAATTTACAACAAACAATGTCTTCCCAATGTTACACAGTAGGCACCGCCTGTTGGGCCCGTTCCCTCGGACAAATTGCGCATGTGCCTGCATGCCACGCTTCCGACATGTTCGTGCGGCTCTGGTATCGCTGCCCCTGCGGTCCCCCTGCTCCCTGCCGCGCCGGCGGAGGAATAATTGCACCATATTCGTATATACATGCGTATACGTAACTGTGTATGTTGACGACACGGATATCTGCCGCGAGAGGCCACTTTCCGCTACGATTTGTCCGGCTATCGGTGTAGACAGTAGGACACGAGATTGCTATCGCATGGCCAAGCCCTTGCCGAACCTAGGGGGGAAAACAAAGCCTCCTCGCAGCACCGTATGCAGCGTATTACTTAAGCTGGTCGCGCCGCGAGTGCAGGTGCTGGGCGCCTCGCAGCTCGCTTATCAGGGTGAAAGAAGAGGAGGCGAGCGGTGCTTATCCACTTGGCATTGACCGTCTCTTCGCTTCGCTTGAGCAGTTGGTGAAGGCATTCGCATTTGCATCGCCAGTGTCTTTGGCGGCTTGGGGTCGGGGTCAGAGCTCCAGTGGCACGCAAGCATTCGTGACGGACGAAATTTGGCAGCGATATGAGCTGGGGTAGGGTGGGGACTGAGGCGATTCACGATGGGAATATGTCTAGTAGGTCGGTGCAGAGCGCCATTTCCGGGTCGACCTGCGTAATGGCTCCGGGTATTCTACGCTACGCTGGTAGCGCACAACGGAAGCGGATGTCACTCGTCCCGGGACACACAGACGCCTTGCATCACTGTGCGTGCTCGATGCGACCGGCCATTACACTACGCCCTCCCTCATCAGCCCTATCACCCTCCCGGCCAGCTGTTGAACGGCTTCCAGACGCAATCTGTTGTGTTCCACGGCCCCATGTGAATCTTTCCCGGATACCCCAGTGCCGTATCCGCCGGACCAAGCCAGCACCAGCACTGCTTCGATGACTCGAGCACATACATATCTACTACGTGTACACTGCCACAACCGGCACGGCACCATCTGACGCTGTACATAATCACCTAGTGCCTCTCAACGCACCCTGTACGCTCCGTACTCCGCTCTACTGCTTACACGATATACTACGAGTTACTAACATCTCGCCCCACGACAGTGCAACATGTCACTGCCAGCCCCAGACATTGCTCGGAGTTGACATAGGCCACCTACTTACATTCTTAAACACATAGATTCGCCATCTTGTCACGCTGGCCGCCAACCTGGGCGTATGCGATTCCAAGTGAGCAGTGAGACAAAAAGATCACATTTCCGCTCACCACACAACACCTCCATGGCAAGCCAATAAACACCCATAACCAGTCGATCCGACGACGGCTAGACTCTGCTGCCGAGCGTGTTGCAACAACGCACGCACCCGGCCGTCAGGCGATACTATATAATGGCTCTTTTTCGGTACCGGCAATTTGGTAATTCTTGGTTTTTGCGCTATACAGTCGGGTCTAGTAGTAAGATTTATGGCACTACTGAAAGGCTGACAACCGAAATGCACGCATCTGTATATCGTGAATTCGCGTGTGTACACACCAAACCAAATTGTATAAGTAAGCCAAAAAGCAACACTACCAGCAGCGTCATCGTATAGAAAGAATCTACATACCGCAGTAGTAGGATCTCCCTAGCAAACAGGATAAACCCCAAAAGTACTACTCCTCTAGCAGCTAGAACACCCGAAGAACTACGCGTGGAGTCGCTCCTCACATTACGATGGGGCTGGTGCTGGCACTTGCTACACATCAGGGTTCCCGCCTAGTCCGTTTTCAGCATGCATCCGATGAAGTCGAGCAGGAAAACCATATCCCTGCCGATGAGTGCGAAATCAGACATGCACCTGTTGATGGACCAAAATATCCGGACAAAAGACCGCCCCCACCGAAACGCCCGCGTACAACACCAACACGATGGAAACCACATGCCGCCGAATCTGCCGACGATAAACCCTACACAGTACGATCCTCCACCTATGAAACATGATCTCCAACCGCCTAGCTTCCTTGGTGCGAGCTATGAAACTCATCTTCTGGCTATTCCCACCAGAACAAGGCGTGGCAAGAACAAGCAAAGAGAATACGAGACAGATAGCATCCAACACTATCCGCTCCGAAGTGTCAGCCAGTTGCTGCTTCACATAATATCCCCGATATCGCACAATCTGCCATTAAAAAAAACAATAGTCTGCCAAAACCGCAAATGTTTGCGAAAGCATCAGTAGCGACGCCTTCACCTTTGCACCCATGTAACGTCAATCACCAGATATGCGGGGTATCACGTACACAAATGGCTGAGTCAAAACTCTAATAGCAAAGGCTAATCTCACCTCTCCTTCTCCTACATGATGTCATTCCCTCCATTTATTCTCGCAGAAAACAACCCACTCGTATCGTAAACACCGTTACACCTACTCCTTTCCGCCTAAACAGCAATCCTGCATTGTAAATACCATCACACGCACCCCATATGCCCAAACAAGACACCCGCATCACAAACAATACCGATCACGCCCTCTCCTCTCGCAAATTACAATCACACCCACTCATTCCACCCAAACCAAGCCAAAAAAAAGCCCCACATCGCAAATACCACAAGTACCCCATGACTTCAATTGGCGTACATCCTCTTTCGCAATCAACCGTCAAATCCCTTACAATCCATTTCTCAGCAATGGGGAAAGTGCACATCCGCACACACACTCAGTCTGAAGCGTACTAGAATCGTTGTTTTTTTTTTTAAAAAAAAATCTTTCAGGGAAAAAAAGAAGTACAATATATCTGATAAGCATCTTGTTCATCATGAAGAGCTGACAGGCTTTTTCTTCTTCTTCTCTCGTACAACATATAACCAACGTAGTACTGATCGGAAAAAAATGAACAAATAAAGCAGCAAGTATAATCACGCGCCTTACTCTCAAAAACTAGGGCTATGAACAAGCAACATATGCTTCATCACCAATATGTTTTATTCCTAATTATTGATTCGTAGATAATGGCGTTTTGTGTAAACCTGCCTAAGAAAGAAAAAAAAAGTGTATAAAACGTGTAAAGCGATTTAGCTCCATGTTGTTTTTTTGGGGGGGAAATGTGTGTTCTACTGTTGTGTGAGAAGGGGTAGCCGCGTCTCTCCCCCCTTAGATTTTTTAACAAATTGGGCGTGAGAAGCCCCCCCCCCCCTCCACATACACAAGTAGTAGTAGCGAGAAAATATCAAAGAAAAATCACCGTATAAGACTTTTGTAAAAAAAATTATCCCTGCATCATCATCATCATCATCACCTATCCTTAACACAAGACGTTCGAAATACGCAGTTTATCCAGGAAATGCTCAGAGTGGTAACAAGTCTTACCACTCTGCGCGAACGTTGGACGTTTTTCCTTATTTAATCCGTGTGTGTGTGTAGTGCAGTACCGACGAGGTCTACATACTCTAGTGGATCCAACGAGTACCCTTTACGTACACTACGGCACGTTCTATAGGGCATGAGGCTCTAACATATATTTTTTTTAAAAAAAAAGACTGTTAGAAAAAACTTGAACTTGTGAAATTGTAACAGGGAGATGTATGGTAACTACTCAAGTTCCCCATGGTATACTTGTTAGACTGGATCATAAGTGTCTGTACGAGGGTCAGTGGTAAGGTCTTGTGCACCGGTAGAGTATGTGTAGAAGTATAGTCAAGATATAGAAACAAAAAAATAATCATGATGAGGAGAAACAATCTATATTTCGTCTGCTAACAAAAAAGAGATAATCATCGTCCCGGCATCCAAACTGACCACTCACCATTCCCAACCCTCTCCCCTCTCTGTTCTACCCATGAGAAAAAAAAAGTTCCTCATCACCAAATCCTCTTAGCAACCATAGCATACCGACTAACATGCCCAAACCCCGTCCCCCTCTCCTTCTCCTCCGCCTCCTTCTTCCTCCCCTTCTCATCCCTCTCCCTCAACCGTCTCAAGCCCTCCGCATCATCCTCATAAATCACCTTCCTCTTCTCCTCATCCACATCAACGACACCCCAACCCCCTATACGTTTCCCGCCCGTCTCCACACTCATCTTCTCGCGCTCCTGCATCCCGCGGTATCGGTTGCGGCTAACAGACAGCAGAATCATGCCGAGAAGCAGCTTGAAGGCGAGGAAAAAGAGGTAGATGACGAGGAAGACGATAAGCATGGTTGAGGCGGCGATGAGGTCGTCGAGTGTGTAGGAAAGGGGGTGGTACCAGGGTTTTGAGGCGAGGCCTGCGCCAAAGGATGAGCGGCCAAGGGCACGGCGGAAGACCTGGTCGATATGCGCGAGGGCAGCTGTGGTGGCGGGTGAGGAAGATGTGGCGTCTTCCGAGGTGAGGGATGTGGTTGTTGCGTGAAGGGGTGGTGGCATGTGCAGTGCGATGAACATGTGGTAGGTTTGGATTGCGGCGCGCACGAAGAGGCAGGAGAGAGGTATCACGGGGAGACCGAGTCGGCGGGTTAGGTCTGCGTCGGCGAATGCCTGGGTTTTGTTAGTCAATCGTCATGTCAAAAGGGAACAGTAGAGCAAAGGTCTTACATTTGAATAGTAGTCCTTTGCGAGTACATCAAAGAACTTGCTGTACACCTCCGGCTTGTACTGGTTGAACTTTGTAATGTACGCATGCTTCAGCCAGTCTACAAACATCTCACTGCCCAGCACCAGCAAAAATGGGTTGAGCACCTGAGCAATATACTTGGGGAAGATGGTAAAGCTCATAGGGATGATGTTTGATGCCTTGAACGCCGTTCCAGCCGATGCGTTAGCAGAGCCTGTGAACATGGCCGTCCATGATGTTTCGCTGCTCTGAATACTGAGACCACCGACTTCGACTACATTCCGCATGGCAATAATCAGAAGCATGAGCCACAGCTGGAAGCGTTCGACAATGTCTGCGCAGGTAATCTGAAAAAGGTTCTCCTTCTCAAACTTTTTGAACACTGTGCTCTTAATCTCAACAAACTGATTCGACATGAGCAGTGTGAGTAGAGCGTTCGAATACGAGTTCACAGCTACGTTCAGTGTGATAACCTGATAGAAGAGAGCTGTAGCATGCGCCACGGTGTACACAAGGGCAAGTGAGAACATGCCAAGTGGACGAAGCACTTTACTTCTGCCATCTGGATTCCGATCAAGAGTTTCGCGGGAAAAAAGGCATTCGAGGACGTCCTGGCCCATTGCAGACAACAAGCGGTCACAGACCTCGAGAACGTTGTAAATGACATAAAGCTTGATGGCAGACTGTCCCCGAATGCCATGATACATCCGGCTCGCGTCGAATCGCATCAAAACAAAACAACTTGCAATGACCAGTAAACCTTTGAGGATATCAGCCTTGTGACTTGGTTGAAGCGTAGATGGTGTTGACTTTGTGCGGCGATGACGGAATCGTGAGTTTCGAGGTCGCCGCGCTTTGAGCTCTTTGAGTTCTTTCAGGTCTGGAAACTGGAAGCTCGTTGACGCCCGAGGATCCTGTCTGGCTGTCGAGGTAGCAGACGGCCTCCGCGACATGGATGGAGGCTCTTCTTCAGCTGGAGTAGCAAGAGGTGTAGGCCCATCGACATGCTTTCTTCGTTGCCATAGACGAGGTAGGCCGTTGTAAACGAAAGCCCAGAGATCACGGAATTCTTTGACGATAACTGAGCCCCACCACTTGATCAAGATGGCAATGGCAAGAAGGAAGCGTAGCGGGAGGATGGTCAAGACATGCATCCAAGCATCCAAGCAAGCAAAGGCGCCAAAACCTAGGATGGTTTCAATCTTCAAGGGGATCTTCAAGAAATTGAGCAAGCGCTCATATTTGATCTCGGAAGATTCATAAGGAAACTCGGTGGTAGCAGGTCTATAAATGTACAACGGAGAGGGACGGGTCGCAGAGAGCTCAAGCGAGAGGAAGGTAGGCATTGACATTGGAGGTAGTGGGAGAGCAATTGCGGTTGGTGAGACGTGGTCACGTACATCGCGCGGCTCTCTGTGTCGTTCGTGGCCTTTGGACACGGCCTCCTTGTGCTGCATGTCTAGTGGCGGCGGCACATGTCGACCTTGCCTCCGCTCCTCTCCTTCTTTTGTATGGTTGTGTGCTCGCGACCGTGATCTTGAAGTAGTTCTCCGGACGAGCGCAGGTGTGGTTATGGACCGCGACAAAGGTACTGGTCGGCCATTGCGCAACTCGGTAGAAGGGGTCTTGATGACAAGTGTCTCTTTCTCTTGGGTCAGCTCCCGACCTCGCGAGCCATGTTCCTTGCTGCCATCGTGCCTTGTTCCATTGAGTTCTACAGGCCGGTCCAGAACAGAGCCCCGTGACTTATTGTTACACTGATCATCCATATTCTCTAGTGGTGTTGCGTCCTCGAGCTCGTCCTCGGGAATTGGCGTCGCTGCTCGCACAGGGATACTTGAAGGCTCGCTGGTAAGCTCATGAATCTGGCGGGGGCTGAGCTTGAGCATCTTATCGTGGTCCGATACACTGCTCTTTCTCCGCCCATCTCCAGGACGCTTAATGGGTCGGATTTTCTCATTGGTGTCGGACTGTATAGCCTCTTCATGAATGCTGGGCCTCCTGCTTGTCGTGCGCGAACCAACAGCGCTATTTGTCTCCTCCTTAACGTCATTCGTTATGTTCAGCAACATCTCTTCGTTCTTCGCTTCTTCATGGTTGCGGCGATCGATCGGAGGTGCCACATCGTCTGCTTCTGGTTCGGGTGACGGCGTAGGTGTTGGCAGCGGCTGTTCCCTCGTGTTCAATTCAGCGCGTGTCCGTGTGTCTGCTCCGTTCATGGCGCAAAGAGCTGGCGTCTCCTTGCGAGTGCATCGTGTCCTGTGAGTGGTGACGTTGGGGTGTACCAACGTTCCAGAGCTCGGGCATGGGGCTTAGCGTACCTGCCGAACCGAGGAACCCCAGATCATCCCATTGCATTCGCACTCTGAATGCCATGGAATGGTTCAGCAGCAAGTCACATGGTCATGTCTATATCACTGATAGTCATTGATTTAAAGACCGGACCGTGCAGGTTCATTTTCTGCCGTGTTTGGCAAGACAGTATTACACTCGGAACGGAGCGCTTCGTGCAAAAAGGAACAGCATTCATTTCAAAACTCGAGCGATGTTGTGTTACGTACGTGAACGTAGGCTAAGCCAAAACTTGCAAAGGAAAATTCAGCAAACGGAACTATCGTGCCGAATCCTTCAGCTCAATGCCCAGCTTTTCATATGGGCTGCGGGTACCGTTGAGTCGGACATCCGCACCCTCGACACGAGGGTCGGAGGAAAAAAAAGGTACGCCAACACCATCTCGGATCCAATGCTCCCTTTCGAGCTTAGGGCTGCTCGCAAGACACATGTATGCCTTGACTACGAACTGTCCGACAACGGCGACCACAACCGCGTTTTTTCTTTTTCTTTGTCTGGGGTGACTCTTCCCCGTCTTTCAACCGAAAAAAAGCAAGAAAAGCATATGAGGTCTGCTGATCTGGCTTGAAACTCTCACCGATGAATGTTGGTATTGGTCCTTGAGTGGTGGAATCTGTAGAGAAAAGGGTGGCATAGTCCTTAGCACTGCAATGCATGCAATGCAAGACCAGGATACATTTGTATTGAAATTCGCTTGCAGAGAACAAGGAGGAATCAATCCAAGACTGTGGAAAAAAGTGCGACTGTTACTATTTTTGCGGTGTGAGTAAGAAAGGGATACGATTGCGATCTACCGAGCATGGTTGGTGTTTGATCGACTATCCTCCTTCCTTCTCATCTACACAAACTATTCCGTATGGAAAGACATCCCCTCTCGCCTCGCTTTGAGATCGACAGAGTGTGTAAGCGCTACATCATCCAACGTTCCAGTACATCCGCAGCTTTACCTTGCAAAAAAAAAAGATGCGATAGATGCCCAACTACACACCTGTCCGTGATTCCTGACAAAAGCGGGCAATCGTCCGCGCATAAAACCCCCTTGCCATGACATATACTCGAGGCATACCATTACAACACCAACACGACAGAGATTCACACCGCTACCAGCATTTGGCAGAGATTAGCGTGGGGGCTGATCTTCCAATGGGACAATGCATGGGCAATAAGTTGCTTTCTCGTGGCACACAAGGATTGTAATCCTGCTGTGTGTTGCGCGGAACTCGTGTCGTGCTGGGATAATCCGACCCTAAGCTTACGTGCATGAGGGAAAAAGGGCGGGAATATGCGGTGGAATCCGTATTGGGGTCAAGGTCTCACGTGGATCGTCGCTTTGCCAAGCGGGGATGAGGGCATCTTACTTGCTGTGCTTGACTACCGATGATATCGGCTGCTAGCTTCCGTTTCAGCTGTTGCAGCCACCAGGGACGGGCTGAAGGAGAACGTGTGTATATCCGCGCAAAGGGTCTCTTCCGACGAAGCCGCTACTCTTTGATCTGGGGCATCCGGGCCTTGAGGGCTAGGCCCTCGCGTATGGATTAAAGCTTTGGTGGGTGTATCGTTCCGACGACGCTACGTAGCTTGTGGACTGCAGGGTGGGGACTAGACCCTTGGTGTTAGCGACGGGCGTCTGGGTTGGGAGAGAAGGTCTCAGGATGCAGATAGAGGCGTTAATGGCGTATGGTGGGCCATTGATGCGCCGTCACATGTTAGGCAGTCAGACGTTGTGTAATATCAGAGCAAGGCTGTATATCTGCAAGCTGCATGTGAAGCAAGAGTCAAAGCCAATCAAGGGTGCAGCTGACGGCCAAGGATTACCAACGTCGCGCTGTTGCAGACTGGGGAATGAGATATCAAGTGATGCATATTACAAAGGGGGTTTGATGGAAACCTTAGCTGGGGCCAGCCGCGCGGAGAGCTCGTTTGAGCCAGCGGACGCTTACATGTAGTAGAGAGGTTAAAAACCAGACGACCGGGTCGAAGCGAACCACGGCGACCAGGCATCACGGCACTGTGAGAATGTTTACAATGTGTGGCTTGTGGCAGCGGACTCAACCGCGAAGAGCTGGAAACGAGCATGTGCTTGGTGGGTGGCTGATTACTGGCAAAAGAGTTGGTTTATAAACGCACAGGCTGTGGCGCAACTGAGTATAGGGGGCGTTGGAGTGGTGGTTCTAGTGAAACGAATCGTGGGCCACGACAGATGGTTAGACTTTTTTCAGAAGATAAAGTGCTGTTAGGGCCGATCTTTAGGATTTTCAAAGTCGGCAATACGAGATGGGTCACGCAGGGCGGACAGAAGAGGGAATGAGCTTATGCACGTGACTGCACACATCAGGTCATACTGATGTCTACAGGTAGACACGTATGTATGTGTGTAGTGTAACCAAGCAAGGTGAAAGGGGGAAGTCTTCTAGAAGGTGTCAGATGGCCGACTAGAGTTTGGTTGGGCGGGGCGCAAATGGGACGTGTGGCAGGAACAAAGCGCAAAACGAACGGGCTGCACAAGGTGTCTCTGGTCAGGGCTTGCGGCAGGCTGCGTGGAGAGCTGTGGTGCCACCTGCGATTACGCTTGATTAGCCGGAAGGGGCAAGACAAAAGGCAGGTAATATGGTTCGGAGTGGATATGTGGAACCGAAAGAGTTGGGGGCAAGGTTTTGGCAGTCGTACGGAAGTGCGTAGTGTGTACATAGGGCGGTGGCGACTTTTGCAGCTGGTACTTTATGGCGGTAGCAGTGGTGGAAGAAAGACGACAGTGCGGACGTGGGCTCAGAGGGCCAGGGCCACAAGCTAGCGCAGGTCCTTGCGGAGAAGGCGCCGGAAGGCAAGGCGAGCCAAGCCAACATGTTCTGGATCGTGGGAAGCTTGACAAGACACGTTTTTCTTGTGTGCGCCTCTCTGGCTGTTGTCGAGAGAGACGACATGGCTGGGCGGGCGGGACAAAGGGGCGCCATGGAGGCTATCGGTGCACAATGTTCCGATGCAGCCGTAGGTAGCCAAGAGCTTACGGAGACGCCGTGACGGGTGGTGAGCTGACGGTTCGGTAGGGTGGGAGTGGGAGAGTGCTTAGCACCTGGATACGGTTGCTGGCTGCAGAAGGCGGATGGAACAAGTTTGGAAGCTTTCACAGAGACCCAATCGGGCGTTGCTCCACCTTGCCGTGGGTGGATCGTCAAAGCGACCGAGTTAGGAGAGGGGACAATATCGGCGAGACTTGCCGCTCGTTACAGGTGGGCAGGCCTATGGGGGCCAGCACCGGAGTTTGCACGTCGGTAGGGCAGAGCTAGGTGTACTCTAGAGTAGGCAACTGGATGGGCTGCCTGCCAATGGATGGTGTGGTGTGGTGTGGCGTGGCGTGTCGTGTTGTGTCGTGTCGGGGGAGTGGGAGTGAAGAGGCGTGGGATATGCATGTGTGCATACGTGGATGCTATACTACTGTACCGAGAGTGATATGTGACATGTGTCGCAATAGAACGAGTAGGTCCATAAGCGCATGCAGATCGGACGGGAAGGCAGCACGTCGTGTCTGCCGTTGTCGTGGATGCAAAGGGGTGATGCTTAGGAGCCAGTCCCGTGACGTGCCAGGGGGTGTTTGTATTCACTGGCTTGGCACGACCCGGGCAGTGGATCCACCAGTGTTTCTCCCCCGACGTTGGGTGCAGCGGGCGGGACATGTACTTAAGTAGGAGATGGCATATGTATGTACGTTTTACTATACTACACCGCCATGACGCAGTGTCCCCAGTTATAATGTCGTTGCTACTGCTGCATAGTCGTTGTTGTCACGACCAGGCCTAGATGGTAACATGTACTATATAGAAGCGTGGGTGTGGTAGGTAGGGTAGTAGAGCAAGTAGTGTGGGTTCGCTCTGCTGTGGCTGGCCATGACTAGGGGAGCAGCAGCCGCGCTTGCCCTTTCTGCGGGCAAGGATGCGACTCAAAACGTGCAACCCATGCCTGTGCTCTCGCCCTAGTCCTGCCGACACTAATCTTGCTTGGGCCACGACCTGCGAAACGTGCGCCTGCAAACCCGTCGGGCCTCCTTTCAACTTCTTGTTCATTATCGCTGCGACTCGCCCTTCGACCGCCGCTTGCTGTTGCTTGTGCCTTAATAATCTCACCTGAGCCCTCGCCCGCGGACCTTCCAAGCTTGCACTACTCCCCCCCGTGCCTGCCGACTGCATCCCTCACTCCCACCCCCGCCTAGTCTCCCTCCCACCCCACTGCCACGCCGCCCCAGTCAGCCCGGACTACCCTTCCAACCGCCTGATGCATCTCTAGACATCCACTGCATCTGCCTGTCCGCCTGCTCCTCTGCCATTGTAGCCCCTCATGGGTCAGAACAACGGCAAGCCCGTCGTCTTCACCGACCAAGGTGCGTAATCACCTCCATTCCACAATGTGCTGCGCCAGAGAGTGTGCGAGAGAGAGAGAGCAAAGAGAGCTGTGCGGAACCATGGGAACACAAAAGACGAGCAAAGAAAAAAAAGAAACAAACAAACAAACAAGAAACGACCGCGGGGAATATCCATCTGAAGCACGCGAAACTCGCTCTCGCACTTGCACTTGCACTTGCACAGGCACACATACACGGCTCCTCCAAGTCCCGACTGACATCTCCTGCAGTGAACCTCAACCACTTCCGCCTGCTGCGCGTCGTGGGCAAGGGCGCATTCGGTAAGGTGCGCATCGTCGAGCGCAAAGATACAGGGCTCACATTTGCGCTCAAGTACATACGCAAAGATGAAGGTGTGTACATGCCGTCACACGCTAGCTGCTATCCAGCCATGCTGACCTCGTGTTACAGTCGTACGATCGGAGAGCGTCCGCAACATCATCCGAGAGCGCCGCATGCTTGAGCATCTCAACCATCCATTCCTTTGCAATCTACGCTACAGCTTCCAGGACATTGAATACCTGTATGGCCAATGCCATCGCTCCTGCCTCCACCGACCCAGGCTGACAAGGATAGATACATTGTCGTGGACCTAATGAACGGTGGCGATCTGCGCTTCCACATTTCGCGAAAGACGTTTACAGAAGAGGCTGTCCGCTTTTGGATAGCAGAGCTTGGTTGCGCGGTGCGCTACATACACCAGCAGGGTATTGTGCACAGAGACATCAAGCCAGACAATGTGCTGTTAGACTCCGAGGGACATGTCCATCTGGCAGATTTCGTAAGCTCGGCTGCAATGCGCCTCACCATTCATCTTTGCTGACATGTGCAGAACGTTGCCTCTGATTTTGTACCACACAAGCCGCTGACGAGCAAATCGGGCACACTCGCCTATCTCGCCCCCGAAGTATACGAAGGCAAAGGCTACTCGTGCGAAGTCGACTAGTGGTCGCTGGGCGTGCTCTTCTATGAGTGCATATACAACAAGCGGCCATTTGAAGCCAGCAGCCACGACTCTCTCGCCGCCAAAATCTCAAAGGGAGAACCTACCTATCCCGTCACGAGCCCGCCCGTCTCTATGCCGTGCTTGCATGCCATCAGCTCCCTGTTGGAAAAGGACCGAAGCAGGCGCATCGGCGCCATTGGATTTGATTCGTTCACTGACAACCCTTTCTTCCGGCCTATAGATTTTTATGCGCTCGAGCACAAGGAGATTGAGCCGATCTTCATACCTTCGAGCGATAAGACCAACTTCGATGCGACGTACGATCTTGAGGAGTTGCTGCTTGAGGAAGCGCCGCTTGAGGCCCGTGCCCGCCGGCAGAAGCCAAGAGAAGCTCTCAAGGAAGATGCTACCGAGCAGGAGATACGCGCCGACGAGCTGCACAGGATGATTGAGACGCTGTTTGAGCCTTTCAACTACACTACAGCTGGCGATCAACGGACTCCTGCCGCTGTAGCAGTCGCTGACCCTCAAGACTCTGGCGCTGGCTCACGAACCAGCAACCACAGCCAACCCGACCACAACCCCACCTCTGCGCCATCTCATGGCGACTCCTCTGGACGTCACTATGCCAATTCCAAGTCTCAAGATACCGATCTCCACCCCACCCGTTCCACTACTACCGCACGATCGACACAATCACCAAACGGCAGTCCGCCTCTGCCCACCAGTGTACTGCAGCACACTGCCAACAACAGCTCACCCACATCGCAACGTGGTGAGCACGTTGACTACTTCCCTCACGATGGCTCCGAAGTCCCTACCCCCTCGTTCTCCCGCCCTATGAACAGCCGCCAGCGAGGCTCCCAACGCAGCACAAGCATGGGCGGAGGTGTACAGGTAGTTCTCAATGAGACTGGTTCATGGACCGAGATGGCTAACCAGAGCTCCGCGCTTGTACAGAACGCCCAAACTGAGAAACCATCCGGCATGCTCGGATTCCTCAGTCGCAAGAAGGGCCGGGACAGGAGTCCCAAGGCCAAAGAGAGGGGTGTTCTGGGTAAAGAAGGTGCGCGAGTCATCATCAGCAATACCTGAACAACACCACTCTTTGTTTATTTTGCACGCATCACACACTATCGGCTCTCTCACTCTGTTTCCTCAACCATTGAACGAGTCCCCTTGCGTCACTATCATCATCTCTTTCGATTCACGTCGATGTTTTATTTGGCGGGCGCAGCATTGGCGTCTTCCCTGGGGCATGAACTTTTTGTTATGCTCATTCTCTCTCACCAAACGACCTTTTGCGACGCCTCGGGCCCTTTTATATACGTGGCCCCCTCCTCCTCTCTTGACTTTTTATTGCATCAACATTTTGCATATTTCCCACCTGACCCATCCACCTTTTTTCCCGGAGGCTGGAGAGGAAGAAAAGGTGTGCGATATCTGGGCGTTGTAGGCTTATACTAATCTGCCAAAATGCTGTTTTCCTTCCCTACCTGTTTTTCTCTTTACATTCATACGGAAGTTTGAGATGGAGAGGAAGAGAAGGAAAATGGGAGGAAACAAAGCGGGCAATGGCCTGAAGAAGCTATATGCTATTCATCCAACCCCGCGATTTTTGAGACGAAAGAAGCGGCAGACATATATGAGGAGGTGATGGTGGTTTGTGATTGGCGATGGAACTTGAATGTTAAGAGGTCAGATCAGTCTTAACTGGAGGACTACTTGGTACCTACGACAAACCCAACATTACCATCACTACCACTACCACCATACCCGCCGCTCCTGTAATTTTTTTTCCTTTTCTATGGTTTCGCTGGACGCATATGAGCGTAAAAGAAGTTAATTACGCTACGGAAGGCACACGATGTACGCGCTCATGTCTGGGGAAGTTTGTCTATTTTATCTGTTTTGTTTTTCTACCTTGTTGGACTTGGGGAGAAGAGAGATCCGACAATACGATGGCTCTTTCTCCGAAAGTGGTGAGGAATGCGGCACATGTACGGAATGAAGAGAGTATGGAAGTACAGAAGGTATGGCTGCGGAAAGAAGAACAATAGGGAGGAGAAGGGAAGGACTAGGAGATTGAGGGGAAGTCTGGATTACATAACATTGCAAATACCCATGGTTGTTTTTTACCCCTTGTTCTTCTTCTCTTCTCTCTTTTCATGTCCATCATCTGTTGAATTGACAGTCGTGACAATGTAAATAAACAAATCATCACAACCATGTTATAAATTAGATAACAAGAAGAAGAGATTGGTAGAAGAAAAGGTGGATATTTCGGGTATCGAGTGTAATAAAAACGCCATCTTTTCATCATCTTCTTCTTCATCGGCCTAATTTTTCCCCCTGGTCTCGGCGTACTTTACCTTCTTGATAAAAAAACTCACCCCAGTAGTAAAATTGTGGAAATACAGAACCCATGCCAATATCAATACCAACACAATGGCGAACAACGATCAAAGCACCCCGCTCATGAATATCAATTTCACCTGGGCTTGATACTCGATCTAGCAAGCCACAAGGCCACACTCTCCTTTGCAACATCACTGCCCCAAACCCCATCCGCACCACCACGTTTCCACTCCTCGCCAGAGGCATCCTCGCCGCCACCACGCGTAGCTTCTCCCAGCAGAACCTCGAGATCGCGCTTCTGGCTCGAGAGCCAGCGCTTGAAGAAAGCAACGGGGTCTTTGGACATGCTGGTGAAGAAGGCGTGTTTAGCTTTAGACTGGCCAATGGCACCCATGAGGAGCACGAGCTGCTCGTCGATTTTTTGGATTTCTTGGAGCGTCTGGATGCTATCAGGCCGGCGGAGGATGTCTTGGAAGAGAGGTTGCATGGGGTCTTCCAGGGCGACTTGGACGTCGTATACGCTCGGTTGGGATGCCGGCTTACCCGAGTCGGCCGATGGGGAAATGTAGTCCTTGTCGACGCGGATCGTGTATTGCAGCTGGATGGGCGGGAGGGTCGTGAGGTGTGGCTTGATGAGCTGGGGTAGGTTGGGGAAGAAGAAGTGGTCCTGGCCGCCGAAGAGCGCTTTCAATCTAGCGTCACAGGCGAACTTGCGCTCGTCGTCTTCTTGCTGGAGGTGCTGCGACCTTGCGTACTCCCAGATGCCCATCAGCACACCAGCACGGTCCTCCTCATCGGTATCGAGCAATTCGGCTAGCGGTTTGCTGAGGCGGAAGACCTCGGGATTTTGGTACCGCTGGAGGTTGATTGTGATGTTGATGTTCTCGTCACCCTTGCGCTCAAACTCGAGCTCGCTGAAATTGGCTTCCTTAGCCGTCGGATTCTCGGGTCGCTTCCACTCGATCTGCGTAAAGTTGTCGGGCTGTAAACTCTTGGCGCGGTCAAAGTCGATGTTGATGGATGTGAAGTAGTGCGAGAAGAGCTTGGGTTTCGCGGCTGGCTTGCGCTCGGCCTGGGCGCCGTCTTCATCCCTAGTCGCTTGTTAGTCCCAATCCGTCTGAATGTTTTTTGCGCGCCGCTTCAGAGGCGCAAAAGGCGCACGCAGAGCTGGAGTCACAAGCTCGGCTTGACGTACATGGCATCGGCATCCTTGTCTTCGTCCTCGTCATCCTCTAGACCGTCGTCGCCCTGCTCGTCAAGCAGGCGTCCCTGAATCTTGACACGGTACGTAGCGTTGTTCTCGCTCTCAAAGTCAAAAGCATCGGCGTCGATGCCGCTGCTCTGCCAAGGCTGGTTTTCGGCCGTGTTGGATATCCATATGCGCATGGTTCCATAGCGCGACGCTCGCGAGTGGTGCTTCGAATCCATGACATCGAGCTTCTTGCGCATCATGGTCGCGTCGAGTGTGCGCTCGACTTGGCGCAATTCTTTGTACCGGGCGACGCCGTCGCCGATGCACACGTCCTCGACGCCCTCGGGGATGTTCTTGTCGGTCGGGTTCTTTGCGATTCGGCGCATCTTCTCGCGGCGCTCTGCTTCGGCGCGCTGCGAAGCCTGCATGCTGGCGCTGGTGTTGTACTGGGGCTGCTGGGGCGGGTGCTGGGGGTGGACAATGGGGCCTGGGTTGCGAAACAAGTGAGCGAGGTCGTTCCTGCTAATCATCGTCTTGTAGGGCTTTGGGGCGCAAGGGCAGGGACAGGCGGCGGGTGCAATGGGGACGTCGTGTGGCAGCGGTGGTGGGCACTCTGGGACTTACCTGGCCGGCGTGAGGGCGTGGCCGCATTGTGCTGTTGCGGATAATTATATCCCCGTGCCTGGTAGTTCGGCTGCATGTTGAAAAGAGGATGCAAAAAATGGACGGCAGCAAAATTGGCGATGCGGGCGCGTCAGTGGAGATGGAAGGGTGATAGGGATGGTCACGTCTTTGGAGACGCGTCAAGGTTGGTTTGGGGACGTTAACACATGCTGCACGGATACCACCATTAGCTCCCCCTATGGACATGCGGGGCAACCATTCCCCCCCCGCCCAGCCAGAGAGGCGCCCCCGACCTTGTGCATTTGTTCCTTTTCAGCCTTGTTCAGCCCGAGTACAATTGTTTACAAGACGTCTGCAGCTGGGCCTCGCATAATCTGCTTCGCTGCCACGAGACGTCGTCTTCATTCACTGCCCGTGCATTGTGCTTGGCGACCCATACGTCTGCGTGGTGAAGCCGTGAGAAGAATGCTCTGGGTCCGTCTGGACGTCATCGTATTGGCTTTCTACATCTCATCGGTCTAAAATCTACCGAACCCAGTCCACCTGTTCGGATACCCCTTGGGTGAGCAGGCAGTAAAGATGCACACACAGAAAGCGGGCAGCCCACTGAACAAGATCATCAACGTTCGCATACCAAATAAGCCACCATCATCTCTCTGGGATATTGCTATCCAAGACGGCAGGATAGCCTCCGTAGATGCTCATAATGATGCTTCGTCGCATGAGGAGAGCGAAAACACTCTGGACGGACAAAACCGCCTGCTCGCGCCATCGCTGTGCCATGCCCACATCCATCTCGACAAATGCTTTCTCCTCCAAGACCCCAAGTTCAGCGACCTGCAGATTGAGAGTGGCGACTTCAATGAGGCCATGAGCATTACCGGTCAAGCCAAGTCTCGGTTCGTCGAAGATGATCTGCTCAGGAGGGGCACGCGGCTCATTGAGGAGAGCATCCAGCACGGCGTTACCGCCATGCGGGCATTTGTAGAAGTCGACGGTGTTGTGGAATTGAAGTGTCTGCACGCGGGTCTGAAGCTGAAAGAGCTTTTCCAAGATCGGTGTGAGGTGCAGTTATGCGCATTCGCTCAGCTGCCATTGTTTTCCGGTCAAGACGAAGGTGCACAAGTAAGAAAACTGATGACCACTGCTGCCTCCTATGACAAAGTAGACGTGCTTGGCAGCACGCCGTATGTGGAGGACAATGAGCGTAAATCTATAGAAAACGTGCGATGGATCACTCAACTGGCCCTTGAACATAACAAACACCTAGACCTCCACCTCGACTACTTCCTCGAGGAAGAAAAACAGCCTCTCGTTTGGACCGTCTTGGATATCATCAGAGAGCTCAAATGGGATAAGAAGGACAGCAGCAAAAAGATAGCGCTGGGACATTGTACCAGGTTGACAAGGTTCCGCAACGACGAGTGGACACATCTGAGACAAGAAGTAGACAAATTGCCCATCTCTTTTGTTGGCCTTCCAACTTCCGACCTGTTCATGATGCGGACTCCGGAGAACATACGTGGGACGTTGCCCATCACAGAGCTCATCAATGAGCATGGCTTCAACGCTGCCATTGCTATTAACAACGTGGGAAACGCCTTCACTCCCTATGGTAACTGCGATCCTTTGGTAAGAGCATGGTATCGTATGAATGTAGAAACTCAACACTAATCGCTTCTTCAGGCTATCGCGGCGATTGGAGTTGGAGTCTATCAGGCTGGAACAAAGAAAGATGCTGAGTTGTTATATGTAAGTAGCCTGGTGATCTACCTATAACTTGCCACTAATCGTTTCCATGTATGCAGGAAACCGTTTCTACCCGTGCAAAGACTGCAATTGGATGTGAAGCTACAGATCTGACTCTACAGCCTGGACAGCCTGCCGATTTTCTCATGTTTGATAGAACGGACAGCGGCTGGCAGTACAGGAAAAGCATTGCAGAGGTTGTTTATGATGCTGGGAATACTCGCCGGACAGTCTACAGGGGTCGATTGATCGCCTCTCAAGGTTGATTACAAGTCTTCCGCCCAGCTACTACAATGCAACAAAATAACAGTCTCTTTCATGTCAAATTCACTCCACTCCGATCAAGCTACTAATGACGCTACGATATGAAAATTTGAGTACTGCAGCCGTTTGCCCCAAGACCCCTTTCCTCTTTGGGAACCGGGCATCAGATATAGCGCCTTCCTCTCACTCGTCGTGACTGCCTTTTGTCATCCAGTGGGGCCAATCGTGTCACACACACTGTACAGACAATCTACTTCATCTGCAAGTATCCGCCTACAAACTCAATATCGAATAGAGTCACCGCCACTCTGTGGTGGAAAGCGGTGTGTATGGGGACTCACGTGTAATTCACCTTCACTTCACCAAAACGCACCTTCCACTTCCGGACTTACCGCTTCAGGTACTGAGCCTCAACCATAAAGCTAGTCTCATCAACCCACAAAAACAAAAGTCGGATTGAAAACAACTCCACCAGCGCGTTACGGCCATCGGTGCGTAGCTGCAGTACCTAGTCAGGCCAACATGGAGACCTCGACAGAGCGCGAAGCTTATCGCTCTGCACCTCAACCACCGAGCCAGCAAACTTCAGAGCATCGAATTCCGAACAGCGACGTGCGAGGCCAATCTCACACCCCGTATCAATCACCAGCTATCAGACAACTTGTCAGCATATTCCTAGCTAATGTCAGAGTAAGTCGTTGCTACAAGCAGACCTCCATTAACCTCGCCACCTTTCTGACTGTAAACTTGGCTAATTTTTGTAGTCCCGATTTGGAGAAGACTCGCCTGAAGTCATCATGATTTGGGATGTTCTCGGTGCATTTCGAGCTGGGAAGGAATCCAAAAAAGCTACCCTCATCACCATCAACCAGACACTGGGCCACCACAACGATCTCAAGCAAGATCTCATGAAGGTACTGTACCACCCCGAAGCGAAATGGCAGACAGGCGATTTTGAGTTTGAGCCCGATCAACCCATGCCCTCACCTACTCCTAACTTCTTACAACCGGTTTATCAACCCCAGATCCGCCTACCGCCAATGACATGGTTCGAGAACAGACAGATCTACCAGTCGATCAGTTCTGGTCATGACCGAAATTGGCCTCCCATCGCACCCAAACTGGAGGTCAACCATACAAAACCTCCACCGGTCCCTTGCTTTGACATTCCTGCTCGTCCCCACCAAAGCCATACGCCCCAAGCAGGGTCTCTGGAGAGAGCGTCATCCGAGACAACTACAATTCCTGCTCTCGGTGTTCCAGTGACAGTCGATGTTGCCCAGACCGTCCACGATATGCCGCCGCCTTCGCACAAGCGTCGCCGCGAAGCTTTTGAAGAACAAGCTGTGCAAGAGGCAATAGACCGAGCGAGCTCTGACACGGCTGACCAGGTCTGCTTTTCAACCGCAGATACGGGTCAACCAGTCGCTAAGCGCCAGTCCGAGAGCACTTCCAAAGCAAAGCGTGCACAAGCTGAGAGCGGATCGAAACCATTCATTCATGGCCTATGCGGTAGAGGTTTCGGCACTAGATCAAAGGTCAAGAAACATCATTGGGGAAACGTGCTCAATGATTTGGAGACGACTACAGGTTGTTGGGCGAAGCACGGAAAGCCAAATGTGAGCTGGGACGAGCATCCGAGCTGTACGGAAGGGATGAAAGTGTCTGGTCATGCAAGGACAACCCCGGCGGCGATGGAAAAAGACGAGTCTCGAGCAACGCCTCACATGACGCCCGTCGATGAGGAACAGCCTGAAACCGTTGCGCGTTCTGCTAATCTGCACGAAGATTATCAAGAGGTCTCTCAAGACTGTGGACTGTATCACTCACATCGGCTACCCAACCGATCCAGTTTCGATACGCTATTGAGTGCGGTGAACGCCGTCTCTGAAATCGATGCACGGAACACGCAGGGACGTATCGACTCTGTCGTTAGTCATATCGATGAGCAGGCTGCTGGCGTGGAAGATACGAGACAGTACGTAGTGGACTGGCAGAACACAGTGTGGGGCCACGATGAAGAAGCGGCGGCTAGTGGATACCCGCACCCATATACGACGCTCCAACCGAGTATGATGTATCCGTTGAGGGGATACCATGTGTCTGTAGAGGTTGCACTGCCGTTTTATGAAAGGCCTCAGTCGCATACTCGGCAGATGTACCCATGTCCTGCAAGCAACTGGATCGACGATCAGTTAAGCATGATGGAGGGTGCATACAGCAGCCCCGCGCCCGTGGAGCCCCAGTGCCCTGACCCGTACGCAGGGAGCCGACCAATGTAGGGCGCTTGACCGTCACCGGGGAGCTGGAAGTGTACTATGTGGAAGGGCCGACATGTATGAAGCGATTTGTTTCCGGGTAGGCGGTCCCGCAGATGAGACTAGTGCACGACTACAGATAGATGTACATCAAGGAGGTTATTGTTCATGTACTGTCACTGCCTGTGGTAGGCGGCGTGGCTAATTCCACTTTTGAAAACGACTACTACTACTACTACTACTACAGGGAGGATCCGGGGCTAAACTTGTATATTTAGCCAGTGTTACAACAATACCAAATCAAATCATCTCAGTCTGGCTCGGATGCTACAAGATGAAGATGTGTATGCTTGGGTGCAAGAGGTGGTGGTGGTGGTATTGCGGCATTATTCCTATTTGTAGTATGCCATCCCGCCGTTGGGTACTGACTGTAGTGGCGTGGTCAAGCTTCTGGGTAGCCGGGTAGTAAGCTCAACGACATGGGGTGCGGCAAGGCCTGGGGCCCCAACAATTCCCCACAAGATTAACCCAGCTCTCCCCATGTTCCGCTTCCTGTCAAGATGCACGCGTCTAAGTTTTTCCGCGACTGTCCACCAATGGTGACTTTTGCCGGTGCCTTTTGTGCTTGCTGATCCTTGTCATGAGAGATTATACAGAAGCGGTTGTTGGAGCTATGACGCCCGCGGCTTGCAGCACAGCAATCGACCTACACACGACGCGCCCTTGGGGATACCGCGCAAACATGCTGCAATTGAGGACAAACACCGTCGTCAAGAGGCGATTTCTGGGCTCAATGAGACTGAGCAGCATCGTGTCAAGAAATTGCAACGCTGTGCAACCTCATCTCATCATAGGTGGTCGGGTTCCTGGAGGCCTGCCACGGACATTTTTCCTGCGGGGAAACGCACGTTCGCTAATAGCACTACCAGTAAGTATCCTTGAGCAGTGGCCCGCCCTAACCCAGTACAATCCCGTTGGTGCTTTTGCCTAGAGGCTGGGGAAGTGAGTGAGCGGGAGAGAATCCTAATTTCAAGCTCGTGACCGCCCAAATCGCGCCAGTAGTAGTCGACCCCGTTACTACTATATAAACATGTACATGCCTCCGTCTTGGACATCGTCTCCGTCCCCACACCACATCACATCAACTCCACTTCTCAACTCGCTCGAGTTTGACTAGTCACGATGCGGTTCTTGTCGACTCTTCCCCTCTTTGCTGCAACTGCCCTTGGGCAGTACAGCACCGCACCCTCGGCCAACTCGTCTTGGACTTCGGGCCCTGACAAGGATGGCAAGTACGAGATCTCGTCCGAGGGCATTCGCGCTCTCTTCATTCCCTATGGCGCCTCCATTACCAACTTGTTCATCCCGGGCAAGAACGGTGAAGAGCTTGACATTGTCCTCGGCTTCGACAATGCCACTACCTACGAGGGCCCCGTCCACCCCCATCTTGGCGGTGTACCCGGCCGTTACGCCAACCGCATCAAGAACTCGACCTTCACCATTGACGGCCAGGACTACCACATTACGCCAAACGAGAACAATGGCGCAAACACCCTGCACGGTGGAAAGGATGGATGGGACTGGCGCAACTTTACTGTTGTCGCCCATACCAAGGACTCCATTACTTTTTCCATTGTCGATCCCGATGGCAAGGAGGGCTTCCCTGGTGAGGTCATCAGCTACGTTACCTACACCGTGACCCCACACACTTGGCGCTTCAAGATTGTCGCCATTGCTACCACCAAGAAGACCCCCATTATGCTGACCTCTCACGTAAGTTGAATTGATTAAATCTTATTTTCGAATGAATGCTAACAAAAGATAAACATAGACCTACTGGAACTTGGACGGTTTCGCCAACCCTGAGGATTCGACCATTTTCAACCACACTTTTCATATCCCTTACTCTGGCCAGCGTGTTGGTGTTGACAACATCCTCATTCCCGACGGCACCATTCTGCCCAACGAGAAGTACTCTGTCAACGACTTCTGGTCTGCTCCCAAGCAGATTGGCGCCAACCAAACCGCTCCCGAGCTTCTCGGTAACTGCGGTTTCAACTGCACCGGTTACGACAACTGCTACCTCGTCAACCGCAGCCCCGCCGAGGCTCTCGACTGGCGCAACTCTGGCCCCGTTGCTTCGTTGGCTAGCGAGTGGTCCGGCATCAAGCTCGACATCTACTCCGACCAACCCGCTTTCCAGATGTACAGCTGCCCCGGTCAAGATGGTAAGTCCACGTATCCTTCTCCATCACATTTCTTTGCATACTAACAAGACTTCAGGTACTCTTCCCATCAAGTCTACCCAAGGCGCCGAGGGCGGCAGCCGTTTTGTCCCCAAGTACGGCTGCGTCGTCATGGAAGTCCAGGACTGGATCGATGCCATCAACCAGCCCGAGTGGCAGCGCGAGAAGTACCAAATCTTTGGTCCCGATAGCGCTCCTTACACTCTTGAGGCTGCCTATGTCTTCTCTACTACCAAGTAAAAAGTTGTAAAAGCTTTTTTCTTCTTTTGGACCTAGGGAATGATTTACCATGAATGTTAATGTAATGAGACATGTGCAGCATGTGTCCTAATTTTAATACAAAGTCTAAGTGGGCTTTTGCATTGAGTTTTTTTGTTTACTTTGAGTGCTGTGGTTGACATGTTTTGATTGCGAATGATGTGTGACGTCTGTCCAAGTTGAGGCGAACGCGTGCTATGTACTAGTGTATTTACCAGCATGCAAACTCATGTCTACTACTGTTGTTTCTGCAATGACCAATCCCTACTCGCACACAGATGCTCAAGGCAAATTCCATGTAGTAACTAACCAACCAACCAACCCTTTTCATACCCCGAAATCTATTCCCTCACTTGCATTACTTTCCCAACCAATTCGATATCGACATGTGCTAGTAGGGATCGCATTCATATCGCTCGCTCGCACACCCATCCACACCTAAAAACTTAACAGTCCATCCACGGTACATGCCTCCAACTCGCCACAGCTTCCCCCCCCATTTACTACCCTTGCACCATCCACGTGCCATCGCATTGCTTCCACCCGCTTTCTACATTGTGTGCGATGAGGTGCGGTATGCGCATGGCTTTACCAAGAGTAGTGTGTAGATAAAGAAAAAGGGCCGGTCAGATTACATCGCATGGAATGTTTGCGTGGTGCAGCTGGGATGTTGGGTGGTCGGTGGGTAAGTTGGGATTGGTGGCAGTGAGTACATGGGAGTAAAGGGTGAAGGGAGTTGATGGGCGTGAAGAAGTTGGAGGCAAAGAGCGCGACTTTCGTGTATGGGCTTTATGATAGCTTGTTGACTACCCAGTCTTGATATTACGTTGTTTGCTTTCTTTCGTATCTCGCACCACTGTGATTTGGTTAGTTTTTTTCGGTCCATAAAATTTCTAGCGGTCGATCAAGGATGAAACTTACATCCGCTCTTAATCCAATGATTCATATACTTTCGTAATCGATACAAAAGCGCTGCTTCATCCACGACTGGCATTCCCTTCTCAGCTAGTCTACGGTTAGCTTCTTCCACAACATCTTGTCGCACGTCCTGGGGGATTTGCGTCCAGTAACACAAGTCCTTGGTGGGTATCTTGTCGATATGCGCGAGCACCGCCTCACGGAGAAGCTGGCGCGGGAATCTTGTCTCGGTGGTCGCCTCCCAGCTGTGGCAGTGTTCTATATCTAGACAAGAGTTAGGATAAGCATTGGGGGGGAGCTGTGTTGTAGGGCTGTGGCTGAGCTTACCTCGCTTCTTTACTCGGAGTTCGGGTAGGCATTTGGATATCCGCCATTCGATTGCTTCATCGTCGAGTGGTGGAAGTCCTTCTTCGTGAATTGCAGATCTTATTCTGCCCATCATTTCTTCTTTTTGGGGCGGACTGATGTCGCTCAGTTTGGCGCCTGCATGGTCTTGGCAGACTGCTAGGGAGACGCGCTGGAGGCTGGTTAGTCTTGAACCTCGACGGCACGTGATGCATGGAGCCATGGCAAGGCGTCCCAGGTCAGAGGATATGCATACCAGGAATATGGGCCATTGCTTATCCGAGAGACCCAACAGTTTTCTGACCTGATCCCACTGCATCCGCCGTGGAATGGGAGTCGCTGTGCGGGCCTTCGCCGCCCACAGTACTGCTGTAGTCCTCATGCTGGCCTAGGGAGACACGTGCGGGGATATCGAGGGTAAGCAGCTCGCAACATGGCGCGCTATGCAGTCAATTGAGCTGCAGAGGCTGGTGCTCGAATCGAGGCTGGATAACAATTTGCAGGCGCTGCTCGTTTCATTTGATCAGACTTCACATCCTGGTTGGACCTATTTCTAGGCCACACGCTAATACTACCCGGGCGGCAAAAACGCCAGGCAAACCACACTGATCCCCACTCTTAATACTTCACAGCCCGTGGCAGCCTGCACAGCTGCAGCATGTGCAACTTTTTTGATGCCAATCAATACTAGTAATTGCAAGCTTTGCCGCGCTGCCAAGTAAACGCTGCAATCCTCCCGCTAATCTTCCGCATACTGGTGCTTGAGTACGTGGCGTAGTGTAAAATGCGGGTCTCGCCTTGCGCGACGTTACGGAATGGGGCCAAAATAGCATGCAAGACTGGACGCCTTAGACATGTATACCTTGTGTAATTTTTGTCTTGCGAGGTACTTGTAGTGGATACCTTCCTTCTGTACTTCTTGTTCCTCCTCCCCTGCCATCTTTTGGAGCTTCACATCGTCGACCTTGCCTAGTTACACTGGCAAAAAAATGGCTTACGAACCAGTTGGCCGTACCGACGGCTCGCGGATATCAATCAGTGACGACCTTGATACGAGAATGCAGTACGACTCCGGCTCATATATTAGCAACCCTTCAGCGACGGGTTCAGTGCACCGTGGACTAGGAGATCGCGCCAAAGATGTCAAAGGTGCAACATGGTCTAGTGAATCAATATCAGAGCAGTGGCCTTTGAAGTCGCAGAAACTGGCACAGATTACGCCGTCGCGTGGAATCGCCATGTTTTTTGACCTTATTCTAGCGTCCACGCCTATCATGTTTATTGGTAGGTTCTACGTTGTTTGGTTTCTTCGATTACATGTTGATTTGGCATAGCTCTTGCCCTCATAGCTGCCAGGCTGGACGGGACAGAGACCTCGGACTATGGATCCAATCTGAAAGAGACGTTACTCATATCGCCCACCATCTTTCCCCTCCTCTTCGCAGCCTTGATGGGAAGGTTCTTTCGCTATTTTGGTCTCTGGCTGGCGCAACGAGGGACAACCCTCGGTCGTCTTGAGCAGCTGATCGGCTGTCAATCCGTTTTCTCTGCACTTGAGCGACAAATCTCTCTCCGTTCGTGGTCCATTATCGGAATAGCATCAATTCTAATCTGGCTTCTCTCACCAGTCGGAGGTCAATCAGCACTGCGTCTGCTCGACCAAGAAAGCGGCGAAATCTATTCTACTCGTCAAATTCGCTATTTGAGCCCGATGTCAGTAATGAAAAGCATATTAACTGGCGCTAGCTCCGTCAATAGCGGTCGGAGTGGCTTCACCGCCATTTGCCTTGCAGCTCTACTCAGTAGTTCCAAGGTTAAGAACACGCCCGTGGACTTGTGGTAAGTAGTTTTGGTAACTGAATATGTTACATACCACTCTATATCCGAATAGACTAACACGAAATTCTTTAGGGGAAACGTTAAACTTCCTCTATACCGGCATATTGAGAACAGCACCTCTGATGAATGGAAAACCATCTGGAACCCGACCGGCAACAACATCACATACGCTTCTCTTATAGGCATTCCGGTTGTCGGTCTACCTACGGATGGAGTCAGCACTTTTAATATCAAAGCCCGTCAATGGGATATAACCTGTTCGAGCAACAAAGGCACCAACGACAATCAGACAGACTTCGTGAACCAATACACATGGCAACTTTCTTATACCGATCCTAAGACGCCAGTTTGCCAAAACCAAACACGATGCAACACCTCAAAGTGCAGCGGTTATCCTTGTCCCATCCGTAGCCTATCGCTAGCCAACGAAGATCCCTATTTCTTCTCAGTAGCTGCGTGCAATCTGACATTTGAGAATTTCGAGGCGCAAGTGCAATGCACCGGGCGGGCATGTGCTGTACAGAAAATGAGGAAAATTCCATTACTGGACGATGATTACCCAATAGGCTTCGATACAACCATGCGCAATCAATTCGCCGTCATTCAACTCTCCCAAATGACTTCGCTAGATAACTATAACATGGCAAGCAGAGTAGCTCGAGGCTCCACCAACATGGAAAGATGGATGAGAGACCCTTCGCAATTCATTGGCGTACTGTACAACAACGTGAACCTGTATGAGCTGTCGCCACAGCTCTTTGGAGATCGAATGACAATCGGATACAACACTTACTGGCAGTCGACATACGGAACCCCCTCTCTGGCCGGCAATTTACCCGATTCTGTAGTAGAAACGGGAGTGCTCAGAGGTGCAACGCCTGCCTCTGACGCGGAATTTGTGGTGTCTGAAGCATCCACAGTCACAAAGACAAAGCCAATGTACAAGACAAACTGGAAATGGTTCACAGCGCTCATGGTGTGCTCGTGTATCCTATTGGTGGCGGCGTACACTGGCCTTGTCCTCAAATACATCACCATCGCCCCAGACATCATTGGCTACGCCTCTTCTCTAACAATTCTGAATCCATATGTTCCGACACCAACAGGAGGAACTACGCTCCACGGCCTGCAACGCGCAACCTTGCTACGCGACTTGCCGGTGCGTATAGGCGACGTTAGTCCCAACGAGCCCGTCGGCGTCATCGCACTTGTCAGAGCCGACACAGAGCAAGTAGCAAGCCTAGACAGGCAACGGTCATACATATGAATTCAGAAAAAGAGAAAGGTCTCTTTGAGACCAGCGCCGCTGCAAACTCATGCCGCCCTGTAAGCGCTAAGGCAACAACGGAGCAAGAAACCTAACGGCCACAAAGTATGATGCGCAAACCACAACCGACGTAAAGGAAAACACCTCCCCTTCTCGAACGACACCTGTTGTATCATGTTTGAACCGCATGGCATACAAACTCGCTTGTACAGAGTACATACGTAATAAATGGGCGGGCTGCGATTGTTATGCCTCACAAAATGAACCGAAACACGGGTCGGCGGGTACACACTACACATGACAAGTCAGGACACCCCCGTCCTCCCTTAATGTCCGAGTACCCCCCCATTTTTTGAAACCGAACAGCCCTATACACACACACACACATACATACATACAAAAACGTCTACACCGGGCTTACTACAACTTTTCCTTACTACTGGTACAGGTGTTTTAGACGGCATAGTCCGGTTAAAAAAAGTAATGAGGCGTTTGGTGTGTCGACTCCACTACGTGTTGGGTTTCAGCGTGCCTGAGGCGTGCGCACCCCCTTTGTGCTAAACGCCCATGCCTTACCTTTTTTCGTCGCTTCTGTGACATGTTGGTTGGTAAAGCCGAAATGGTGCCTACCTTTACACATTTCTGTTTGCAGAAGGTTAGAGAGAGAGGGTGGCGGCTGCGGTCGTCAGCGGGATGAGGGGGGAGATGATGACGAGTACGTACATATAAGTATGTGTAGAGAATCTCATGTCTTGACTTTTTTTTTTGAAATATCATCATCAAGAGTGTGCGGGTCTTCACTTGTTTATTTCGTACTTCTTCCTTCCTTCCTTATTTCGACTTCGTTATCGTAGCGCTAGTCGCACATTTTTGTTTCTACGACTCAATACTACGTTTACTGTCAATTACAAATACGCTTGTTTTTTTACTAGACGAATACCTTCCTTACGGCCTTACAAAGGAATTCGACAAAAAAAAGACTCTGAAAATGAAGTTCACAAACGCTGTCGTTGCCTTCAACGTCGCCGCGCTGACCAACGCGCTGGCCATCTCCCCACGTCAGAACAACTTGCAAACCTTCACGGGCGCTATCGGCGGTGCAGCGGCTACTCCCGTCCTGAACTCCGGAAATGCGAACCGTCCATTTAGCGTCGGAGGCGATACATTTGTGAATGCCGCGGCTGCACTACAGCGATCTTGCGACCAGCAGTTCAACGCTTGTGCCAACTTGGCGAATGGTGGTGATGCAACTGTTTCAGTAGCACAGTGCACGACACAGAAGAGTAAGTTGGGAGCATAGAGCGGAATTGAGGTGATGATTTTTATACTAATGGTTTGTAGATCAATGTTCGGCACAGGCTACTGCGGGCGCAGCTCAGGCACAGGGCGCGGCTCAAGCTGGAGCCCAGAATAATGGAGCTCAAAACAACAATGCCCAGAACAACAATGCCCAGAACAACAATGCCCAGAACAACAATGCCCAGAACAACAATGCCCAGAACAACAATGCCCAGAACAACAATGCTCAGAACGCTGCTGCTGATAATGCTGCCACTGGCAACGCTGCCACTGGTAATGCTGCTACAGGTAATGCTGCCACTGGTAATGCTGCTACAGGTGAAGCTGCTACAGGTGAAGCTGCTCAAGGTCAAGGTCGAGGTCAAGGCCGGGGTCAAGGCCAAGCCCAAGCTGGAGCTGGAGCTGGAGCAGCGAACGGCGCTCAGAACAACAACGCTGCCCAGAACAACAACGCTGCCCAGAACAACAACGCTGCCCAGAACAACAATGCTGCCCAGAACAACAATGCTGCCCAGAACAACAATGCTGCCCAGAACAACAACGCTGCTCAAAACAACGCGGCTTGCAATGGAGCCCAAGCTGGAGCCGCTGCTGGTGCTGGTGCTGGAGCTGCGAACGGTGCCCAGAACGGTGCTCAAGGCCGGGGTCAGGGCCAGCAGGCTCAGGGCCAGCAGGCTCAGGCTCAGGACCGGAAGACCCGCAGGGCTTAGAAGAGTAACAGGACTGAGAAGATGGACAAAGTCGACACCTCTCGTGAGCAAGAACTCTGCTTTGAAAGCAACTGTACAACAAGATGCAGTGCTGGTCACGCTGCCATCCGATGATGGAGACGGGGAAAAGGCCCGGTGCCTCAATAGACAAAATATCACATATGCAATCTGTAGACTGCATGTGAAGCAATTTACGATGTTCCGATCACGATCAGTAATCTTGACACCTCATCTCTCTCTACCGTGATGCTGTGTTTGCGTGAATCTCCTGCTCTTGCTCCGCTGTATCCGTCCCTGTGCTTTGTTTCTTCGGTATGTTCTTCAAACACGGCGCGTAGAATAGATGGCCAGTCCAAGCGCCTCTGACTGTTCCGACAAAGACGACGCACCAGAGAATGATTACAGATATTGAGAAGATCGTCCCTAGGACCCGGAAGAACATGCTCGGAATAATGTGACCAAGTTCAATGGTGCTGAGTGCGAAAACTCCCAGAGGAAATGTGAAACCCCACCATCCCATGGAGAATGGGATCGGACGAGACTTGTATATGGATGCCAGAGCAAAGCACAACCACGTTAGTCCAAAAGACCACATGATGAGTGCTGTGAATATGCCAATGACGAAGAAGACGTCCCCTGCAATCGGTATATCGGAGAAGGATCCAGTCTGCGGAAAGATACGACGACATGCAGATCCAAGGCGTACAACGGCATAACCACCCAGCCCCAACGGACCAAGCGGCAAGAAAGACGACACGATAATCTCGCGAGGCGGCAGTTTATGCAACGCCAAACGAGTATAATACATGACAATAACCGTCAGAGACAGCGGCACAGACATACCCCACATAATATACGAAGCCAGTATCGTCCCAAGCGCATGCTCGGGATTAATCAAGTGCTCTGCGACTCTCGCGCCCGCTCCAGACGCAACCACCGACGCGGAGATAGGCAGCAGCTGAGCCGCAGTAATCTTATCCAGCGCCTGTCTCCTCGACGCCGAAATCAGCAGCACCGTCAGCGAAATCGTAACCGCGACCGCGACCGCCGCATCCAGCATCCAGCACACCCATGCAAACGTGACTGCCCAGGACCCCCAGTACGGGATGCACAGCGAGCACCACGCTGAAATGAGCGTGGAAAAGCCCATGGGGACCGTGCCGAGGAAGAGCGAGTTGGCGCTGTCGGCGATCATGACGGGCCAGATCTCTGGGTAGGCGACGTATCGGAAGATGGAGATGAGTAAGGCGCAGGCGAAGAGGAGCGTGTTGAGGCCGAAGAAGAAGACGGAGAGCCAGTAGAGCCAGGGTGCTTGGAAGGGGATGGAGATGAAGAGGAGGGAGACTACGCCTGTGCCGGTTGTGACGGAGAACCAGGAGGGAGAGAAGTTGCGGACGATGCGACGCCAGCCGACCTAGTTGTTGCGAAAGAAAAAAAAAAGACATGTTAGTTTAAGAACTGGAGATGGTGGTGGGTGTATTTTACATCGTATTTCGATGGATATTCATCTTCTTCTTCTGGTATAACATCATCATTGGAGCCAGACGGCGCATTCGTTGCTCGAGAATTCCTCGATTTGGAGCGCTGCACGGCTATGCCTTGGGACGTCGGCGGGCATAGCGCTGGATTATTCGTTCCTACGCGATCCAACTCGTATTCATCCATTCTTATTTAATCCTCCGCCAAAAAAAAATTCCCTCCTCTTTCAATTCTAACAGCCGTGCAAAAAAATTCGCGCTTCCCAGTTCATATTTTTTTCTAAAAACTTTTGAAGCGGGGGAATAGAGAGAGAGAGAGATTTCTTTAATGTATGACGAAAGTTCCGGTTGGGGAGGGGAGGAGGGGGCACGTGCGGAGCCGTTTCCACCCGGGGCAGCGAGCGAGTGAGAGAGAGAAGAATCTCACAAATGATGGTCGATTCGAGATCCAATCACGTGGCGAGCACGGACCGATTGGTTTCACAAGATTGGACTTACTTCTCGGATTTCCCATCAGGACAAGGCGACATTTTCCCCTTCTTCCGATCTTTCCCTTCCCCTCCCCCCTACGTAACTCTTTACTTGCGCCTCTTTGCACTAGGGCCGTTATCACATTACCAAACGATTTGGGGGAGAGAGAGAAAAAAGGGAAAAAGGTGTCCCGGCCCTGGCTTTCGTCCCTTTCTTGCCACCGTAGCCCTGTTTGTTCCTTCCTTCTTACTTTACTATCTTGGGAGCCGCATGTTTTTTGGGGTGTTCGGGTTGGTTTGTTGCTTCATACTACATCAACCTTCATTTGGGCTGTTTGCTGTTCCATTCCCTCTCTCTTTTTTTTAGGCCTTTTGTTTGGTTTTGCCCACCCGCCGGTAAATAAGGTCCCAACAAAGGTCGTTGTCCCTTTGCTTGCGCCGGCCTTACTATTTTGCCCAACTTATCTGTGGGAACCGCCGCGCCCGCGTGCCCCCAGGACCCTGAAGGGTTGATTGTTCAAATCGGGGGATGGGAAGCGGCCTAGTCGGAGAGAGACCAGATTATCAGTCCATCTGATTGTTCTTTTTTTTCCCCACGCGCAACGCGCGCGCACGCGCGGAAAAAAGAGACAACAATGCCAGGGTTTTTGGATCTGCCGCTGGAGCTTCGCAACCATGTTTACGAGATGCTGCTTGGGGAAGAGCTAGAGCCTTGTTTCCGCGGGGTAATGGTCGTGTCTGAACACTACGTGCGCAACGACTTGCCGCTTCGATGTTACCGGGGGCTCTTGCGCGTGTGCCGGCAGACGTATCGCGAGTTCAAGCAAGCAATACAGCATCAGGTTGCGTCGAAGCGGCTGAGATACGAATTGGATATTACGTTTTCACATGGCCGCCCTTACTTCTCTCTGACGTGGATACACTTCGCCGCCCTCTCGCCCACGATTAACCAGTTGTGCATTAATGTCGACTTGCGCACGCGCGAGCCGCTGCGAGACGGGCCCCGAGAGTCGTTTGTGCCCCACGAACATGAGCTGGCCCATTTGCTCGAACACTCGCCCACCTGTTTTGCAAAGCAACTCTTCGACTACATTGCTATTTTCCTAAAGACGCTTGCCAATCTACTCTTCCAGGGAGACCCCCACTTCAGCGTCCTCTACACTGAATCCATGACGCTGAACTTGCGCACTCCGACCAAAGTCGTCGCCCTCGGAGGCAGTGGCCACAATCCCATTGCGCTGTCGCGCCGCCTCCGTGTCGATCAGACCGAAGCTCGCAAGCTCCACGATACCATGCGCGACACGCTGCGTGCGACATCGAAGCATTTCCAGGCCTTCAACGCAAACGAGTGTGACCGTCTTTTCCCCCTCATACAGATTGGTTGTTTGCGTTTTGCTACTGAAGGTGAAGTCTGGGGCGAAGGCCACAATCTGGTCCTCGCACATGACGATTTCCAGTGGTTAAGGTACTAGGAGTCCCTTTTTTTTTACGTTGTGCGTTGGATGATATGAATTATGATTTGGATGATTGACAGTATATATATCCATAGATGGGAGGAGTTTTCTTTGTGCGTGAAAATGCGGGGGGTGTTCCTCTTTATTTTGAATGGCGTAGAGGAATTTTATACAGATTGTGTGTTTTCTTCTTGTTCTTCTTTCCTACGTACATGGGCGTTTTTACTACTGTTGGGTGGTATATCCTGCCTTTACAGTACACAGAGTCGTCTTTTTCACATCTCAAGCTCGCAGCTTGGACAATAAAGGCAATGTCTTGACTTTCAATTTTCCACCATGGCGTTTTGACTACAAATTTTCCATTCTCGAAAAATAAAAGCGAATAGATATCTTGGTGATTTTGTCCCCATGTCCTCTTTTTGAACGAATTTACACAAACTCCTCTAGATAATGTAAATAACAGTTCCTAATTAACCAAGAAATAGCCCTGAACGCCAGAAAATGCTACGCATATACCAGCATTCCAAATCCTTAATCGCTAAACCCCTCAAACTCATCTCCTTCATCCTGTGCCTCCTTCTCTGCCACCCTTTTTCTCACCTGGGCAATCATGCCCTTCAGCCTCTCATCCTCCTTGCGCTCCTCCTCCGTCATAGCAGCCACACGCTCATGCTCGCGCTTCGCCGTTTTCTTCTCCCTCCTCAACTCCTTGAGCGCCTTCAAATCCTTTTGGTGCGTCCAAGCTGCCGCCTTCTTATCTTCCGGAACATATTTCTTCTTCTTGCCCTCAGCCTTGGTCGCTTCGTATTCGGCCTGCTCGGTCTGGCGTTGCTGTTCACGGGCTTTGTCTTTGTATGCGTAAGTGGCAAAATCAATGGTGACGCCGAGGCTGCGGTCGCCGTCCCATTTTTTGAGCTCGGGCATGCTGGGGAGCTTGAGGAGGCCCCATGAGTGGCCTTGTTCGGTCCAGTCGAGGTCGGGGATGCGGAATATGGAGCTGGCCGTGTGTTTACTGTATGCGCGGACCCAGGAGACGAAACCGCGTTGGGCTTTGTCGAATAGTGCTCGGTCGGATTTAACTACTTTTCTTATCTTGTTGCTGGTTGCTTGTGCTTCTTCTTCTGAGATTTCGATTTTTGGGGTGGCCAGAGGTGATATTGGTGTTTGTCGGACTCGGAGAAACTCGACGTAATCTTCTTCGCGGCCTGGGTTGAGAAAGGTTACAGCCAACCCCTTCCGGCCAGCTCGACCGGCACGACCGCATCGATGGATGAAGGTCTTGGGGTCACTTGGTGCGTCAAGTTGCAGGACTAGATCGACTGAAGGTATGTCGAGACCTCGAGCTGCAACATCAGTAGTTAAGAGAATGCTTGGTGTCATGCTATCAACAAACTTGTTGAAGTTTCTACGGCGAACCTTGTCGGGATGCTTGCCATGCATAGGAACAATGGTATACCCCTTGAGGACCTCTGGTAGGATGTGCTGGAAATAATCGACGGAATAACATGTCGCCAAGTACATGATCGACTTTTGAGGCGGTGGCTGCAAGGACGCCAGTAGTTTCTTGATGGCTGGAAGTTTGTGGGATGCGGGCATGACAAGGTATGACATTTGCAAACTCGCAGGTGTCCTCTTGTCCTCTATCGCGCCAGCCTCGCCTGTCGCACTGTTGGCGGCTCGGGCCTTGACCTTGACGGCGATACGGACTGGATTTCGGAGGCCGACGCGAATGAGCTGGTCGACTGCCTCACTGACACTTGCGCTGAAGAGGCCAGTTCGGCGCTGCTTGGGTAGACGAGAAAGAATCTTCTGTAAGTCATCTTTGAAGCCAAGATCCAGAAGTCGATCGGCTTCATCAAGTACAAGAGCATCAAAAGACGACTGTGAGCAGTGAACGTGCGGTGAGGAGAGGAGTTCGAGAAGGCGACCAGGGGTACCGATGAGAATGTTGGTTGATGACTTCAAGAATCTGCTGAGATCTTGTGCTGGCGTAACTGAGCCACCCAGGAGCAGCTGAGGAACAACTCTCAGGGTTCCTGGTGGAAAAGTTGGCTTTGGTGGAGCGTCAGCATCTTCCATGTCGGTATCTTCATCTTCCGAGTCCAACAAGGCTGCCGAGGGGGCGTGAAATCTAAGAAGGGAAGCTAGAACTGTGTAGATTTGAGTTGCGAGTTCTCTGGTTGGCGATATGATTATGGCGCCCACGTGATGCTTCTTTATGGGCGCATCCAGTCGCAGCAACCGCTCGACAATAGGTATAAGAAAACTAGATGTGTGTTAGCATATGTGTATTATGAAGATGTATGGGCATTACGCTAGGGTTTTTCCACTTCCGGTGACGGCCTCGACTACGACATCCGAGTTCTTCATGAACATGGGAATGGCCGCGTGTTGCACCGGCGTGGTTTTCACAAAGCCCATAGAATCGACCGCCTCAAGAATCCATTCCGATAGGGCTGGGGTAAGAGCGCCAAAAGAGCGATCCATCTTCGCCTGAGGCGCCATGGCGGAGTTTATGTTTGCAAAAAGGGCTTTTGGTGTGGTTGGCAGAGTCGCCATGATGGTTCAAAAAAAGTTATGATTCGCGCACGGACCATACAAGGCTCGCTGGCGGCAATCATAATAAGGTTGAGCCCAGCCAGGCGTGATCGGGGAACATCATTCAATCAGTCGCTACGTAGCAAGGCCGGAGAAAGTTTAACTTGTATTCCTGTAATTAGTCGTCGCATCAATTAATCTATGCTTGTTGGGGAAAAAATATTGATATTTTCAAGACGTCAACATGACACTGTTGAAAGAGAGAACCGTGCGCAAGAGATATGCCACAACACCATGTAAGATTTTGGAAATAGTTGTATAGGATGTAGTATAAGAGATCGCGTATGTTCTGTCGCATGTAGTTGAGGACAAGCATCTTTTATTCTACGAGATTCCGGGATTGTTCATGTGCGATTGTCCGAATGCCATCGCCAAGACGGCTCCACGCCACGCTGATGTCTGGCACATGCGCGAACCAGTTTCTACGTTGGTAGCCCTGCAGACCAAATTTGCCAATTTCATGCCGCAAGGTTGCTGCTTCGCCGTCGCTGCTGCCGTTGGTCCCTCGCATCCCCTGTTCACCCGCCCCAAGCACGTAATTAAGACGACCGTCGTTGTCGCCGACAAAAATTGTGGCCTCTCCCGTCGCCTTGGGCCATGGGGGCTGCCCGGACGAATCCACGGCGGGCTGTGAGTGTGATGTGATAGCCAAATCTGACATCAATGGCGAGACCGGCGTACTAAAGGCCACCCTCCCGCATGACAGCTGTGACACGCATACTCAGCCTCGTCCCCTCTGCCCGGAATCTTCAGGCCCGCGTTCCTTGCTTGTCCACCTCGCTTTGCTCTGTTCCACGGCCCGCTCCACCCTCTCCGGCGTCATCCGCACTCCTGCTTTTCCTTATTTTCCTGTCTGCTGGCGTGTCGCCATGGAATCGTCGCGCCAGTATCAAGTCCCCCACACGCCGCGCGTGATATCGCCCTCGCCTACGCCTTCGGAAGCTGGCAGTACAAGAGATGGCTACTTTGGGCCTGTAACGCGCTCAGCAACACGCAAACAACGGGTTACGTCACCACCGCCAATCGATGAAGACTCGTCTGGCTCCGACCCCGACCAGAGGGCGCGAACTCGAAGCCGGAGTCCGGCGGTTGCAAAAATCGCAGGAAGGCGGCGAATGAGCGCCCTGGCGAGCCGACGACAGATGAATGGAGTCGGCCAGAAGGAACTCTCATTGCCTGGCGACACAGCAAATGGTCATTTATCGCCGGCAGCAGCCAACAAAAACTACTGGCGAGAGATGAGCCGAAGCCCGAGTCCTCTGGGCCTTATTCCTATCCATCAGAAATGGCGATCATTTGTGAGTTTCACATGCCATTTTTTTCCAGACCCCTCCTAACATCCATAGATTCATCGACATGAGATACCCCGCAAGATTCTTCACGTTTCCATCGGCTTCCTGACTATCTTCCTATACTGTACCGGAACGCAAACGTCGCAAATCCACAATGTGCTTCTTACATTGCTGGTTCCTATTGCTCTCACTGACGTCATCCGCCACCGCTACTGGCAAGTGAACCGCCTCTACATCCGCTTCCTGGGCGCGTTGATGCGCGAATCCGAAGTAGACGGATACAACGGTGTCATTTCATACCTTCTCGGCGCATGGATTGTGATGCGTTTCTGTCCTAAGGACATTGCGGTGATGAGCATCCTGCTCCTGAGCTGGTGCGACACTGCAGCTTCGACTTTTGGCAGACTATGGGGCCATCTGACGCCGAGGGTGAGGAAGGGCAAGAGTCTTGCGGGATCCATCGCAGCATGTGTGACTGGTGTCATTACAGCCGCGGTGTGGTGGGGTTGGCTCGGTCCCACGTTCTCAGAGTACAACCACGGCGAGCACGCATTCGCATTTCAGGGCGCCCTCACATTGCCCCTGCAAGCACGAGAACAACTCAACCTATCTGTAAGCCAGGCTTCGGTTACAGGCCACGTGGCTTTGGGTGTCATGTCCCTGGCAGCCGGCATCATTGCCAGTACCAGTGAAGCCATAGACGTTTTTGGGTGGGACGACAACCTCACCATCCCTGTGCTCTGCGGCGCTGGTCTCTGGGGGTTTGTCAAGATGTTTGGATGAAGCCGCCTTGTATGATGCGACGACACACGTTTCTTCTTCTCTGCTCTTGTAATATCACCCTGCGTTACTTTGGATGGAATCGATACCCTAGACACACAGCCCTCTGGTAATGGCATGGATGCAATGGTTTGGACGGCGTTGAGGAATGTACTGTATGTAGGAAATGGACAGAGGTAATATGAAACCAATGCATGGACATGGGCAAAGACATGTATGATGCAGCCACTGAGCTGCTTTTGTGCAATGGCGCTATGGGAGGCTTATCGAGTTTCAAGCCGAGGTCCAAGAAATGTCGTGTCGACTGAATATCGAGTGCCCAATATAGCGCATCTTCACGCCCCCGAGAACAAACAGCGATGATGAGCCCGTTTGACATGCATCGCAGACGCAAAAGGGAAAGCCTGGATACCGTAAAGGAGCCTTGCCATGGGCGATTCGGCTTGGCGCATGCCGCCACATGCAACGCGGCGATTGGGGGTCAGTCGGTCATGTCAACAAGCCTTTATTCTTTATAGGCCTGCCACCGCCAGGTTGGCCGGTCCAAGAGTCTGACGGGCAGAGAAACAGATGAGTTGCCATGGCGGTCGCTGACAAGGCGTATTACTGATTGCCCAGACTGATTGTCCACGCCAAATGCCCTTCTGCTCACCTGTCGGCAATCTGACTTCTGCCTCTAGTATTGCCCCGCCATCGTAGTCGGGTACCCACCACAACGCATCTCCACACCACACCCTGCGCCCAAACGCGCCTCTGGACCCTCTCCCAAGCTCCATCTGCTGGCGACTGCCGCTCTTGGCTTGGTTCCTACTGCACGTCATCTGCACCGTTTCTGACCCTCTCCCAACTCGACCTTTTTCGTTTGCGCCCGCTGTCCGTTGGTCCTACTCTGCTTCACCTTTGCACCCCACACGCCTGTACACAACCACCCCTCACCATGGCTTCGTCTTCGGCAGCAGCAGGCCTGTTGTCTCGCCAGCTCAAGCAGATGCAAAATGACAAGAGCATATCGGGCATCAGCTGCGGATTAGTCGACAACAACGTGTTTGAGTGGGAGGTGATGCTCATGATTGACGACGACACAAAGTTTTACGGAGGTGCGACCACTACTACGCCTTCAACGCGACCACATGCTCACACGCCACACAGGAGGTTTCTTCCGCGCCCGTCTCACCTTTCCCACCGAATATCCCCTGTTGCCACCTAAGATGCGCTTCGAGACCCCCATCTTCCACCCCAACAGTGAGTTCCCCATACATCTTCTCCTCTACTTTCCTAACTAACACACGCCACAGTCTACCCGAACGGCGACGTCTGTATTTCGATCCTGCACCCCCCAGAAGAAGACAAGTACGGCTACGAATCCGCCGCCGAGCGCTGGTCACCCGTCCAAACCCCCGAAACCATTCTTCTTTCTGTCATATCCATGCTCTCCAGTCCCAACGACGAGTCGCCTGCAAACGTCGAGGCTGCCAGCCTGTGGCGAGACAACACACCCGAGTTTAAGAAGCGCGTAAGAAAGTGTGTGAGGGATAGCTTGGAGTTTGAATGAAACGCAGCGGTGCAACTTGGGCTAGGCAAAACGTGATCATGACAAACAAGCATAAGCGCGGTGGATGTATCTTTGATTAGGGCGAATTTACTGGTTCATGGCGTGCTCGGCGTCATACATGAATATTCTTTTGAGAGTTTGGTGGATGCATCGTATGTCGAGAATCAACATGGTACCTGTATACCAAGATTTTGTGCATGTTTACTTTGCAACATAAGTGATGATATGTTTGAAAAAAACATGTCAACTAGATTCTTTGGAGACGAGTTGGTTGTGAAGACCAGGTCAAAAAAGCATCACGTCACTTTCTGCAAAACACAGTAGTACTAATCAAAAACCCAGAAAAAATATATAATATGTGTATATCCCGTAATTCCCATATCCCTAAAACCTGTATTACCATCTCCCCTTTCGTATACATACCCTATTTCTCATCCCAAAGTAAATCCTCCAAAGTTGACAAAAGAAGAAGTAGAAAAAAATATTAGTGTACAAGGCCCCCCTACGCGACCGCCATATCATCTTTACTCCACGCTTTTTCAAACCCGACAGAAAGAAAAGGTCGCCCATATCTAGATGACGCCGAGCCCAAGCAGCAAAAGCGCCGTGCAAATCAACCCATCACCACCGAGGTTGCCCAGGCCGCCAAGCGGCAAAATGCAGCATTGGGCTGAGAGACCGTTTTGGGCGCATTGGGCGTTGAAGGCGTCGGGGGTAGCGACGGCACCGGCTGTGGTCATGTTAGTATCGTGTACTATTTGTATTTTGAGGAGTTTCGGATGTGGGGAGATGGAACTTACCACTAGCACAGTTGGATACACCGAGTAAACCAGTTTGGCAGCAGAGGGGAGATGAGGAACCGCAGATGCCGCCTTGGCCGTGACCGTGACCGTGGCCGTGACCGTGTTGACCGCCGTGTTGGCCTTGTCCTCCTTGCTGTCCGCCTTGCTCGCCGCCTTGCTGGCCTCCTGGCTGACCATATGAATCTTCTTCGCCGCCTTGCTGGCCCCCTGGCTGACCATATGAATCTTCTTCGCCGCCCTGCTGGCCTCCTTCTTGCTGGCCACCACCTTGTTGGCCTCCTTGCTGGCCACCGCTGCCTTGCTGACCATAATATAAACCTCCTTCTCCTCCTTGCTGGCCACCTTGGCCTCCTTCGCCGCCTTGCTGACCTCCTGCACCGCCTTCGCCGCCGCCCTCGCCTCCGCCCTCGCCGCCGCCTTCACCTCCTCCGATGCCGCCGAGGAGACCGCCGCCGAGTTGGGGTTGAGGCAGGGCGATTGCGGTACTGAGGGCGAGGAGGGAGGTTAGGGTGATGAGTGTGAAACGCATTTTTGGATGTGGTAATTAGTTTGATTGGTCGGAAGCGAATAGATGAATTGAAGAGTTTAACGAAAGTGTTTTGTAGAATGGGAAAGATAGTCTGGTAGTAGTTGGTTGATGATGAGATATTTCCACTGGTAATCAAGAGTGTTCTTATACAATCTTTCTTCTCGACACCTACACCCACATCTTTCCTCTATCCTTTCCTTCTTATCCAGCTCCGTTCACCTGAATCCTCCGACTTACCCCCCCCCCTCTATCCACTCATAGTGTTCTTCTCTTTATTTTTCCACCTCAGAATATGCACGATTTTTTACTTTCCATGTTCCAGGCATACATGCTAAGCAAACGCCCCCACACCCATGCGAAGATCATACACAACCTTAAATCCCACAAGAATTCTCCGTGTGGCTCGGCTTAAGGGGCCGGTGTATGTGCAAGAAAAGAGGGATCGACTGCAAGGGTTTACTCGCTTCTTACGACGATGGATGTTGTTGTTCGCGGGGTAGATATTTGCTTTTTTTCTTCGGAAATGACAGGATGGCGCCGTCTTTCTCTTGCCTGATTGGGAAAGTAGGATGGAGGAGGCTGGGTGCTGCGGCTGCTAAGCTCAAATTTTTGTGGGTACGTGGGAAAAGTAAAGATATCGGTTGCTATATGTGGAAATTAGATACGATCGAGTGGGTTGCGGTTGTGGGGGATCGACACGCAAGCACGTGGGTGAAAGGTCAAAGAAAGCGGGTTGTTAGATTTATCGGTGTGTACAGGATGGGAATTTTCGGACTAAGAATAGAATTAAGATATGCATCGCATGGGGACTTTCGAAGAGCCTAGTGTGATTGGAGAGGCGAGAAGAAGCAACCCATAACGGAGAATTCTACGAATCTGAGTGGCACCGAGTGGCTTTGCAAGCGTCCGAGTGGCATTGCTTGGTAAGCTCGCAGTGATTGACATTGAACTAAGAAGACAAAGAGATTGACAAGGGGAGCGCAAAGTCAGAATGTTGTCTTTTTCGTCTACGTAAGTACGTTACAGAAAGTCTTAAACCCAAGCACACACGCTCACACCTACAACTCCCCCTCCAACGCAACCTCTCTTTCCTCCGCACAAACCCTACATCAAAAATGCGCCTTTGTTGTCTTGATCCAAGCACAGACAAAAAGTAGAAGAAGAATTCGTAAAAGCAGTCTAGTGCTTACACACGGGGCCTGCCAAGTGATATAACACTATGCTATAGTCATGACGCCACCAGTGCTAATTATACAATCACCAACACCGCAAGGAAAGCCGCAGCCCATCCAAAAGACGATGTCTGAAGCGTGACTCCATAGTTCTTCTCCTCGTCGTCCTTGTTGTCGTCGTTGAGAAAGTCGAAGGTAACGTTCCTAGCAGGCCTCTTTGGCCTCCTGGTCCTGCGCGACCTGGCCTCGACAGTCTTGCTGGGAATAGTAAACCAATCCAGCAGTCCCCCAGACGTGGTTAGGGTTTTTGTTGCGCTGAGCACCTTACGGGCGACCGTGTGTGTCTTTGACCACGACCCTGAGAGCATGTCTGCGACATCCTTGGGCTGGCCGTCCGTTGTGTTGAGAAGAACTTGGGTGGAGCCTTGCATCAAGGGAAGCTTCTCCACAGATAGCTTGGCGACAGAAGGTGCTTGGGCGGCGGGCTTGTTTGGATCCACAAGCTCAAACACCATCTTGCCGTCCACCATGGTTTTTAGAGACGATGAGATAAGGCCCGGTTGCATAATGCACATGGACGAGGGTGAGTCGCACTTGGTGCCGTTTTTAGATATGACGAGCGTGTAAGTGCCGGGCATCTTCTCTTCAGTGCCGATTCTGACAGTTACGCCATTGTCTGGGGTGGCTGTAAGGCGAAAATGTTAGCACAATTTTCTCTTCCATTCAAACAAAGGAAAGATGCCGACTTACCCTCTGCTACAATGCCATCCTTGATGCTGAGAGCTGCAGCGTTAAACTCCACCGCAAGATCTCCCACAGTCGCAGCCTGTGCGTACTTTTGAAGGCCAGCCAACATAATCGTAAAGTAAAAGGCGTGCATTTTAGCGAAAAAATGTCCGAAGAAAAGATTGGTGTAGTAGGCTAAGAAAGTATGACCGCACAGCAGCTGAATGAATTGAACTGTGAAGAGGATGAGGGATTAAAAAAAGCATGGCAGCAACTTCAATAAATATACCTCGTCTTCATCGTCGTCAAACAGTATAGCCATGATTCGACTAATAATACCAGCATTTTTCTTCAAGTCAGTACCGCATAGACTGAACTTGCCTGGTGTTGATGAAACAGCATCATAGGCATCACATGACAAAGTGGCCAGATAGACCTTCTCCAGGCCTCTTCCTAGTCACCTACACAGAATAGATTGGCCCTGCATCCATTCACACGCAGCTGCGGCTGTTGATCCCCACGCAGGCCGTTGATTCAAAACAGAGCAAAGCTGTGGGGTAAGAATAAGCAGCAATGCCAATGCCATTAACACTGTAAGCATATAGCCCAAGTTCCGACTAGTAGTATACTAAATACAGCAAAACAACCATCTAGGTATACTAGTTTGAAACTAATGATCTGGTTAAGGCATGTTTGTAACGCGCACAGACGGGTTTGGGGGTTCCAAAATAGAGTGCCGAGACCAAGGCCAAGAACAGCGCACAGGCTTGTTATAGAACGACGAAACCCCGTGACACCTATAGGTGCTAAGTTCTCTTTGCGACAGAACGACCTTCATGCTTTGCACGTGTTTTCGTCTGGCTAGTTGCTAGTCGCTGCGTGTCACAGTATCGCCGCTTAAAGCCAGCAGAGGCCGTGCGCGACTAATGCTAGACAACTAACGTTAATGCTAAGGTAAGCAAGTGTATACACGCACATCGAGCCAAGTCGTTCTCGAATGCTGTCATGAGTCTGTCATCGTTTGGCATTTTGCAAGTGCCTGGTGGAGAAGCGATGCTGGTCAGACAGGAGCTTGTGAGTGATGCTAAGAGATTTCAGATGTTTCTGGTGTTTATGCTGTTGGCTTGGTACCTCTTTCGTCGAAACTATGGCATTCACTTGGCATCTTGCATCGTCTGATGCTCTTTTGCTCCCAGTATGCATCGTTCAGAATGTATAAAGATGAGGTGTTGCACACGAGTTGGAAATCATCGCATCATCAGCATTCGATCCCACCATCACTTCCATTCCATCGGTCTCGCAGGTTGAAGATCATTCATTTCTTTCTTCAATTCAACACTCCAAGCCGGTCTTTCTTTCCCCAACACTTTCATCTCCATCTCTTTCAGCTCTAACCAGTCCTTTCCTCAAACCCTTCAACATGCATCCTTCTACCATTGCAGCCATTCTGGCATTCACTGCTGGCATGACTGTGAATGCCGTGCCTGTTGTTCGCCCGGAAGGCACTCCTGAGCCTCCAGCTGATAGGCTTCGAACAACCGTTGGGCATACTCAAGCTCGGCCTCAGCTGTAAGTCTTCCTACTAAAAACCGTACCAGACGTTGTACTAACAGCATCAGGAGCGAACTTGCCGAAGACGAATTTACTGTCCCTTCAATTGGGAAGAGAGACCATCCGATCAGGCCTTTGCCTGCCTGTAGTGATAGTTCCGAACCATCCATTGGAATACTCTGCATGAGCTCAGACCTTGAGGAACTGATCAATCGCCCCTCCAACGGCATTGGCCGTCCCAGTGTTCTCGGCCCACAAGTTACCAAAAGAGACCCTCGGCGTTTTGCTGATCTGAATAATGGCCACGTCGATCTCGGCATCCTGGTCCCCCCCCCAACTCTCGAAGAATTGCTAGAGAGGAAGAAACAAGCCGGTTTTAGTAAGGAGAAGAGGCAATCAGGACGTCCAATCCGCCTTGTTGAGCCTTCAGGCGAAAGTACAGTGACCCCCGAGGAGCTCGAACAAATAGTGAACAATTACAAACAATTCCGCAAAGAATTCGGCGGCGTTGGCGCAAAGGAAAAGCGCAAAGCTCAGGTCATCGATGCCGGCTTTGGATTCGATGCCGGAGTCACTATTGATCCTTCTGCGCTTACTGGTAGACTCAAGCAGTTGATTCCTGGTCAGAAGGAGAAGAGAGACAATGGAAGATTCATAAATAAGGAGCCCGGCCGCCTTGGGTGGGATCCCATTCCCACCATTGGTGACGAGGTCCTTCGGGGGGCCCAGAATCAGAAGAGAGACCTTTCACGAGTCGTCGACAATGTAGTCGGCCGCATTGCGCCTGTCGTTCCTGGCGGCGTCAAGCAATTCATCCCTGGTCACAAGGAGAAGCGTGATCCTCAGGTTATCGACGCTGGGTTTGGTTTTGACGCTGGAGTTACCATCGACCCTTCTACTATCACCGATAAAGTCAAGCAGTTCATCCCCGGCCAGAAGGAGAGGCGCGATCCTCAAGTCATCGACGCAGGCTTCGGTTTTGACGCAGGTGTCACCATCGACCCTTCTACTATCGCCGATAAAGTCAAGCAGTTCATCCCCGGCCAGAAGGAGAGGCGCGATCCTCAAGTCATCGACGCAGGCTTCGGTTTTGACGCAGGTGTCACCATCGACCCCTCCACCATCACCGATAAACTCACGCAATTCATCCCCGGCCAAAAGGAAAAGCGCGACGACATGGGCGCTGACTTTGGCTTCGGCGCCACCCCCGATTCCCTTGTTCTACCCGTGCGGAGGCCAAGTCAGAAAGTCACGCGCGACGCCCAGATCGACGCTGGCGTTGGCTTCGACGCTGGTATCACTATCGATCCTATTGCGCTGCCTGGTCACATCAAGAAACTCCTTCCGATCCAGAGGACTAAGCGCGATCCTCAGGGCCGCGGAAAGGGACATGTTTTTGGTAAAATCGCAGAGGGAGTCGCGGGGGGTATTGGCGCTATTGCTGATGGGCTTACTATTCACCAGGCGCTTCAGGGCAAGCCGGCTTAGATAGTTGGTTTGGGGGCAAGGCGGGACTTGGGAAGGAGGTAGAGAGCGAGGTTACGATTTGCATGGGTGCTAGGCGCATCTTCTTTATGATGAAATGTCTTTCGTTTTATGAGGTTTTTTGTAGCGATAGATGTGCGAGCAATTACATTCGTTTGATGGTATGACAATGTGTTTTTGATGCTTGAGTGATGATGGAGTAAGATGTGATATGGCATGTAGCTAAACTCGCAGTTTCCTGTCTTAGCAATATACTACACTTTGAAAAATATAACACAAACACTACAAATACACATACCTACTTCCACATCCCATATATCAACCAACCCACCTCACTAATATAGTATCCAAGCCACACAAGGCAACCAACCCCAAGCTCCCCGCACCCAACCGTTCCCACAGCAGCCACCCGGAAACGACCCCGTTTCACCCCCCAAGTACCCCCCACCCCGGCACCATGTGCCCCCTCCAAACCCGCACGCACTTAGCCAAAACAGCGCTCAAAACAACGGTGGTATTCAAACCAGCACGCCGTCAGTGCATTCTCATGTGATACCGTATGTTACAAAATGAATTATTAGCCCATTGTAGATAGTATTCTTACATACAACCCCATTGTACGTGTTCGAGTAGAATCGTGAAAGCGAAAATACAGTACAGAAAGTACAGGGCGACGAATACTCAGCGTGCAAAAATTTGGAGTGCGAAGTAGGATCTATAGTGGGATTACTCCATGAGAGTCTAGATAACGGAAAGACTGTGGAAAGAAGAGGAGAGGAGAGGAGAAGAAGGAGGTGTATGACCGGCACACATCAACTTTACTTTCCATCAAGAAAATTACTTCCAACTCAACATCATTGCGGTACAGAAAAACGGGGTTGGAGGGAGTAACTCTTCATTCCATCATGACACTCGTATAAAGCGGCCAGAAAAAGTGCGGTGGTGGTGGTGGTGGTGGGGAGGGGTTGGGGGAATCCAAACTACCAAAAAGTAAAAAAACGTCATCAATGTGGTAGGGAGGCTGGGTAGCAAAAAAGAATCCTGCATGACCGACCATCCAAAAAAAAAGCGAAGGAACCACAGACTCATTTCCAAAAAGGGGGGGTATCAGGCGACCAAAAAAAACACACTCCCGCGAATATCCCAAAAAAATCTCAGAAAAAAGGCGTCAAAAAGTCCTCATCTCCTTGTCCATCTCATGACACAACTGCCCACACGCTCCCTACATTTCAAATCTCATCCCACGGAAAATCCTGCGGATCAATCCTCGTACAGGTAAGATATGGCAGTCCACCCTCGCGGAGATCCAGTTCGAGAAAATTCCGCATAAGTGGCTTGACAATATCTTTTGCTTTATTCTTAATCTCATCAATACGGCGCTCAAGCCGCTTTAGGTTATCGCGATTGTAGTGTTCGGGGTTGAGACGGAGAAAGCGCTTGCATTCGTCGTGATTGAGGTAGCTGGAGCCTGCTTGGCCGAGAAGGCGGAAGATGCGACCTGTGTTGAAGATTGGGGGTGGAGGGAGGGGGGCGACTTCGCCTCGGGGACCTTGGGGGCGTGGAGATTTGAGGATGGGAGCTGGAGGTGGGGTTGTGTTTTCTGCGAGCCATTGGCGGAAGAGGGAGACGGCGATCCAGTCGAGCCAGTTGCTTGAGGGGCTGACGCGCTCGCCGCGGCTGGTTGTGAGGGAGAGGCGGAAGAGTTTGACTTCGATCTTTGCTTTGAGTTCGTCCATTTCGTCCACTTTGTCTTCGATCAGTTCAATGACTGGCTCGGCAATTTGGCCACGCAGTTGGTTGATGCCTTGCGGCCACTGTCCGACCACGTGGACCATGGCCTCTGCGAAAATTGCCTTGCTCCGCGCCATGTAACCCAGTTTTAGATAGCTGGGTGGGTATTTTGCTATCTGTTTCCATAATCGGCCCTGGAAGCGGAGGAGGTGGTGGTCGACGCGTGGTCCAATTACACCAAGTGCATCGTATATGTCGGCTAACTGTAAGAGAGATTTGCACTCGACGTAGGCAGTCGCAATGTTGATGGTGTCGAGCGAGGGAGGGTAGTTGTAGAAGATGCGGAACAGGTTGTCATAGTCTCGGAAAGTGTCATCGTCGGGATCGAGTTCAGGAGGTGCGGAGGGTACGTTGACGGTAGAAAAGTTGGCTACGCTACGGAAGAATCCTGATTGCGGGGGCGCGGGCTTATTATTTCGTGCTGGTGGCGGCTGTGTGGATGTGCTTGGGTCACCTCCAAACATGGTGGAGGGTTGGTTCTTCTGGAACATGTCAGCGGGTGATTGTACGCGCGTCTGTGGGAGACAAGGTACCTTTTGGACCAGCATAGGCACATCATCGTCGCCGTTTCCCCAATCGAGCTCATACCTCCATTTCCTCTTTTGCTCTGGTCGTGAACCAGAGGGTATTCTGGACAGGGCGGTGCCGTTTGTCGGGCCTGTGTTGGTCACGTCTCCGGCGGTGGCCCACTCATCGCTCGTGCCAGCCTCAAAGAAACCAGAGCACTGGGTGAGGATCAGCTTATGCAGCAGATAGCGCTGTTCCTTGCGTCCGTTGCTAATGATGATTTCGACGTCGCCGGTATGGGTGAAGACGGGGAACTCATTTTGCGACACAAGCGACGAGCCACCGAAATTGGACCGGGTCTGGCGATGTCTGCGGACAGTTGACGCGCGAGAGGAATGTGATGCGACAGAGGAGGGCCGGCGTATGGGCAATGAGCGCTCGGCACTCGCGGAGTCTGGATAGGAAACCATGCGCCGCGACTGGTGGTGTTTTGCTGCAGACGGGGTCGCGGGCTGTGAAGGTGCTGGCTGGGGAACGGTTGAAGGGGGTGGGTGTGGTCTGGCGGAATATTGCGCTCCAGCAGGTTTGCGACGGGTCCGAGGTGGCTGGTCGCAGGGAGACTGCAGACTGCAGGCGTGGAGGCGGGTGAGGCGACAGCAGCAGCAACAGCAGCAACAGCAGCAACGGCTGTGCGGGTTGCGTTGTTTGCACGCGGCGGTGCAACGATGCAACGATGCAGCAGCTTGGTCGAGTGCAGACGGGTGGGCTGGTAGTTTGTTGATGCGAGGCTGGAGGCTGCGCTGAGTAGAGGCGGGCCGCTAAAACCACCCCACCTCCAAGGACAATGGCACGCAGGGGAGACCAAGACAAGACGGTGGCTAGGAGCAACGCCTTTCAGCTGGACAAGGGCAGCGCTGCGGGTCAGCGGCAGTGGTGAGGTTTGTTTCAGACAGATAGACAGACAGCAGCGGCCGCTGTCGCCATGGCCGTGGCCGTGGCAACTGTTCACATGGGCTGCTCTGCTTTGCACTCGGCCCATGCCCTGGCACAGAGCTGCTTGCGAGGGCTGTGCGCCAATCGCCTCCCATAGCCGGGCCAAGCGCTGGGTGAGCCTCGACGGCCACCAGCTGGGATACCGCGGCAGATGCAGGGGGGGATGGCTACAGGTTATGGGCTTTCAACAACTGGGATGCAGGGGTAGCAGGGTTATGGGCACTTGGGTCCGCCATTCGCGTGCTCGAGAGCACACTTCTTTTCAACACGCTCCGCGCTTGTCGTGGCGGCATCCAATCGTCAAGTTGATAGTATACATGCAGTGATACAGCCGTACTATGGTGCAACAAGAAGCACTTCTGACGACGTTGCGACACTAGTTGGGAACGGAACCTACCAGCACTAGGGCTGTGCTCCAATCTTCGTCTGTCCACCCATAAAGGGTCGCAGCACCTCTGGTATCGTTACAGTGCGCTCCTGTTCGTTCCAGTGGTTCTCCAGGATCGCTGCCAGCACCCGCGGCACAGCAAGGGCAGTCCCGTTGACTGTGTATGGAAACTCCAGCTTGCCCTTGACACGCACTCGCGTTTGTAGCCGACGGCTCTGGTAATCCGTGCACATTGAAGTTGACGTCACCTCGCCCCAGCCTTGGTCCTTTTCTCGTCGTGAGGGGAAGAAGGCTTCAATGTCCAGCTTCCTTGTAGCGCTCGCCCCAAGATCTGTAGTCGGCATCTCCAAGATGCGACATTGCAGCCCCAGTGCTTCCAATATCTCCTTCTGTATCGCCAGCATTTCCTCAAAGACTGCTTCGGAACTTGATGCTGGCTGGGCAGCAAAGTAGTCTTCGCCCGCGTGGTCAGGTACTGTCCAAGCGAACATTTCAACCTTTGTGAACTCGTGAACGCGATACAAGCCTTTGGTGTTGGCGCCTCTTGCCCCCGCCTCAGCACGATAGCATCTACTGACACCGACCGTCTTGAGTGGTAGCTCTGCTTGTTCGAACTTGTGGTTTGCATACATGCCCGCAAGCGGTATCTCCGCGGTGCCAGCAAGGGCTAATTGGGGCTTCGCTTTGTCTTTTTCCGACTGCTCAATGGCATAGATTTGCTGCTCTCCGTTCTGGTCCCGCGGCTGGAACCCGCATGCGGCTGCAACGTGCGAGTAGACAATCGAAGGAGGTGCCACTGCTTTCCACCCTTTGTTCCGCGCGACGCTCAGAGCATATTGTACCAGAGCTTGTTCCAGCATTGCTCCATCTCCGACAAGAAAGTACCAGCCCCATCCTGACGTTTGCGACGAGCCTGAGAAGTCGAGGATGCCCAGTTCTTGTCCAATGTCTACGTGTGACTTTCGAGACGCGGATTGCAGTGGCTCGCTCTCGGATTGCGCATTGATGTAGCCCACTACTTCAAAATCGTCGCCGACTGGAGTGTACGTGCTGCTCAAGTTGGGAAGGTCCTGCGCCAGAGCTTCAATCTCATCTTGTATCTGCGTCTCCTGAGCTTCAATTGAGCTCAATTCTTCCTTGAGAGCTTTCGCATCCGCAATAGTTCCTTTCTGCAAGGCAGCAGACTGCCCATCGCCACTCTTGGCCTGCGCCGCTGCCCTTGCGAGTTTGGCTCGCAGCTGGTTATTGCGCTCCCGCAAGCTACGACTGCTCTGCTGCAGGGCGAGCCACTGGTCGTGTAGTTCTATGATGCGCCATGATGATTTGCTATGCGCGCCATAGTTTCGATCTATACAATTCTGCTCGTAGAGACCTGGGTTCTGTCTGATGTGCTTAATGTCGATTGTGGGCTTGGGCGCGAATGCGGGTTGGGCGTAATTTCTGCGGGATGATAGCACGGCTGGGCGAAGCGATTTTTTTGGTTTAGCTGTACACTCTGTGAGCGAGTATCGAAAAGCTCTCATTGTCGCAGCACCTGAAAGGTGGAATTGTGCTGTCCGTCCCACCTCTGCAAAGTCGGAACTTTTGGTGGAGGCACTGTGACCCCTGCACCCTGTCGTGTAGTACGAACCTTGCGTTCCCCGCAGCCGCCCGCTTGCATTGCAGCTGCTATACTTGAGCCAACAGCAATCTCTCTTACGTATATATTTTGTGAGGAACAAACTCCCCACTTACGCACTGGGACATCTGGAGTAGTACAAGAAAGATTCGTTGCTATTGATTAGCTAGCTTTTTAAAGCCATGAGGTGGAGTGCGAAAGATGTGGTGTTCCATCTGTGCAGCAGTGCCAAGCTTAGATATCGATAACATCACGTGTGTCCTGGCAGTAAACTGTAGGGCGCTAGAAGATCTTGTGTTGCTTAAGCTATGGGGGTTAACCGATATGCAGAGTTCACTTGTATTTTATGTCACGTGTTGTGCCTTCTGTAAAGCTTTACAGGGTAGGCTTTTCTATCCTATAGCAGCGACGCGTAGCAGGTTTAATATTTATCATTTCTCAGACGTGGATAGTATAGGCTGGGAAACTTCACTGCTCAGGGTCTAATATCTACTCCAAAAGAAAGTGCTCTTCAATAGATGGCAATTTGTAGTTGACCAATCATCAGTCTTATTGCTGTAAAATACCGTAGACGCGATTGTATAGACTATGTAGACTATAGTACATCACACGCTTCTGTCAAAGCGCCAACAGATTGTTCTGGATCATTGTAATGTGGTGCGGTAGTATGTTACTTTTTTCAGCTTAAGCAAAAGTTAATTGAGGATGTTGTGGTTGCGGTGTGGTGCTGGTTAGGCGTCTACACATCATCTCAACTAGCTCCAATGTCACGAAATTAGCCAGCGTGTTGCCAAGACTGCCCAGACAAGTGGCTTATCTCTTCTGGTAAGGGGCTACGCTACGCCTTGTACCCTCTACCAGAAGATTGTATGACGAGATGCAACGTGATGAGGCCTAGTGTTCACAGATGATTTACGCTATGTTTTTTCATTGCTAAACATTTCAGTGAGTGCAGTCTCCTTTCTTTGTACTATAAATCAATTTATACTTATTTTAAACTTCTTAGCCTATAACACCAGCTTTTTGACTAAAGTTTAGAGAGTGTTGTGATCATTTGCTAGTCTGGAAAGTACCATCCAACAGCCATTAAATTATCTGTACAAATACTATCAACCAGCGGCAACCTGTCTAACAATAGACCAATCGACTTAAATCGACTACGGCCGGACGCCTAGTCACTACCGCCAAGAGTTTATGCGAAGTCGTATAAATACTTATCTTGCTATGCTTAACGAACAGCCCTGCGTTTCTAACCTCCCAAATTCACTTCACTATTGCCCAACGAAATGACGCGCACTCCTATGCTTTTCGCCATTATCTGGAGTGCCTTGCCTGTTGCAGTACTTTCTGCTTGTCGTCATCCAAATGGCAACCTGCAAACGGACGCATATCATGCCCCTTGCGCCGAGGTTCTAGGCAACCCACTCAATACCATGTGCTGCGCAATTGAACGGCCCAACCCGTCCGAAGGGATTTATGCAAATGGCTTTGCTGCAGATGTATGCCTGCCAAACGGACTTTGCAAGCAGGCCTGGCGCCGTGATGAAAACAGTACAACAAATATACAGTACTACCGAGAGGAGTGCACAGTTGAGGGGTGGAAGAACGGAAGTTGTTTGAGCGTCTGCTTATCAACTAGTGTGCGTAAAACGATCATATCTCTTTCACCTAGCCTACTGACACGTGGTAGGTTAGTAGCAACGTTTTGATGACACCCTGCGACGATACTGCGAACTCTACAAAATGGTGTTGTGGCGAGACGAAGGACTGCTGTGCTGGTGATATTGGCATTGAGACGCTTGCGCAAACATTCCTTGGGACGATTGCAACCTCCACATCGACTATCAGCTCGTCAGCGCTTAGCTCGTCAACCTCCAGCTCTTCGGCATCAACCTCACCTCTCTCTGAAACAACAGCACCTAACCATTCCGATGGCTCAGTGTCGCTTTCAGCCGGTGCAATTGCAGGTATTGTCATCGGCGCCGTAGCTGGTATCGCGCTCATTGGTGCCGCATGGTTCCTTATTGCACGGCGACGTCGAGTTGCGGATTCATCACTCGATAAACATCAAACCTCTGGTCCGTCCGAGATGCAGACACACTACTACGCACATGAAGCAGGTTCACCTGAGCCGAAGGTTTCCGAATTGTCGGGCACGAATCCCACTAGTCACGATAAGACATCCAGAACCTACGAGTTGCAGTGAAGAGCTACAAAGGATCGAAGCTTGAGATTAGCGTTGGAATCTTTTGCATTCTGAAATATAGAATCGTTCAGCCGACTGGGCAAGTAGTGAAGGATGGCTCCTGTACACAGTTTACCAGGTTGCTCCTGTCGTCCTGTCACTATTACGTTATTTGCTCTGGAGCTTTATGACGCCCAGCCATCACTAAAGCAAAGGCACCTGTGTGATGTGTCAATGTATGATAGGCCAAAGTTCGATCAACTATACCTAAATGGATTTCAAAAATGTGTTGTTCCCTACGAGTAAGATTAGGGCAGATAAGTAGGCCTGAGCCGTGCTATATCATGAATCAGGTATGAATAGAGCGCTATCCTTGATATTTGCCTGGCGGCTGAGTAGATGCATTCGTTCAAATTGTAGAGCAGGAGTAAGGGATCTCTCTGTGGATGAGTTGTTGCCCGAAATTTTATTTATGTACCACTGGCAACGTCAAACTACACAGCTGCCGAATGTTGGTCTCAGTCAGGGCGAACTTCCGGCTTCCGGGTCACGCTAACCTGAATTGGCTATATCCGGTGTCCAACATCCAGCGACTAGTTGCGCTAGGACAACAGTTTAAGGAATTATGGTTTCTGGTTTTTAGAGTACGTTTACAAAGATACGGAATTATTGCACCTGCATTCAGATCGCCATATTCTTGAGCTGTTAGTGTACGTGCCCCGAAGCTAATTAACCCGTTCCAATCCAATTACGTTACTACCGGAAACATTAATTACTACACTTGTGCGAGGCTCTTAGATATTGATATATTCTGGCATCTACACAAAACATGACCCTTTAACTACTGGCTCAGTTCCTTGATGATCGAAGTAGCACTCGTTATCCAACATGGAGTCTTTTGCACAAGACAGCGCGTTTTGCCGGATCCTGTATCTTGGTGCAAAGCCAGTGGACGGGCACATATCCTCACGGTTTGTGCAGGATCCGCCCGTCGGATATTAAAATTGGTCCGGCGCTTTCTCCTCCAACTCCGGAGTTATAACAGTTTTGGATTTCTGGATCTTTCCTGTCGAATACTTCCGAGAAAATTGTGGAAACTCATTGACGGTCCTACGATTGGTTTATTGCAAGAACAAGGTGGGGTCAAAGCAAACACATATATCAAGACTGCACGAGATAGCCAGTATAAGTCAGCTACTTACCCTGTTGGATGTCTCAGGTATCATCTTCGGTTTCTCTACAACACTTGCTGTTTAAGTATCCCCACACGCATGTAACAAGCTCGAGTGGGCTTTTGAAACAACCGACAACGACCTTGCCATCATGTCAGCCCCAGTCAGCTTGAAGGATCTCACCACCGAAAACATCACTGAGAATGTGCATGCTATTAATTCCCAATGCTCCAATCCCCGCTTGAAATATATCCTCGAGCGAGCTGTAACACATCTGCACGAACTTGCGAGGGAAGTCAGGCTCACCACCGATGAGTGGATGGCAGCCATCCTCTTCTTAACTAAAGTTGGACAAATCTCCTCAGAAACCAGACAGGTAACGTTGTAACCCAGATTTATAGCATTTGCTTTTGATGATGATGATCATGGCTGATTAGTACCAGGAATTCATTTTACTATCAGATATTTTAGGTCTTTCGCTCCTAGTAGACTCGATTGACCATCCCAAACCTCAAGGAAGCACCCAAGGCACCGTACTTGGCCCATTCCACACACACGAAGCCAAGAATAGGGACCAAGGCAGTCTCATATCACACGATCCAGATGGAGAACCGCTCCTTGTTTTATGCACCCTGAAAGATGTTCACGGTAACCCTATTCCAGGAGCGCAGATCGATGTGTGGGAGACGGATTCAAAAGGCTTCTATGATGTGCAACACGCAGATAGGACGGGCCCGGATGGTAGGGCTGTCCTAACGAGTGATGAGAACGGTAACTTCTGGTTCAAAGCCATTGTTCCTGTCCCTTATCCAATTCCACACGATGGGCCTGTTGGAAAGCTTCTGAAATTGCTGAACCGTCATCCGTATCGACCGAGCCATATGCATTTCATGTTCAAAAAAGAGGGATACGATCCCCTCATAACGTAAGGCAAAAGGCCTCGGTCACACTTTGATTTTCAGCTAACAACTTGGACAGTGCTTTGTACTTGAAGAACGATCCGTACGAATTGACAGACGCAGTATTTGGTGTCAAGGACTCTTTGGTGGTTCCGCTCCAGAGAGTTGAGGATGAAAGGCAAGCCAAGACTTATGAGGTGGAATTGGGGTCTGCGCTCATCTCGTATAACTTTGTTCTGGTCAGCAATGAAGCTGCAGTAGAATTACGCAGGCAGAAGGCAGAAGAGGCGATGGCTGGTCTGAAAGGCAAGTTCAGATTCATCGGCAATCTACCGGTTCCAGATGTAGATTAGGCACTGGGCTGGAGTGTCGGATAAACACCTGATCTATCGTTGTCGAGATCATTGAATAGGAATGAAGAGGTACCTATATCTGTCGAATCGTTCAACCCTGTTGTGAAATCCTGTAGCAAACAGGGGTCTATAAGGGACGCGAATAGTGTTTCAGGGTCTGTGACATGCCCATTTGCAGCGAAGGTTGTCTCAGGGAAACAATAATTAAAGTTCTGCCCAAAGTCATTGAAGTTGCCCCGACCTTGAGCTTCATCGTCGACCCGGTCTGTATGGACACGAGGAAGTGGAACAGAAATAGCTGCATCGCGCTGGATCATCGACCGAGCAATATCCAGCCCTTCTCGTAGTAATTCCGCACTCCGAAGAGCCACTGTAGCTTCCTGCATCGACTGTAGAATATTCTGAGCTTTGATCACATCCTCCAAGAGGTCCTCGCTTCGCAAAGCAGTGGCTCGGAGCATGATGACATATAGAACAATCATGCCAGCGTACAGAGTATACGTTGAATTGTACCACCACGTGCGAAAGTAGTGACGATGCGTGTACGCCTCATGAAGAAGCTGGATCGTCTCTCTTGCGGCGCTCAGACAGAGTCCAACATGATCGGACATCTCCAATGCGTTATAGTTGATAGACGGAATCAAGAATATTCGATGAACGAGTATCCTCGCATTCAGGTACCTCAATTGTAAAACAACTTTCACTTTTCCTGCCCACTCTTCCTCTCGGAAAGAGAGTTTGCCAAAGTCAAGCCACTCAGGCAGATTGGCTTTCCAATCGCTAAGAAGGGCATCAAGCTCCTTTGCAATTACTGACTTCTCCGATAATGTGAGGCCCTTGGCGTCATGATATAGCTCTTTGGATATGCGACGAAGGATAGCGGCATAGCGTACCATCTCATTTATCATAGCAATGCTTTTGGGCTCAGCCTCTGAGGTATCAGGATCACCGTCAATCTGGTTCCTGATGAGAGGCAGCGGGGTTTGATAACTGTGCGGTTTTCTTAGGCTGTCTCTTCTCCCTGAGCTGCAGCTCATATCGATCTCATGGGAATATATGCACCACCAAGTACGCCGCGCAGCTTTTCGGTCCTTTGTCGACCTAGACATGGATTCGTTTGCAAGGCCAATCGCGAGAGCGGTACGAACAGCCTGACCGCAGTACATGTAGCATGTGTGCGGCATGTGGGAGTTCTGACAGTAGAGTGACTGCGCGATCGTTAGCAAGTGGCGTTGCAGGCAACATGAGGGGGCTCAACCATTAAAAGGAGTGTTTGCGCACTTTCCAAGGAACACACTGCATATGTATCCCCCAGCTTATTCTTGGACTGTCGGAAATACATGCGGGAGATTGTCTGGGAAGAAATCCGTCGTTCAGGCTCTGCCAATCCCGCTATATATGTCTGCATGTCCTGCCCCAGATCCTCGAGAACGTTTCTATCAGCGATAAGGGCGCCCACTGCCACAACAATGTTGTATAGCGCAGCGAAGTGTCTGTATCTTTTGCTTCTTTCAGTGGTAGTGTGCCGGGCCCACATTTCTCTCCCGCATCGTTCTTCAAACTGAACTGGATCAAGCATGGGATGAATATAGTGTAAGTTCTGGAAGAAAACATTGATGTAGAACTTTTCTAGACGTCTTTTCAAAGCCTGGGTAGATGACGACATGTGATCCTGGACGTTGTGAACTGTAATGTGGCATGGAGAACTAATCGCATCAACGGTATGCGCAGGTCGGGTACTTTGAGGCACGGCCGGCAGGCCCTCGCACAACGTTGAGCCCAAACGTCTATTCGTCGTACAGCTGTAATTTGGCGCCGTGTTACTTGACTCGGCCTGTCGGTCACTTGCGACGTGTGGAGGCGTCTTTGGTCTTGACGGTGGGGAGGGCACCTCTTCATTTGACAGGATATTGATGATAGAAACTCGATCTTGGGACAGGGATCTCAGGTCGGGCTGACCATTTCGTATGTTGTTAACCGACAGGTGATTTTCACTGGGAGCATGTGACTCGTTGTGGCCATGGTTGCTGGTAGGGAAAAGATGTGTGGTCGATTCATGAACATCAGAGCGCACGTAGCCGGAGAGACCATTTTGTCGGGCGAATGAAAAGAGCTGGTTGAGGAGCACAAAATTAGATGATGTGCCGTAGAATTCAGTACCCTGAGTGCGCTGGTTGATATCGCCTACTACATCTAAAGTATTTGTGGATAAGGCCTGAGGTGCAAAATCTAGTATCTAAGGTCAGTGATATTGATGCCGTGAGAAACTAGGAAACTCAAGAATCGTATACCAGATAGTGCTGTATCACGAGGAGGCTCCTGCAACTCGCCTTCATGTGGTGCAGTCTGACTCCCAGTAGCAAATCCTGGAGACATGGGAGTACTTGGCGTTTCATTGGCGCTTCTATAATCTTGCTTCTTTTTCTGACGACTGCGCCTTTTGATGCCGTATTCGCAGTCAGCAGCGTGCTTGACGCAATTCAGACACGGCTGTTGCTGATCGCATTTGGCCTTCTTTACGCGACACCGTTGACAGGCGTGGCTCACCCGCGGACGATTACGGGGTCCTTCAGCCGTTAGATCCGCAACAGGGAATGTATTCTGTTCTGGTTGTACCAGGTTACTTGTCTCGGATGAAGGCTGCATTTGAAACATCCGAGCATATGCGAGTCGCTAGCGGAAGATTTGAAGTTGGGGGCAGAACCGGCAATATGATATTTATTTGGTAGTTCATTATCCGGGATATCCACTTCTCCGCTCTATGCAACCAATAGGAAGACCAGAAGATATTCGTGAACAACTCGACCGGAAGTCGGACATCAGCGAAAACCCGGCGCTAAGTCCATGTCACGTGACGAGAGCATTCTGTGAAATCCTTTGTCAATGTGCAATATCTCTACCAGGAAACTATTAAAAGTCCCACCATGCCTTCAATTACAGTTGAAATGAATCCACGACTATCCAAACAATTGTTCCAAAAGTCTTTACGGCATGCCGGTCTTCCAAGAGACATCTAATGCAGCAAGGGACCTCAGGATCCTTCCTTCTCGTGCCCTGCCCCTCCCAAGACTCTCGGCCAGACCGGAACCCTTGTCGAGCGCAGAAGAGAGTCGTGAAGTTGTTGTTATCGGGGTAAGTATGGAGTTGGGCGTCAAAAAGAATGTAATCACTAACACTTTCGCGATAAGGCTGGGCCGAGTGGTCTTTTCTTAACCCTGTTGTTAGCCCGATATGGCCTTACCGGGTCTTCACTACTTTGTTTGGACTCGAAACCCGGAACATTAAAGGCTGGTCAAGCAGATGGCCTACAGCCTCGAACATTAGAGGTCCTCCAGTCCCTTGGTATAGCCGCGGAGATTATCGATGAAGGCTGTCATATGGAAGAGGTCGCCTTTTGGAATGCAATACCTGCGAGTTCGCAGGAGGGCCCTATTGGCGCCAAGAGAGGCATTGAACGCTCTGAATTCGCACCCGACGTGAACGTGCCTACTCGCTTCCCTTTCGAGGTCACGATCCACCAAGGCCGTATCGAGCGGATACTCCAAGAAAACCTTCATTTGTATGCGCCTGAGGACACAATTCGGAGGTCTCATCGCTTCCTCAAGTACGTTGTGGAGGATCCTAATTCCGAATTTCCAATTCTTGTGAGTTACGAATACGACGATATTGATGGCAACACAAAGCAAGGATCCGTTCGCACGAAATATCTTATTGGCGCAGATGGCGCAAGGTCGCAAGTACGAGCGTGCATGGGACTGAACCTAGAGGGGGAGACGACGGATCATATATGGGGAGTCTGTGACTTTGTTGCGACTACAGATTTTCCTGATATCCGCAAGCGGTGTGCTGTGCATTCCGATTCAGGGTCAGTCATGGTTATCCCCAGGGAGCAGATTGCCACCGGCGAGTATCTTACCCGCCTGTATGTACAAGTGCCTGGAGAGGTAAGCAAGGATGAAGATTCTCAAACAGATAAGAAGTCAGCCGACAAAAAGAAACGTGAAGCTGTAACACTGGACTACATCTTCCAACAGGCACGCAGAGTGTTTTCCCCGTATAGCATTAGCATCAAAGAAGGGACCATACCAGACTGGTGGGCTGCGTACCAGATAGGTCAACGAATGACGCCAAAGTTCTCTGCGAGAACACCTGACGGGGTTGACAGAGTGTTTATTGTTGGTGATGGTGAGCTCAGACTTCAACTTTTCATAGAACGGACACACACTAATAGTTAGCAGCGTGCCATACACATAGTCCAAAAGCTGGGCAAGGCATGAACGTATCCATGATGGACTCTTACAATCTTGCATGGAAACTCGCTCACAGCATCCACGGATTGACGCCGCATCGTCCGCCAGGAGTGGCGGACCCAGTACTAGAGACGTTTGAGTCGGAGCGCACCGACGTTGCCCGCCAACTCATCGAATTTGACACAGCATTCTCTCACATCTTCTCTGGGAAGATCGGGTCGGCGGATTCTGCAGCTTCAGGTCTTACGCATGAGGAATTTCTCCGTGTCTTCACCGAAGGTAATGGGTTTACAAGCGGATGTGGTCTTCAATATCAACCGAGCACGTTGATTCGGACGCCAGTCAACCCTCAATACAGTGCAGGCGATCGGTTCGGCGGCGCATTGATTCCAGGGAAACGTTTGCTCAATGTCGAAGTGAAACGGTATGCGGATGCAACAAGTCGTCAGTTACATGATGGTACGTATTCACGAACTTACGGCACCGAAAACTAGCAGTTCAGCTGATGTGTATTAAAGAGATACCTTCTTCAGGCCGATACCGTATCATTTTGTTTGCAAGCAAAGATCTTGTTGATAAATCCGGTGCCTCTCAATCAGCCTTGATATCATGCAGTAAGATCATTGAACAGTTTCCTGCAGGCACGATCGAGCTTGTCGTTCTTCACCCTCTAAAGGAGCGATTCGAATGGACTGACATTCCCCCGGTTGTGAAGCAGCTTGCTGAGATGCGAACATACGGGTTGTCGCGGAAAGAAGATGCCTATGAGGTATTCGGTGTATTAAAAGATGAAGGGCTTATCGCCATAGTTAGACCTGATGGGTACATTGGGACGTTAGTTTCTTTGTCTGACACTAATGAGGTAGAGGAATATCTTCGCTCTTGTCTTATCTATAAATGAAATGTTTTCAATTTCTTCAATAATATATAATGCGATTTGGAAGTGAGGCTACTCAGGATTTCAAGAACCAGACCTTTGGCGTAATCTCACGTACCGAGCTAATAGTAATATTACCATATCAGTAATTATAAATTATTTCTACTATACTCAGAACTTGGATAAGACTATTAATATTGAATCATTGTAGTAACTAGATAATTACATCTAACGTCAGTAGCTTCATTAGATTATTTAGCTTGCTAGATAGCCAAGACAGCTGCTTAGTTAGTAAAGGAAAGAGAAGAGAAACGGGTGTTTGCAGCGGAGACGCTCTAGGCTTATAGCCTGTCAGATAATAGATTCACGAGCTAATTGTACATAGTGCGAGAGGAGAGGTATATGCTAAGATACTCGATAACTAAACCCAGCCGCCTTGTGAAGTCCAAGCTCCTTCACCTTCAACCTTGCAGCCCAAGCCTTTTTCGTCCTTTGAGATGAACATTGCCTATAGGATAATGAACATCTTACGTTTAATTTTTCTACTATACATTGATCGGATGCTTTTTATGGAAAACATTAGCAGGATCATATCTTGTCTTGAGTTCCTGCAAGCGAGGGAAATTGTCCTTGTACATGTATTCGCCTGTGAACTCAGGCAGCACCCCCGCATTCGGGTAGACGAGACCTTTGATGACATCTTTGCCAACTGCCTGATGATGCTTTTCACGCAGGAGCTTGACCATCTGTTTCGAAGCAGTCACGGCAGTAGGAGTTTCTTCTTCGTCGCCATATCTGTCGCAGAAATGAGATTAGATTCCGTGCTACTCGAGGACAATCAAGGTAGGGAACGAGGGAGACATACCCAAGGTAGATAGCAACGTCTTTCCAGAGCCTATTACCGTCTCCTGGTCGCTCTCGTGACGGCGGCCAGGCCGAAGTCTTGTCGCTAGCGGGCTTCAAGACTTTGCGCCAACTGTACATACCCACAAAGAGTGAACTTCCTGGTCTTCTTTCAGGTTTGGCGGAGTACCATTGGTGTAGACGGTCCACGACAGGAAGAAAGACGTCTGGTCCGACTCGAGTCACCAGTGAACCGTTTGACAAGCGACGCGTATAAGGCCAGAGCGCATCGGGATATAGGTCCGCAGTCTCGTGGAACCACATCAGCCTAGTTTCATCCTTGAGATAGGGAATACTAAAGAAGACATCGAACCGCTTCCGAGCCTCGGCGATATCGTCCCCGTGATAGTATGGCATCAAGAGTATAGTCTCAGGAGGTCCATTCGGATTGTGGGGTAGCAATACCATGAAAACCATGTCCTCATCCTTTTGTGTAGTGTCGTACTTATCGAGTGCTTGAAAGACAGCTTCGATCTGTTCAATCGGGTAGATAATCGACCCGAAGAACACCTTTGTCGTCAAAGGGATAGCGCGGAATGTGAGTTGCGTCACAACACCGAAATTATACCCCGCTCCTTTGAGTCCCCAGAACAGCTCGGGGTGAGAGGTTTCGGACACTTCGACGACCTCTCCACTGGCGAGGACGAGCCTAGCCGAGATCAGGTTGTCAACAGCCAAGCCCCAAACTCCCATGCCCCATCCAGCACCCGTGCCGAGCGCAAAGCCGGCATACCCGATCTCTTTGTGAGATGGGAGGGACACAAAGACGCCACTTTCTTCACAGGTCCTGGCAACGTCGCTGACCAAGGCACCTCCTTCCATAGTCACTGTTCCGGGGCTGCCGTATCCCGAGTTCGTCACGTAAACTGTGTTCATGCGTCTTAGGTCTATGATAACCCCGTCCGAACTGGATGCTCCGACAAACGAGTGACCTCCAACGTTGACAGCAATTTCGAGTTGCTGCTCAACAGCGTATTTTACAGCTGCAGACACGTCGGCCTCGGTGAGAGGTTGAAAGATCACCTTCGGGTTGCCTTCTTCATTAATTGACCACCGGCGTCGAAACAACGAGTAAAGTTGGTCATGAGGTTCGATGATCACTGGCCGGACGTGAGCAGGGAAATGGACAAATTTGCAAGGCTGGGAAGGGGCTTACTGCCTCGAAAATTGTTCCGGAGGTTGTCTAAGGTAGTTGACATCTTGTCTTGCTTGCTTGCTTCGGGACACAAGTTTATATTCTTTCAATGGATAGATGGCTAGGTATGGTAAGAATGAAGTTTGAACAGACATCGATTCAGGGTTTACGACTTTTATAGGCCTTCTCGTCTACTCCACGTTTAATTCTTGGGATGCGCTGAAATCTGGGCGAGGAATTGTTTCCGGCCGGAACATGTTGAGTTTCCACAGTGGAGCTATTAGGTCTCGACTGTTACGAGCGTCCTTCTTACGGCGATGACCCGGTGATTTTGACCGTGAGCAAGAAGCCTCCGCAAACATCGCCATTATGAGGTACTATTCTGTACGACCATCGCAAGACTGGGGTTAGTGTAGGTCCACTAGCGCCCTAGATAGTGGAGACTAACGGATATTTCCGATCAACGCTACAATGCGGGATTCCGAACTCTGCCTAGAACTCATAGTATGTATCGGAAATTTCCGCATGATTTGCCTCTGACCAATAACTCTCGTCTTTCTTACTTGGATCTTTCCACGGACGAAACGGAACCCGCAGGTGTTGTCCTAAGCATGCACTTTGGCTCCGCACTACAAGGGCTCAATAAAGTACCTCCCGACTGGTAGATCAACGTCGACTCTGGATTGAGACAAAACTTACTCCACACTACTAGCTAACAAGGCCCACCGGTAGTGAAGATTAGCCTAACCACAACATACAGCTCTCTGTGAATTCACACGCGTCGACATCCATTAGATTTCGTCCGCGACACCTGAGTCGAGATCTGGACAATGATTCGATAATTGGACGTTAGCTGTATGCCTGCTTGAATATTGGTGGGATCCCTTCCTGAGCCTAGCTGTACGGTCACGGAGGAAGCCCCCGGCGCCATGCTGCCATGTCCTGGAATGCACGACAATGCACATAGCTCTGGAAGACCTGGACGGCTTGTGTATTTGCAATGCTAGAATAAGTCCAAAAGGTCTCTTGACAGCTCTCGGTTCATTGTCTGATGATATTTATCGACCTGATCCAGCACAACTTCGTCCGCCGCTGGCCATCTGTAAGGTTGCTGCATTGTATCGAACATGGTCGTCAAGTCACTGGTGAGTTGGTACGGATCAATCATCTCGTTCGCAGAAGGCGGCCCCATTTGAGAGTGGACGGGCGGCTGTCGCGTTTGAACGTGCTGATCTTGTTCCATAGACACGAAACCTGAAGACGGTAGAGTGGCATCAGTGCTATTCATTGTGCCATTCCGCGTACCATCTGTTTGGGTTTTGTTGGGCAGCAGACCCAGACTCAAACTAATTTCTTTGAGGTGCTGAACCCGTTTCCAGAGCCTCTTTCCCACGTGAGACTCGAAAGAGAAGCCCTGGATGAGCTCAAGTGCCATTATGAATTCTTCACGACAAGCGTTTTTGAATTGGTATGGGGCGTGGCAAACGGCTAGGAAAAGGACCGCCAGTGCGGAGACCAGGAAGTGATTGAATGGAGCTTGCTGTGTCGAATAAAAGTCTGCCATTTGGCTCACTTTTTGCAGCAGCCGAATATTGTCTTTTGCTGCTTCAACAGCGAACGTGGCATTCAGCAGGTCCTCGTTCATGGCGTGGGAATTCAGAAGTTCCTGGCGGAAGATGAAGAGTTGTAGCTGATTGACATTGAAGTAAAACAGTAAACGAATCCTGTTCTCGCTCCGAGTGTATCCATGCAGCATGTTCGCCTCAGTCGGTTGTAGTTGATATTGGGGCTTGAGACTTCGATACCATTGCTGCACGCGGAAGTAGAGAAAGGATAGCTTCTCTGAAATGACTTTAGCCGTGATCTTCGTTGTCAACTTCCATACCTTTGATTCCAGTTGCGCGTACGCCACCATGATCGAGAGGAGGTAGGAGTCTGAGCTGCTCTAGAATTAAGATTTAGCTACAATTTCCATGTCACATTATTGAGTGATGGCAAGACGATGTACTTACCAGTTTGGGAAGATCCAGATCTACATCACACTCCGGAATGGCGAACGAGCGTCCAGTGCTAAAACTCCATCGCCTGTCGAGTATGTATATAGACCAAAAGAGTTGACTGGCTCGCAGGCGTTGCTCGTCGTCAGAGAAGCGTATCGAGTAGGTCTCACGCCGGTGGAGGCCTAGTTCGATCGCGGCTCTGCCAGCGAGACCGATGGTTCTCCAAGCGAGGACCTCCTCGTCCAAGTGGAATTGCAAGATGCTCTTCGAATCGTCAGGAGGACAGTCCACGTACCGGGAGGATAGAAAAAAAACCTACCATAGCAGTCCAGGCCTGTATCTCAAGAAGCTCAACTTTCTCCCCCAAGACGCGAATATCAAAGCCGGACTCAACGCTGTTGAGAAGCTTTGCACTCAGTTCATTGGGCCCATGACTCTCTATGGTTGCAGCTATGGCGATAACTAGCTTCAGGATGTCCCATATACCATCGGAGAGGGTATTTTCATCCTTTTGGTAGGTTTTCGTAGACGAGGGAGATGCCATGTCGACACAATCGTAAAAGCATTGAGCCGCGCGGTGCAAGACTGTCTTGTCGATGAAGGGATAGATTGACCCGTACTCTTCATCATAGACTTGCAACAATCGCAGCGCTTCATTCCGAGGGATGGTGCACAGTGGGTTTTCCATACCACGATTCGCGGAGCTTGTATCTTGGCGTTTGACCTTGGCCGATGTTGGGAGAGGTTCCACCTCGAGCTTTGTACATACTGGGGTATGTATTCCAGCGCTTGCCAAAGAATCTGTCGCCATTCGGAAGAGGAATGATGAACTGGTCGGACCAAGGAATTCGGGCAGTCTGGCGTGTGAAGTAGCGGATGAGTTGACCAAGGCTCCATTGTGGTCCGACTGATCCGTCAAGTCGGTGGTATTTAGGCCTTGGGAGGGTGAGATGGAAGCCGTCGTTGAGACAGTCGATTGATGTTTGCCTGATGAACCGGACGGGAGTCGGTCTGCAATGAGGCGATCAATTTGCTCTTGCATTTTCTCGATCTTCTCGTTCAAGGCATCGAGGTCTCTGAAGGAGGTCAGACACGTACACACAGTATAATGCAGGCAATGGGCAGATGATAATACGTGCCTTTCCTTCTGCAAAGGCATGGTGGCTAATCTCGAGTTGTAAGTGCAGGTGACAACCCTGTCGCGGCAGCGTTGGCATGGAATTTGGCTGTCGCATTTACCCTTGCGCTTCTTGCATTCATCGCTGTGGGGGGAGGGTTAGCAGATGATCAGGTTGTGATGACAGTAACTCCGTTGGGTGCGCACCAAGCCACGGGCGTATATCTCTTGCGTTTCCCGCGCGGAGTTGGCGACACGGTCGGGGGTTTGAGGCTGCCCGAATCGTTGGACTCATCCGGTTGGAGGTCGGCCATGGCTAGGCGATTCAACAGGCAAAAGAATGACGTCGATGGTGTTGAACATTCGGAGGAGACACCATATGGGTTGGGATTCAGAAATACACGGGTCGCGCCGCAGTGAATGCGGATCTAGAGAAGTCTCGTATAGCGGTCTGGGGTGATGTAACATGGCGTCAAGACAGTCTAAGACTCGGGCATTAGTCCGGGTCTAGAGTGGTGCCTCGGTTGTTACAGAGAGCGCTACTTTAGGAAACGTACTTACACTACGGCCATATAGTGCTATAATAGCCTACTATTTGTTACTAAGATAACTAATCCGATGTTCTATAAAGCAAATCGAAAGAAGAATATTAAGATGTTAACTAAATAAAGTTTACCATACTATAGGTCGACGACGGGTGTTGGCGTGCGTGAAAGTTGGAGCGATGTCGCTATGCATCGCGAATAATGGTCGGATTGCGTTGCCGTTGTTTATTCTCACAGAGTGATGGATTTAGAAAGCTTAGTTCAGCAATGGAGTGCTTACATGCGCCTTAAATTAGTAGTTTTGATAGACTTGTTGGCGATGCTGAACTTGGAGCTTAAGCTGTGCCCCCCCTTCAGCACTGCCAGCCGGGCTGTCAAACTACTGATTTTAACTTATGAAAAAATAGACTTATTAGCTAACTATAGTAGTGCAGCAGCGCGCGTATATAGATAAAGTATTTAGTTGCTAGGCCTAGCCACCTATAGGCACATTTCTCACAAACTTCATCCTTTACATTTAACAGGATGGATGGTATCTTTTGTACAGCACTCAAGGATGGCTGCGTGGTTGGCACGGCTTCGTGTACTCGAGAAGGAGCAATACCCAGTGCCTGACGAAGCTCTGGATAACACTGGTGATTGGTCTCCCCATGACTGGAGGTCCATCCTTCTAAGCTCAGAACTCGCACATGCGGCTACGAAGGTACTAAAAGAAGAGTTTATTATAGAAGCCTCAGCGTGAGCAAATTGATACCTGGTCATTCCTCCTCACTCCTACGAGATCGTGATCTTTTCCGTACGCATTGGTGGAAGAGGTATGGTGCTTGGCCAGTCGACTATCGCTTTCCAATGGTATATGCCGGTCCGGTATATACCCAAGACAGCGACTAAAGTCCCGTTCGCTGTGCTTCTATTCGGTAAAGGCGAGCCCATTTCGTTACAAGGCCGCACAAGAGCCCCAGCCCAGTAACCACATAGATGTTTTTTAACCAGGGAGTGAATGATCCCCTTCGCAGAATCTGCTCTAGCGCTCAAGAACCTGAACGACAGATAGCAGTTGAAGTCGTAATAGAGCCATTCAGCAGAAAGACCGTCTTGTGTTATGTTCCCATCTGCGCAATTACCGGTACTACTAAGCGTGAAGTACCTGGGGTTCTCAACGATCGACCACTCCTCCGGGAAGTTGGGACGGCTCGGTGCCCAGCCCAGATGTATCTCCTTGCCCTTCGACGTGTTCTGAATACGGGGAAGGTTGTTCATGAGGTACTCTGTGGGAACCCAGCCGCCAAGATGCGCTGACCAGAGATCAATGGCATTGTCATAGGGCTTCTTGCCACACAACAGACTCCAGATCACTATCTCATCGCGTGGTTTGGAAGTATAACGATGACTTAGAAGATATGTTGCATTCACTAAGTCAACAGACTCCAAGAAGCCTGCAGCTTTTGCGGCTGCTGGAGCAACTTTGCTCCACCACTTGATATCTGTTGCCGGTAGCAGGTGCAATGCGTTCACGAAAAGCGTTGATATATCGATGCATCCATTATGATGGACATTATTGATAACATCTCTAAGTAAGACGACATTGTCCTTTTTGCACAGGAGACAAATGTTGCGACTGCCCCGCATAGCTTCGAGGAATGTCCAGGCTCGCAGATTCCAGTCGCACACCAGCAATGTGGTCAATACCGTTTCCTGGATTGCCATAGGGATGTCATCGATCGCGATCTCCTTGCCTCCTTGGGTGTCACCGCTTGGGTCTATGTCGATTGACATGATATCTCGATCACACACAAGCGTCACTTTTGCCATTGCAAAGATCTCGTTGATGTGTCCGATAGCTTCCCGGCGGAGATTGCGGTCATGGGGAATGCAAGGTGTATCCATCCAGTAAGTTTCGCACGCGAAGGTAGACGCCAGCTGCGAATAACGTTCATGAAGACACCGATTGAAGCCCGTTCCATTCTCTTCGAGCGGCTCCGGCCGTCCACCTTGCCCGTGACTCCACACATGAGAAATCGCCATTGTAGCACTCGTCGCTGAGCGATAGGTCAATTTGTCAGGCTGATTTGGATGAACTTCCACAGCACGAGCACCGCTGGTTTGCTTGTAGTTGACTTCGTCCCAAAACATCTTTGTACAGGTAGTGCCTGGACAATGTGGAGCGTGCGCCGACTGATCTTGAGTCTTCATGCCTCTGAGTCTGTTGCAAGTAAAAGGCGAGTCCCCTTTGCACTGTCGCGTGGGCTCATTTGAATCCCCAGAGAAAACGCAGCGAGGATTCTGCTGTCCAAAAACGACCTTATACCTCAGCTGAAACTGACGGAAGTCTTGTGCGACCGAGCCAATGTCCTCTCGCAGTAGCCGAAAAGCCCATTGGCACATGTAAGGTGGTATTTGTGGCATCTCCAAGTCTCCGTTAGTCGCTGCTGCTTCGCTCGATCTTTGCATCGTCCGTTGCAACAAAGGAGTGTTGCCGATGGCAAACATACCATCACGTTGGGACCTTGTGTTGTTGAGGTGGTGATCCATCACAGCCCACAGGTATAGCATTATAGACCGTTGCCAAGCAGACCACAAGAAGATGCGAAGCAGACATACGTTTGTGGCATACGTTGGATCAAGTCTCCCCCAGTTCAGAGACAGTTTCGTAGAGCCTGCGAACAAGTCGCCGCATAGGTCGACAAATTTACGGTAGGGGTCATGCCAAGGTGAAGGATCTTGCCATCTGTACGCGATGTGTAACGCAAATCGAATCGTGTTGCTGTCAATGTATCGAGTTGTCATGAGTCGGCGGTTTGCGCTCGACGACAGCACTCCAGCATCCCTTAGCAAGTAGTCCTCATGTCGGTTGAATCCATCGATCAGCAAAGGTGCCGCAGTTACTGGTAATCTTCTCAGCAGATGACAAGCATGCCGAACCACAACATGCGGGTGGCCTTTCACCTCGAAGTTCGTAGTCAGCAGCCTGGCAAACTGTACATCGCACCCCTTTAGTCGATCGGAGAGAAGGTCCGAATTTCCCATCTGCTCAAGGAAGCTGTTGCAGACATCCACAGCGCGCTCCTCCCGTTGTGAGAGATTGAGGTGCACGGAACTCGAGGTCGCGCCACCAGGCAAGTCTGTCCGGTTCAGCTCCTCGACGTATTCCATGACCGTGGGGCTGAACTCATTCGGGATAGTACGCCCGTTCTGAGACGGTCGGCGCCATGAGCTCTGGTCCAGGATTTTAAACACTCTTGCTTTGGTGACTGCGTAATCGTCTTGTGACATTGTAGGGACATTCCGTGACTTGAGTGCACGGATTAGGAAGTGAAAGTGAGATGGAGTAGTCGGGCGGAGGGAGATAGACGCTAGTTTCATATGAGCTTAGCAACTGCATACAAAAACGACGGTACCATTTCGGTTACCTAATGCCCGTAACGAGCCACACCCAACATACGAGAAAGGTTCTCCATAGCGAATGAAGCTAGAGAAGACTGTGGAGCGCATGAAATCGCAGATTTCTTTGCAAAGCAAGATCCACTTCAATGGCAAATCACAGCAAGTTCATAGGTCTTAGGATCAGCCATTACCAGCGGGCCACAAGACGACCTTCACCAACTATCCCCTTACAACCGAAGCACAAGTATCCAAAGTCATCGATTCTGCCCTCAAAGCCAAGTAATCACGGGAAAACACGCCTTTCGTTGATCGAGCAGCAATCTTTCTCAAAGCGTCCGAGCTGGTAGCAACATTACAAACAAGTTTAATGCAAGTGCTGGACCGCAACTAAGTTCGTATACGGTGCGCTTGTCCTCCAGAAATCTTTTTGGGGATGAATTTGTTCCCCAGTCCTATTATTCGCGATTGCGTGCATATGATACGGAAGAGTAGAGAATCTCTTCGGGCTTTAGGAATGGCCGCATGTCCATGAATACATCTGCGCCGTGTTCCAGCAGTACCATAATTACATCAGTATTACGTCGCAACATTGCTCGAGCGAATGATTTCGAGAGTAATTTTGTCTTGTTAGAAGAGACTTCGAGTTTTCTCATTTTCAAGTAAAATGCTGGATATGGTATGGTGTTACACCCTTGCAGAGTGTCCGAGCGGAGTGATCTTAAGAGCGGTGTGAATGAGGGTGATGCTTGCACCGTGTTCCAGAAGTAACTTGGTGATAACTCTCCAGTTCCAGATGGACGGCGATAGACAGTGGTTATGGTCCCATAGGGTCAAGTGCATTCAGTGGTGCTCCTTTGCCGAGAAGCACGTTTAACGTGCATTCATCATTGCTGCATACAGCTACCTCGAGTGGCGAGACACCATGAAACTCTGACTTGAAGACTATGGTGATGGTCACAAAGGAAATAAATACAAGTAAGTTGAGTTTGTGCCGTCTTTGCTGTTCCACGCAAATCTAGCGCTGACTAAGATACATCGTCTGGCTATTAAGTTTGAGGTTATCTCTTACGATTGGTAGAAACGGCGGGAAGCCTCGTGTCAGGCAATGCCGATGATACACAATTGCCAGAGATTATATGATAGGCTCGCATAAGATAACGTGAGAGCGGGAATTGATTTTACTCCGCAGGTTTCCGGTAGCGAAGATATAAGAATGGTACTTCATCTTGGGGTTTTCATCACCACCTTCAACACACATACCCACAATTTTACCGAAACTCTCTCTCCCAAAAGTTCTGCAAACAATGCAATTCATCAGATCGGCGCTGTTTGTACTGTTCGCTGCGACATCTCTTGTGGCCGCCGCCCCAGCCGCTCGTCCTGTGCCAGAGGCTAAGAGCCAACATGAACACACAAGTGTTAATTGTAAGTCCTCAAACCACCAGCACTATGACTACAGATGAGCTGATACTTAGCTTTGAAGGCAAAGAAGAGCCTTGGGTCTGCAGGCCTCCGCGTAGCTAAATAGCTGCAGATGTAATGGGCTGAACGCTCTTTGGATCGCTCCTCGAACAGGATCTTGGTTCAAGTTGTGCGTGCAGACTCATAAAAGATAACTACGATTTTGAGATGTTAGGGTAGAGACCTATTTACCACAATAATTAAGACGAATTCTTAAGGATTTACCCAAGGTTTAGATGGGACTATATATACTCTATGTGTGTAACCGTGGCTTTATTAGTCCAAAGGGGGGTACCCGACGGATCTTCCTATGTCTACCACCTCCCCCAATAAGCCTCTCATTCAGACTATGGTCATATCTATATAGGAATCCGCTAAAAAGACACCAAAGTATCATAGTCAATCTTTTGCGCTACTCCACTATACCGCCATCTACTTATGTATCCGCGGAACGTGGCAGAATTTCCATTTGTCGTTGCGTAAACCCCAACAAGTCCCCCCGATCCAGCACCGTCTCCAGCAAGAAGTGCAGTACTATAATCGACAATGTGTCTCTCTTCGTGACTTCTCGTGCTTGGTGATGCAAAGAAACTGTAGCTGCTTTTGTTGTCTGGAGAGATGCGTATGTGGATGGGACTTGTCAGCCAGGATTGGGGGATCGGCTCGATTTTTTCTTGAGGAATGGGATAGCGTACGGAGTTTGCTCTGAAACGGAAATAAGGCTGCAGAGCACCACTGCTAGTAGTGTTTTTGAGGTAGACGATGCCGAAATCCACGTGCTGGTCTTGGTTCAGAAAGTTTGATACGCCCAGTTCGTCGCCTGCTGATTTGCCGAAGTTGGGGTGCAGGTCGACAGTGTAGTTGAAGAAGATGTGCTCCTGTCGCCGGAACACGGCTGAGAGTCCTTCCCGGGAGGCATTTAATTGCGCATCAGCTGTGAGGTTCGCCCTTGCGGACTGAATTTGAAGTTGGTTCGGGTGACCTTTGGGTGATATCTGGAAGGTTGAACTGTTGAAGGGAGCGCGCCAGAAAATCCAATGCGGTGGTATCTTAGATCCTGGCGAAGAATCCACAACATCAGGCGCTCCCCTAGCAATACTCAAACCCTTGCTGGGTGTCAAGGAGTTTCGCTTTGGTAGTGGCCCCTGCATCTTTCCACGCACCTGGTCAGCGTATGGCCAACCCTTGCTTGGCTATGAGACGGGGAATAGCACCGCCTCTCTGCCCATTGGGAAAATAGACTGATTGTACAGAGCTGGACCTCCTCTTGTGAATAAAGCGACTCCCCACCACTTCTTTTTTCCGTCCTGAAATAGGTCTACATGCCCTACGGTTTGAAAATGTTCATTAGTTCCGCTATTAGAGACTAGAGGATTATTTGGTGAAGCTTCCCATGGGCCCGTCAAATTCATTGCGCGCGCTATACTCGCTCGATGCCCGAGTTGAGTACCTCCTTCTGCGATCAATAGGTAGTAGTAGCCATCTTTCTTAAAGATGTGAGGTCCCTCCGCACTGGCACCACCCGTACCGTTCCACAATGGCCATGGTTGGCTCGTATTCCCAGTAGTCATGTCCAAATAGCAAGCTTGAATGGGACTCCCCGAAGACGCAACTACTACAGTACCGTCGTCATCAAAGAAGATATCGGGGTCAATCGTGAAACCAGATGTTTGGACAAACAGGTAATCACTCCATGAGCTGTCGTCGAAAGGATCGGTTGCCGTGCTCAGAACAGAGCGAGGTACGCCAAATGGGTATTGATCCATGCCGAGATGGGATAGAATTTTCCCTTGTGGTACCGCAGAGTGTTGGCAAGCATGCCGGTGAATTGCTCATTTGTTGCAGTTTGAACTTCGGGTAGCTGGGCCACTCGGCTTAGAGCATTACTTGCAAGTCTCCAGTTGGTCAAGTTCTGACTCGCGTATATCGGGTTGCCGGAAACGCCATGAAATTTGATGTGGTGCAGAAAAAGGTGTTGTCGAACTCAGGGACAAAGACGCAACTGGAATCGCTGTGCCACCCAGGTAGTATGGGATTGTTGTGCGTAACATTATTGCCTCTAACAGTAGCCAATATCACTGTAAGAGATTGTATTTCTTTTATCATAAGAATTCTCATGATGAATGGAATGTTGGAGACAATGCCTAATCTCACAATTCCTAAATATCACACACATATATAGACTCTAATAAAATAAGACTTTATGGAATGTGGAGAGGCTCAGCAGTCGTCAATATAACTTGAATTATTTTTCTGCCAGAGTGTCGGAATGTGGATTGCAGACGGAGAGAACTCGGCCGGCTTCGTGCGGGAAGATTAGCATGGCAAGTCTAAAGTGCTGTGTATAGTAAGTGCGTGCAACAGTTCAGTTAATCCGACCTTTCATCAAAATGCACACCCGCCAAAAAAATGGGAGCTCTTGGCCATTATCAGAACGTTTCTATTATACGATTTCTTAGTAGAGTACTGTAATAATTTTATATTCAAGGCTTCTGAGATTTGTACCAAACGCTAGCCAAATATTGACTAGCGTCAAATGTATCTGTCCGACGTTAAGATTGTTATTAGCATAGGCGTAGGGCAACAATAGCAGAGATGGCTCAATAGTTTTGTGTTTACTATAGGTGAACAGGTAGTGTTCTCTGAGCTTATATGTACGGTGCTAAGTTAGATATAACTGAGAGGACCTGCCTTGGATCAATAGGCACCAGGGGATCCAGAGGGGGCCTGAGGAGGCTAGGTACCACCTTGCAGTACTAACATGGAGTGTGTCCAAGGTATCTATCTACTCCATACAGTATCTGCAAAAGACAAGTCACACGCTTGACTCGTTCTCTGTCGGATATGATGCTATATGCGTTCGCACGTGGACTAGGCACACGAGAAGCAAGGCGTCAGCTGATTGCGCGTCTTACAGCGGGCTACTGGGAGGGATGAGGAGAGCACTACTGCGTACAACGCTTCCGGCTTCGATATACGCTGGGTGATAAACGCGCTCGTTTAATAAGCCCTGAGCAGACTATGCTCGGGTGCTCCCTTGGCGACCCTGGTACATATTCTCAGTATGCACACATGTACTGCGCCTCATATGGCCGTGCACCAGTTATGTACAGGAAATAATACAGAACAAGGGTTGGAATGACACGGTCCCGTGGCTATGTCTACGTTCCGTACTACTCCAAAGTCACCGTCCCCACATGTTCCACACATGGATGCAATGTGTCGTGTGCTTTTGGCGCAGCGTGAGCAGCCCCCCTCTGTCTCCGGCGGCTCGCTAATCGCACCTCGGCCTAGTAGATCCTTGGAACCAGGGCAGGCCGCTGTGCCTTGCGCAGTCGTCATTCGCAACCTTTACCACGCATCCTCAAGACAAGTTGATGACTACGCCCCTGTGAACTCGCCCATTCTCTCTGGCGCTATAAAGACTGCATCGTACCCTGCAACAGTCGCTGCTTCCTGAAATCTCTTGGCCCCATTGCACCTGCCCTGTGTGCGCCCCCAGGCGCCCTTACATCACTCACTCCTCCGTCTGGCCCGCCCCACGCTTCACCTCCACCACCACCGCCGCCATCTCTCGACCATCATGCACGATCCATTCCCCATCGCGCGGCCTGAGAGCCTTGTCAAGTATGTCCAGCCCGTGGCTGACTACCTATCTCTCAACACGCTGCCCCTGCACTTCCACGAGGTTGCTGCTGCCTATGTCCTGTACGACGTCACCTACCGCTTCATTGCGCCTGCTTTTTCGCGCATCTTTTTTCCTCGCGTATATGCCACCTTCAACGCTCGCACAAAGTTAAACTGGGATGTCCACATCGTGTCGTTCGTCCAGAGCACCCTCATCTGCGCCCTGGCCCTATGGGTCATGTGGACAGACAAGGAGTTGAATAGCATGGACAGGGTAGAACGTGTGCATGGATACACGGGCGCGTCTGGCTTGATCCAGGCATTCGCCGGCGGATACTTCCTGTGGGACTTGGTCATCACTGTCCAGAATGTCAAGATCTTTGGAATCGGCATGCTGTTCCATGCCATTTCTGCTCTCTGCGTCTTTTCGTTAGGTTTCGTAAGTACTTGGTCCAGATATCTGAAAGCAGATCACTCATCATTTGCACAGCGCCCATTCGTAAACTACTATGCGTGCACTTTTATCCTCTACGAACTCTCCTCGCCCTTTCTCAATATCCACTGGTTTTGCGACAAGCTCAACATGACTGGTAGCACCGTCCAGTTCGTCAACGGCCTAATGCTACTGTTCACCTTCTTCTCCTGCCGTCTTGTCTGGGGAACCTACCAGTCAATCCGCGTATTCGGCGATGTCTACCACCTATATATGAGTGGCCACATCCCCCAACACGACCCCGAGGTTGGCAAACTGTCAGACGACACTTATGTCAATAACGCAGGCTTCAAGAATGATCTTCTTCAATATTCCTCTGGCCAAACTATTCCGCTCTGGCTCATCTCCGCCTACCTAGCCTCCAACATTATCCTCAATGGCCTCAACTGGTTCTGGTTCAGCAAGATGATCGAGACACTACGCAAGCGCTTCGACCCACCTATTGGCACGAGGAAAGTACAGCCCAAGGTCAACGCCGCTCCCGTTGAAATACCCGAAAACGAAAAGGTCTTGATTGAGGGTATTCATGTCTCTACCCCTGGTGTCGTTGAAAAGGACACTGAAGATTATGTCAATATAGCGTCTCCCAAGTCACTTCAGTTTCAGAAGAACAAGAGCGGGACGCACTTGGAAGTCAAGCAGAGCGAGGTTCGCAGTCGGAACCCTTCGCAGAGAGCTGCTCATGCGGCATAAGAATCTCCTTTTTCCCGAAGTTGGTTAAGGGCGGTAAGTATGGAGCAATGATCCCGTGGCTTCGGGATATGCACCGGTTTCATTTTTATCCTTTTCTCCTTTGTCAGGTGCGTCAGTTTTGCATACTGATCCGTCTAGAATCTCGTCTCCGTTTCGCGAATCGTCTAATACACAACCTATTCATTCATCATTTTCTCCTACAACGTCATGCATCATCCCTTTCCCCTCGTCTTGATTTCTTTTTCTCATCTTGCATGACTCGCTTTACAATGTCGATTTGATCGGCAACAAACGCGTATCACGCGTATTTTTTATCTCGCTTGTAATCTTGCGCCCTGGTCATGTTGTGTAGTGTTCATCTTCTCCTTGGCAGTTATTCGCTAGCTTGAAGTCTCTGTGTAACAGAGCAGCTATGCCCCGAGTATTCCGCAAGGTGTCGGGAGAGTATTTGTGTCCGCGGCAGACGCCATCCATCTCCACTATGATGCCTTCGTACGTTGTTGTGAATTATACGGAACATCTCACATTTGTAGTACTCGACATCGACCTGTGGCGGAGACATGCAGGTTTCTTCGTTGAGTCGAAAGGATGACAATCACGAGATGCGAAATACGAAGGCCAAGAGTACCCTACTCCTTCCAACGGCAATTCACTTGCTGTTTGTGCGTCGCACTGCACCGTAGGTGACTTTCCCTTCCAAGGTAATTGATATGAACTTTCTAGCTTGACTAGTCAAAACAATGATATACGTGCATTTTAATTTTTCACGTAATCACGTTCCTCTAAGAGAGCCTTGAAAACTGCTTATTCTCAAAGCTCTTTTCCATCTTGTCAATGACCTTATGCATCTTGACTGCCTGTTCGAAGTCGATAATCCCTTGGTCAACTGTCCCACCCTTTGCGAATAACTCGTAGAATTCACCAATGTTCCTCGCAAACACCGGAAGATCTTTCACAGCGTCCGAATACTCCACCTGAATCTCTTCCACACTGTCCTTCTCATAGCCATACAGCTCAAGCTTCTCGCATCCAACAGGCATACCAAACGAGGGATGCGGCAGAAGTCGAATCTCACCCTTGGTACCCAAGATGCGCCAAGTAGCAGGCGGCGTATCTTTGAATGTCTTCCCATTCCTCACATTAATAGATATGGGCGCCCCAGACCCTGCCAGCGTACCATGCAGAAAGATATGATCTGGCGTCTCACGCACATCCTTCCTATCCAACGACCCATCTCCCTTGACCAAAACTAACCTCAGTCCACCTCGTCGCCAACACAGCACTAAACTCGTCAATACCTCCCAAGGCAAAAAAACGCTGCATCAGCCGGATGTCCGAATGAAATCGTAAAAGAATGCCCGCTCACACATGCAATGAAATAATTTGAACCCCTCGATATTTCCAATCGGTTTCTTTCATGCTACGAATGTTTCAGAGGAACATATAATTAGCCAGCTACCAGCTTCGCTGGCATCAAATCGTCATATCTAACCAACCGGACGAAAGGGCGGGCAGGGGAAGGGGAGCAAGTGCATTGGATATGTAATCCAGTAAGTACTATACTACTCCTTGTTTCCGGAGAGTCCGGACGCTACTACTGTAGCCAAGATGCGTAGTACTAAGGTACTTGTATTATCTCGGATACAGTAGTTACGTAGACTATAAACGAGATTTATAATCTTGCCGAATCAGTGCCGAGTAGATGGTACGTACGTCCTGTTTTCATGGTATGCTACTAAGATATTAATCCTGCCATCCCCGATCTCTGAGCAACATAAGGTTAGCGTGGATCATACATAGATGGATCGTACGCTAGCCATGGTTTCTAACCGATATGCTAGATCCCTGGACTTGTATGGGGTCTGGGCCAATGTCCATGTGGTCGGAATGGATGGTGGGGGCCCTGACTTAGTTGGGGATCAGGTATCGCTGTAAAGGTATTCACTTCGTAGTCATTAACTTAAACAGCGAAGCCACGATAAAAACACCTATCGACTCAGATGTTACCCTGGTGTATATTGAAAGAGAGTCAACAACTATCGGAATGTCTATCTAGCTGGAAACAACCGCGAAATCCAAGTACATGGGGTTTTGTTCATCACGCCAGGATGTTCGTTGTGGTATTAGTGAGTATTATTATGTTACATCCTGTAACTAGGCAAAGCAAATTCAATCTCTCATCTATGTCAAAATGTCAAGATGCCACATTCTGGCTATCCTGACTTCCTTCTTCCTCATTACTCATACGCTCCTGAATCACCTCTGTCACATCCAGTCTGGCATCTGTCGACACCTATCATACAGTCACCTCACAAGCCCGCATTGCTACCCGCGGCCTTGCTTCTCCCCTTCGCCCTCTTTCGGTCTTTTGTCTTTCCCCCCTTGACTTTCGTCAACTTGGCCGGCACCACACCAGCTCGCTCGTAGACTATCTCGACCGCATTCTTCACGTCATCGTCACGGAGGACGGGGTCTTTGGTCTCGCCTTCCTCCTTCTCCATGCGCATGGCGAAGGCCTCGGACAGCACTTCGCTGGCGAGGCGCGCTTGTCCAAGCGTCATGGACGAGAAGACGGTGAGAGCTGATACGGTTGAAGGAGTAAGCGATGAAGAAGTCACGTTTGACTTCATACCCAGAGTAGTAGCGTTCTTGGCGATCTGTTTGAGGAAGGCATCGAGGGTCGTATCCCACCTCTCCTGGATCAGCGTGTCGGAATCCGTGGTCGACGCTGGCGTGATATCCAGGTCTTGCTGGTTGATGGCTGCAAGATCCTCTCTTACAGCGCCACACTCCCGCGTGATGCGGAGCTTGTTTCGGGTTGACGGCTTGAACTCTACGAGGCTGAGTATATGTGCGGCCTTCTCACGGTCGATGAGGTCCTGTGTGGTTGAAGAGTCGGTTTAGTATACAATAACTATCTTGAAATACACTTACTCTTCTTCTCTTCTCTCCCAGTCATAAATCTTCAAACGCAAAAACACCAAACATAGCAAGACGCGAAACCAAAACAGCAAAGCGGCGAAACGAAAAGAAAGGGAGTGGGACGAGGGGTTTTCTTACCTGCCAATCCATTCCATAGCCTTCGACATCAATGTCAACATCCTCTCCTTCTTCACCAGCGTACATAGCGTATCCATACGCCGCATCAGGCAACATAGTCTCGGTCGCACTTGCAGCGACAAGCACACGCTCGTCATCCTGCAGCGTCTTGCTGGGATCGCTGATAGGCTTTGCGTCGATGGTGTAGAGCGCTGCGAACTTGAGATCCAGCGCCAGACGCACGCCCTGGAGGACTTGCTCTGGCTTCTGATACGCCCCGATGACAAAGTTGTCAATGGTCTTTGAGGTGCTCGGGCAGTGGAGCTGGACGCGACACATTGTTTGTGCGTTACTTCTGCGTCTATGTGAGAGTGTTTGTGTGTTTGTGTGTGTGTGGGTTGAGTGCGGTTGAGTGCAGAGGCGAGAAAGCGGCTAGATGCAGTATTTCTTGCGTTTAGAGTGGGTAAACAAGGTAAGAGAGAGAAAATGTGAGAGAGTAAATATACCGCACGGAGCGTGATTTTTTAATCTGTGGGTGAATCTGGATAGTAAACGAAGTGAAAGGTGAAAGGGAAAGACATGAAGAAGAAAAGCCCGCAATCAGGCTCCCACCTTCACTCACCCACCCCCCCCAAACAACGCGGACAAAAAGAACTGCCTCGCTAAAGACCAATTCACTTGGAAACTTCAATCTCAAGACCCTCCTTGAACTCCGCCTCAAGCAATCCATCGCCACCGGCTGTAGTAGGCCTAGCCACATAGCCCGCAATACTAACATCCCAACCATCCTCCGCCGCCGCCGCAAACCAGTTAACCTCTCTCAACGGGCGCCTCTCAACCTCCTCACCCTGCTCGTTCCTCACAATCCAGTAAATCCACAGACTCTTGCCGAGCTCATCCTGCTCCATGCGTGCTTCAATCGTAGCAGTAGGCTCCGTGCCATTTACAAACTCCGGCATGGGGACTAGGGACCAGTCGGCCCAGATGTCGCAGCCGACAGTCGCGACGAATGGCTTGCCGGTGTAGAATTCGATACCCGTTTTGATCCATTTTGTGGCGTTGTTGGCGACGCCCTCTTTGGTTAGGTGGAGGACGAGGCCGGCTTGGTCATATCGGCGGAGTTCATCCGAGGGTGGGAGGGCAAAGGTGATCTTTGCGCGCTGGAACTGCTTGAGGGGATAGGTGGGTTGGGTGTTGGGATAGAATGCAGCGTTGAAGACGTTGGTGGAGGGGGGTTTGCGCCAGATGTCTGTGCCTGGTTGGGCAGAGAGGTTGAAGGGTTCAATAGTTTTGATTGTTGTGTTGCTGGACATGGTGGATGTCGCAAGGTTGGCAAATAGAGCAAGAAGTGGTAGTGGCGAGATCATTGTGGTTGGGGAATATTAAGAGGACCAAGGCTGGGCTTTTATACTTCAAGTTACTACATCAGGAAGTGAGGAGAATGGTACACTGGGATTTAGTCCATTGTGCGTGATTGGTAGGAAGTCGGAGGACTTGCTGGTTTACGTACTGCATATACCACTATACGAACCATTTCTTGATGCTGTTACCGGTTTTCGGGTGTGTCAACCGGAAATTCCGATAGTCTTACCTGCGACATGGTTCGGTAGTGCAGATCTAGGACGGGACAGCGGGATATCCTCGGGCAAAGAAATGCCATCATCTACCACAGTGTATAGTGTTAGTGCGAATCTGGGATCGGAAAGCGGGGTATCCTCGGGCAACGAGATGCAATCACGGTCTATCCCTCACCGTTACACAGCGCAAATGTCTTGCTGTGCAGTTGAGAATGACTCAGGAACTAAATGCCCACGTTTTCACCAAATTTGGGAGTGGCTGAAAGGTGGGTTCAGCTGCGCTTACCAAAACGAGCGGCCGATTGCGAGATATGCTTGGCATGTCAATAATGGTCGATGATACAACAACCAGGGCAAAGGACTCCGAACTCTATTCTGATCCACCATGCATGTGATATCACACGAGCTTTTGTAATCTAACAACAGTCATCTCTCGCCGTGCCAAAATTTCATATCAGTGTCAAAGCAGAAAGTCACTACTAGTCGACAAGTCAATACTTGGACACGAGTTATTCGAAGGTGCACCGGCCCATTCATTCGCAGGTATATACAACTCAAACTCGCAAGGTCTTCTATTTCTTCTCTTCTTTCGGTGGCTCTGGCTTGGGTGTTGGCAGTTTGAACTATAATTCTGTTAGGCACTGGCAGCGACGTTTGGACAGAGGTACAACTTACGTTCTCAGGCTTGAGATCTTCACCTGGACCAACTTGCTCCCATGCTGATGATCCACCACGGAAGTTCCTGAACGCTTGCGTCATCTCAAGTGGCTCCACAACAATTCTCTTCTTCTCCTCGTCGTATCGGATCTCAGTGTATCCAGTCATTGGGAAGTCCTTTCGTAGTGGGTGTCCGTCAAAACCGTAGTCTGTCATGATGCGCCTCAGATCTGGGTGTCCGACGAAGAAGACGCCAAAAAGATCATAGACTTCGCGCTCGTACCAGTTGGCGCCATCATAGAGATCGCACAGACTGGGCACTGGAGTCGCCTCATCGGCATATGTCTTGACTCTGATGCGCGAGTTGTGGCGGATACTGAGCATGTTGTACACGACCTCGAATCGCTGGTCCTTGGTGGGGTAATCGACAGCAGTAATGTCCGAGATTTGAGTGTATTCGGCAGCGGTGTGGTACTTGAGGAAGGTGAAGGTGGGGATGATACCGGAGGGAGGGACATAGATGGTCAATTCATCTTTCCAGACGGAGAATCTGCGTCGCTGTCAAACATTATCCTTCCCTACAAGACCTCTTAACGTACTGCTGGACATATTTCGGCAGACATGACATGATGTACTGTCCGTACTTGTGGAGTGCCTCGCCCTTCTCTTTGAGGCTCTCTGTCGGGTTGACAATGGAGGCCTTGAGCTTGCCAACCGTGTCGCGGGGAGCAAACTACAAATGATGTTAGACGAGACCCAATATCTGTTACTATCTGCCAGTCCATACCCGCATGTTTGGTGTGTCGGAAGCGGGTCCCGCGACTTCCTTGGGCCGGAGTGCCGTCGAGGCAAAGGTGCGCACTGCATTGCGGGAGCAGCTCGAGGCGCGGACGGCGGCGCCCAATGGCCGGCCTACAGCTAGCCGCATAGCCATGGTTTGCAGAGGTGGTGGTGAGGGGCTACGCGATGTGCAGCGGGGAAGGGCGACTTGGGGTGGAGGTATCGACGACGTCGTGAAGTTCACAGCTCAACCCGCGAGACGCATGCTTATGTAAGTAGCGTGGAGCGGAACCTGGTGTGCCATCACGCAGCTGCAGCCTCTTAACCCCCATCACCTCCCGTGGATCCCTCTTACTGCGACTGCGACAATCCGGCCGGCGTTTATTTGTACTTCAGCGATTTCCTTGCAGGCCCTGTGTGCTCGTCACTCCAGGTCTTATCCCACCCCCGCATTCATACAACGACTGCCCTCGGGCACCACCCTTACGCTCTAAACCACACCTTGCACCACACAGCCACCCTTCGCCATGTCTCGGGTACAGCAGGACCAGTTCGTCGATGATGACGAGGAAGAGTGCTGCCCTCTGTGCGTTGAGGAGTTCGATCTGTCCGACAGGAACTTCCGACCATGTCCTTGTGGCTACCAAGTGCGTTTCCCTCGCCAAAACTCGGTGAAGCTGTCCCAAGCCGCCATGCTAACACGCGTCTCAGATATGCCAGTTCTGCTACAACAATATCAAGACGACCATGAATGGCCTTTGCCCCGCCTGCCGCCGCCCCTACGATGACTCCACAATCGAGTGGAAGACCATCTCTCCCGAAGAGTGGGTCCCCTGCTCCTCCCCTCTTTGAATACCCTCTGACATTGGGCAGGATGGCACAGCACAAGCAGCAAATTGCGCAAAAGGCCAAGAAGAATGCGCAGATGCGGCAAAAGGAAGCACAAAAGGCCGAAGCCGACTCGCTTAGCCGGAAGCATCTTTCTGGCCTCCGAGTCGTCCAGAAGAACCTCGTATACGTCACGGGTCTTACACCAACAATACGTGAAGACGAACTGCTCAAGACACTACGTGGCGAGGACTACTTTGGCCAATATGGCAAGATCTTGAAGATTGTCGTGAGCAAAGCCAAGGAGAACGCACAACATCAACAGTCGGTTGGTGTCTATGTGACGTTTGCTCGCAAGGAAGATGCCGAGAGATGCATCAACGCTGTTGACGGGTCGCAAAACGGTGATAGAGTGTTGAGGTATGCAGCAGCTCCTTCATGCCATGTGTCCTCTAAATAACTGACATATCACAGAGCACAATTTGGTACTACCAAATACTGTTCAGCCTATCTCCGCGGTGAGACTTGCAACAATCGCAACTGCATGTTCCTGCACGAGCCCGGCGAAGACAATGATAGCTTTACCCGCCAAGACCTTTCCATGATGAACTCGATCCAAACGCAACAGCCATCCCAATCGTCAACGTCACGAGCCGCACCTCCTGCGCATCATGGGCCTCCCGTAGCCGCTGCAACGCCAATGCACCGGCAGGATAGCACGGATACGTCGAGTTCAATACATGACGCACCTGGTCTGCCCGCGACTGCGAATTGGGGCAGCAAAGCTCTACTGGAGCGTCGTGCAAGCCGCTCAACGACCGCTTCCAACAACGCTAGCCCTATGGTCACGAATGCGGTACCCGCACAAGCAGCGAAAGCACCTAAGCCAGTAGAAGCTCCGAAGAAGAAAGGAAAAGAGAAGGAGAAGGAAAAGGAGAAAGAGAAGGAAAAGGATAAGGATAAGGATAAGGAAAAAGAGAGAGAGAAAGAGAAAGAGAAAGAGAAGGACAAGGACAAAGAGAAGGAAAACGAAAAGGAGAAAGAAAAGGAGAAAGAAAAGTCTCCGCAAGCATCAAAGTCGACAACCTCCGAGTCTACCACCGCATCTGCATCCACTCCTACCATACGCCCTTCCAAACCCCGCAGTCAGGATTTCCCAGACTTGCTCAAGATCATTTGCTCGCCCGACTTCAAATTTGTGTTCTCTAGTGCAGTTCTTTCCGAGGAAGAGTTGAAGGCTGTGACCGAATTTCCTCCGTTGCTTGATCCAAATGGAGGCGCAAAGCGGCGCGCAATGAAAGAAAAAGAAAAAGAACTTGCTGTATTGCGTGAGGCGGAGGGTGAAGTAAAAGTAGCTTCCCAACAGCAAGCGCCAGCCGCTGAACGAGAGGACACTGAGGCTACTGCAGGGGGTAGCTTGCAGTTGGGCGGGGAACCTGAAGACGGACCTGACACAAGCACCAACCATCTCGGTCAGCATGCAATCGCACCACCCGGTCAACAGGGCTTTGGCGGGAGCCTCTTTGGGCAGAACACACCTTTGACTGAGGACTTTAGCACCCTTGGGTTGAGCAACAGAGGCTTGACCCCACAACAGCAGCAGCAGTTACTGCTCTCCAACTTCAAGTCTGGCACTCAATCCACTGGCCTGCTAGGCAACATGCAAAACACTCAGCCCCAGCAGCACGGGATGACTGGAAATGCTTCTGGACACAACAGGCATACCTCCCGCTTCAGCTTCGCCAACGACAGCGCTTCAGCTTCGGCGAATGTGCAGCCGGTGGCGAACCAGAAACTGATGAATCAGCAAAATTCGATGATGCCAAAGAACGCCAACCAGTTCAATCCAATGTCCCAGCATCAGCAACTGGGCGGACAATTCTTCACCAACGTGCAAGGACCGCCTCCAGGACTGAAGCCGACTGGCACACCTCCTGTCAGCGGGACTGGTATGTTCGGTCAAGGTCACGGCTTTGCTACTGGCGGCCTTCCCTATGGGACAGGTGCCACTGCAAGGAATAACAGTGACGCGATGTATCAGGATCTGCTCCGCAGCCGCAACATGGATGGTGGTGCAAGGCTAGCTGATGCTGGAAAGCGTGAGTCAATGTTTCCTTCTTTCCTTAATCAACACTCCACGACCTCTACACCTGCCCCTGCCCCTGGTCTTCTGAGCTTCCCTTATGGGCCTTCGCCTGGCGCTTACCAGGAATCTGGTTCGCAGAAATCTAAGAAAAAGGGCAAGAAGCACAGGCATGCAAACACCTCTTCTTCTGGAGGAGGTGGCCTTGCTGATGTCCAAGACCCGAGTATCTTGCAGGCAAGGCTGCATCAAGGTGGCATGGCTGGTCAGGGCCTGTATGGCCAAGGTCAAAGTGGATTTTCTTCGCTTTATTCAAACAACAACTACGGCGGCGCTGGACGATGGTAGTAGTTTTCTTCTTCTACATATTGGTCGGCCGGTTGGCCAGACATACTGTCTTAGTACTTATTGCAACGGTGGCTGCATGGCGTTTTCGGTTTATACGGCGACTGCATCGGCACAGACTCGGTGCTCTGACACTGGCATGCCTGGCGTTTTGATTGGGCTACACGGTCACTGTCAGAATTTCTTGACGCTGCCACGTCTTTACGGCATTTTTTCTGCGCCTTTCACGTTTCCTTTATCATTTTTTTTTCATATCTGGGTCGTTTGCGCTGTCCTGCCGATGCAAAGGTCAGCTTCTCTCGTCGTCTTCGTCATGGCCATCGCATGTACGTAACTACCCCTCCTGCCGCAATCAAGTCGGCATGCTTACTTTCTAATAGAGAGGTGGCTGCACTATTTTCTTGCCTTGCCAGTGACGAAGGTGCTCGAGAGACAACCCTTGTAGCTTGATGTATATTAAATGTTTTGCCAGTATCACTACCTTGACCATCGTCTGGCGGCCGCCGTGGTCACCTAACTTGTTTTGGCATTGCGATTGTTTCGAACCGTGCGAAAATCTATACTGACACCTCTGTGTAGATGATGTACCACTCAATGCAGAGGAGCAAGCATCCATCAATGTCGATGCGCTGGTCAATGACAGCGACAATGAGCCCATTCGAGCCATGCCAATCACTCCACTTAGCAGCCACTTTCTTGAGTATTCTCGCCGATCCACTCCTACCATTCCACCTGGTTTCACAGCCCCGGTTATTCCAAAAACTGTCATTGAAGAGTCTCGTGTTCGGCCAGCATCTCGGCCAATGTCTAGGACTGCATCTTCAAGCATTACACCGGCTGTGCCTGTTGTGCCTGTTGTGCCTGTTACGCCAATACGAACATCAACGCCCAGTAAGGCTGGCAAAAGTAGACAAAAGGGCGATTCTGCAGAGCCGGCAACACCTACCACAACCCATGTGGCAACTCCTGCAACCAATACTCAACCTACGACACCCTCCAAGGTTTCGGCACCCAAGGAAACTGTTATCTTCCCGCAAACCCCCAAGGAGCCTACACCGAGAGAAGCCTCTAGGAAAGTCAAGGGCGAAGCTGAGACACCCAAGACTGCGCCTGAAACAAAAAAGTCCATGTCAGAGGCAGCTACAAAGGACGTGCCTAAAGCAAAGGGCGCTTCTAAGAAGAACCAAGCTCAAGCACAAACGACTCCCAAGAAAGAGCCACCGAAAGAACCCATACAGACTCCAATCGCTACTGCAACCCCCACGTCTTCTACGAAACGACAGCCTCCAGGCAAGCTCGATATCGTAGCGGCAACCAAACTACCAAAGGACGAGGGATCCTCAGCTGCAGGACCAGGCAAAGCAGACTCTCAGACGAAGCATGATCGTTCGGTATCGGTTACAGCAGCCGGTTCGGTGCCTCCAAGTCCTGCTGCTATGGGAACAGGATCTCCAATTAAGCGTGCGGGACCGCCGAGGACTCTTCGTGTTGTTGCAACACCAAAGACTGAAGTCCCACCACCCCTGTCTGCGACCACAGCACCGCCTCTCCCCCATATCCCGACTGTTGATAAACTTCGATCTAGGCAGGCGAGCATCGCCTCAGTGAACCAGCCAGGAACTCCTGTAAGTGAACTGATATCAGACACTGCTTCAATCACATCTACGTCTTTCTCTCGGGCTAGCTCACCTCCTCCCGTGGTTGGAAAGATCGGTACTGCACCCGTGAGGAAGAAAACCAAGTCACAAGCCAAGAAAGATCGACAAGAACGCAAAAAGCAGATAGAAGAGGAGCAGCTCGAAGACAACAAGTCGGATGTTGAGGTTGTGCAAGCTCCTATTATTGGTCGTAAGAAGAAGGCAAAAAAACCATCAACCAACTCGAAGCCTGTAGCGGTAGCTGCCAAGAGTCAACCGGCTTCGCCCAAGCCGGCTACGGTTGAGGACGAGCATGCTGAAGTGCCAACAGCCACAGCTCATAAGGTTCCTTCAGCAAAGGTTTCTGCTGCAGCTACGCCCGAGCCAGAGCCGGAACGTGAAGAGTCAAAGGAAAAGCGCGAACATACTGCACAATCAATCATGGCTGATCTGCAGCGCACCGGTGAATTGATTGCGTCTAATCTTGAATTCTTCAAGCCGCTATCGTCGTCGCTTACTCACACAACTCGCAACACTCAGATGGGCGGCGCGGTTGCGCCTCCGGACTTGAAACTACACTTTTCCGAGGCAGACTTGGAAACGCTGGCTAAGAAGAAACCTCTGCGCCTCAACAGTCAAGATGGGAAGTCTGAATCAAGGACTCTGATTACGCCAGGCGGGAAGTTTTTCTGGGGACTCAGTGAAGAGCTGGAGGCAAAGGCCCTTGAACTTGAGAAGCGGATTGACGAGCTCAAGGGCCCTGGCCGTTTCCATGCTCGGAAACCAACAGCACACAGCCACGGTCTGGCCACGCAGACGAACGATGTCCTACCGGCCATTGCGACGGCACTCAAGGAAGCAGGCAAGAAGCTAAATACTAATGGCGGACAGCAGATGCCGAGGCTTGATGTTCCATCTGGACTGTTAGGCTCAACAAACCTTCCTTTACCCCCAGTACAGGGACAGGATGCATCAGTTGCACAGGCTCCAGTGTCACAGCAACAACAAACACCAGCAGATGCCGGCGGTTATTTGAACCAATACGTGCTTCCCCGCACCGACAACCCACCACCGAACCAGCCACGTCCTGAAATGGCGGCAGTGGGTGGACCACCTGGTGCAGGAACGGCAAACATGTCTGTCAATGCAAATAGGTTTGCCAAGGCAGCAAAGGCGGTTGTCGAAGGGGGTGCAGTGGGAAGCACCGAGATTGATGGCATGGGATTCATGGCTGCTGACAAGCTGGGAGGCGTCTTTGTACAGGGTCTTGAAGCACTTGTAGGGGCCGGCCTAGGCTACCAGTCGACGCAAGAAGTGGGTCTTGACAGCAATGGTAACATCATGCTTGGACAAGGCGCAGGCGGACTAGACATGCAGGGGCTGATGAATGCTATTGAGACGACAGCAGGTATGGGTGGATACAGTGGTAACGCAAGAAGAGGAAGAGGCAGCGTGTTGACCATGGAAGAGGCGGAACAGGCAATGCAGGCAGCGAGAAAGGAGCACGATGTTCTGGAGAAGAAGCTATCAGCACTGATCAAGAAGAACAGGAAGCTGGCATTGGGAGCAGCAAAATGAGGGTGTTGGTTTGGCAAGCAGAGGAGCAGGCACGTGGATCGTATAGGATTACTCCATCAAGCACAGGCAAAAAGCTTATTGTGTAGCGTGATCGTGTTAGGCTGGCGATGGTAGCGCCGTGCACAAAAGCTAGCTAGAGCAAGCAATGCATTCGTATCAATAGCAACACGTCGAGCAGAATATGTGGTGAGGCTAAGAATAGCCATGTAGAGAGGAAAGGGGTGCAGTAGAGATGCACCTGACACGAGGCGGCGCGTCAGTGATTCGCCCGGCCAGCTCACCGCCAACGTGGGCGGCATCTGGTCAGGGTCCACCAGCTGGTTCCTGGGACGAGGCCAGATTCTCAATTGCTCTAGCACCACGCCTTTTGTGCCTCTGAATTCTGTACACAACAGTCTCTTTCTTTTTCTCTCCTCATCCACCCCCGCACACACTGAAGCCCGCACCAAGATGAGTCTCCAGCCGCCGTCCCTCGCCATGAGGTCCAAGTCGCCCTCTGGCGGCTCCACAAAGGCCGTCATTCTGGTATAGAGCACCCGCTGCAAAAGTCCAACAGCCATGTATACTCACACGCGCAGGTCGGAGGGCCCTCTCGCGGTACCCGCTTCAGGCCGCTGTCTATGGAACTGCCAAAGGTATGTATGCCCCTCTGCCCCCGTCGCCCGCACCCCGCTGATGGTCCCACAGCCGCTCTTCCCCGTCGCTGGCCACCCCATAATCGAGCACTGCTTCCGCGCAATCACAAACGTCCCTGATATCAAGGAAGTCTTCATTGTCGGCTACTATGAGGAATCCGTCTTCCAACCCTTCATCAACGCTGTGTCAACCAACTGGCCCCACCTGAGCGTTAAGTACCTCCGCGAATACCAAGCATTGGGCACTGCTGGAGGTCTCTACCACTTCCGTGATGTTATATTAAAGGGCAAGCCCGAGAAGCTTTTTGTTCTCAACGCAGATGTCTGCTCCTCGTTCCCGCTGGTCGAGATGCTGAAGCTGTTCGAGGACAAAGACGCCGAGGCTGTCATGCTCGGTACCAGAGTCGCAAACGAGGCCGCCTCCAACTTTGGATGCATCGTCTCGGATGCGCATACCAAGCGCGTGCTCCACTACGTCGAGAAGCCCGAGTCGCACATTTCCAACCTGATCAACTGCGGTATCTACCTCTTTGCGACCGAGTGCATCTTCCCCGCTATCCGCAGCGCTATCAAGCGACGGACCGAGCGCCCACGGCTGCTGTCATACCCCTCCAACGAGAACCTCGAATCTTCCTTCTACCAGAACGAAGACGACGACGACAGCAAGGAAAACGCTGTCATTCGCCTCGAGCAGGATGTGCTGTCGGATATTGCCGACAGCAGGCAGTTCTTCGTCCTTGAGACAAAGGACTTCTGGCGCCAGATCAAGACTGCAGGCTCTGCCGTCCCTGCTAATGCTCTGTACCTCGCCAAGATGTTCCAGGCGGGATCAGAAGAGCTTGCTGCCCCCTCTGCCAACATTCTGCCCCCAGTCTACATTCATCCCTCTGCTCAGATCGATCCAACTGCCAAGATTGGACCCAATGTCTCCATTGGCGCCCGCGTCGTCGTCGGCGCTGGTGTACGTGTGAAGGAGTCTATTGTGCTTGAGGACTCTGAGATCAAGCACGATGCATGTGTGCTGTACACCATTATTGGCTGGAACAGCAAGGTCGGTGCGTGGGCCCGTGTTGAGGGTACACCAACACCCGTCACCAGCCACACTACTAGCGTCATCAAGAACGGTGTCAAGGTTCAGAGTATTACCATCCTCGGTAAGGACTGCGCCGTCGCAGATGAGGTCCGTGTGCAGAACTGTGTCTGTCTGCCATACAAGGAGCTGAAGAGGGTAAGACATATAATTACGAGTATATTGAAAGCTTGGCTAATTCATTCAACAGGACGTCTCTAATGAGGTCATCATGTAAAATGATGTGAGACTTTACAGTACGCTATTGATCGATGATAATGAAGGGACAACGACATGGGAATCTGTAGTGAACGATTAGGAAAATAGCACCGCTAAGGGGCGTTTGAAAGAAAAATCAATATACCACAATCTATGAGGAATTTCAACCAAATACTCGCAGCATAAAACAGAGACCAAAAATGTGTGTATATGATTTGCGAGGAGCTATGTTGAGTATCATCAGTTTCTGTCAAGGATGTTCAGGGCTACCCGCGTCTAGACTCGATAGGGTATCGGCGTTTGAACATTGCATCTTGTCACTTTGCCAACACTCACACTCTTCTGCCATACTTCATGAAAAAAACTGCTACGTCAGGTGATACCCAGTCTCTTATAACACCGTTACTCTGGAACTTGACACTGCCATAAAACTCAACCACCACCAGCCTTAATATTAGCAAAATCCTTTTTTTAGCGAACCTGCCATCAAACCACCAAACTGCCATTAAACAGCAACAAAAAGAGAGAGAGAGAAGAGCACACCATGTCTGATATGCAAGCCGCACTCCAAAAAGCGCGGCACAAACTGCACAACAGCGACAAACCCTGGACAACATCCCCAAGTCTGACCCCCACACCCTCCCCATCCGCGCGCTCCACCAACCCCATTTCACCCACGCACTCGTCCATCCTCCCAAGAATCGACATATCCCCCTTCCTGCACCCCTGCTCCTCAGCCTCCTCGCGCCTGCAAACAGCGCAAGCCATCAACGCCGCATGCACAACCTACGGCTTCTTCTACCTCACCGGCCACGGAATCCCACAGCACCAACTGGACTCGGTCATCTCCCTCGCGCGGCAATTCTTTGCCTTGCCTCTAGCCGAAAAACTCAAGATTGAGAGATTCGACGCGGGGACTCCACAGGGCGGCGACGGCGCACGCGGGTACCAGCGCCTCTGCACCGATGATGACGGTGGCGGATTACAGGATCTACAGGAAGCTGTGGATTTCTATGCCGAGTGGCCTGAGGACTTGCGCGAGGAGGGGGATGCAGGACCTGGCAGCGTGAAGAGTCTCCAAGGAAGGAATTTGTGGCCGGGTGAGCCGGGGGAGTTGAGGCGAGTGTATGAGGAGTATATCAAGAGGGTGAGTGAGGTTGGTGAGGCGTTGGTGCGGGCGATGGGGGAGGCGTTGGAGTTGGAAGGGGAGGGGGAGAAGGGGGTTATTGAGGGGGCGTGTAAAGCGTCTTTTTGGGTGCTTAGGATGATTGGGTATCCGCCTTTGCCTTCCTCGTCTGCTTCTTCTTTTTCTTCTTCTTCTGGGACGCAGGAGATGAGTGGGGAGGAGGGGGAAGAAGAAGAACAACAACAACAACAGTTTTCATGTGGCGCACACACGGATTACGGCTGTGTTACTCTTCTTCTCTCAGACGACACACCCAATGCACTGCAAATTCAGCTTAAAGACGGCACGTGGCTTAATGCCGATCCGGTCCCCGGCGCGTTTGTAGTTAACATTGGGGATATGATTGAGCGGTGGACGAATGGACTGTGGAAGAGTACTCTGCACCGCGTTATCCATCGAACGGGGGATCGATATCGCATTAGTGTTCCATTCTTCTACGAGCCGAATTTCTACGCCCAAGTTGCGCCGTTGGAGACGTGTGTGAAGAGGACGGGGGGCACACGGGTATATGAGAGTAGTGTGTATGGAGAGCATTTGTTGACGAAGGTGTTTAGTAATTTTTATTATAGTAAGAGGACAGATTGGTAAAGTGTTTCGCAATGTATATATATGTATGTATGTATGTATGTATGTGTAATTACAAAGAGATTTTTAGATACCACCTTTGAGATAGTAATCCAGGGGATATCCCAACCAAGCGCACTGTTCTACATCTTGGTATCCAGTGCTCTTGCTTGGCCAGTCTAAGAAACGGATTTCATCGCCATTCTGACCTGTTGCATCGACGGCTTTCCACGCGCCGAATTTCTTCGCGCCCTCAACCTCCTTTTCATATCCCCGTACGTCCAAGTAACTCACGCTGGGGTTTGGGTCGCCGCTTCGGATGAACGAGGCAAAGTATCCCGTGGTAAGCTGCTCGCTCCACAAATCCTTGGAGTCACGGATTGTAGTCAGTGTGCCAAATACCCAGTCAGTTTCCGAGCCATGGATACGGAAGTAAGGGTTCTCTGGGTTGTTATTGGCGGGCCCGCCGAGACCGTCGGGATCGTAACCGCCAATTGTGCGCTCGAATTGGTAAAAGTAGGCCTTTTCGAAGGCGTGGGAGCGGGAGCCAGAATACACGGTGGATTGGTCAATGCAGCGGAACATCTTGTCTGTTGTGATGCGCTGGGAGACGTTGAACGAGTCGAGTGTCAGGTTTCCCGTGTTGACCAAGGGGAAGAGACCAGAATCGATGACGCGTTGGGCCCATGTGCTATTGATGCTGAGGGCTTCTTGGAGACCCTGGCTATGGTTTGAGATGGGGGTTTTGGGGTAATTAGTAAATGAGGCGCCGTCGTTGCGAGTGACGCCAAACATGACGGGAATGTGCGCGGTACTAGCGTTGCGAGTTGTGAGGATGAGGTTGGATGTGTCGACGTAGGTTCCATCCTGAACGACATAGCGTGCGACAGTATTGAAACCAATTATCTTTGCTGCGTCGGTTGTTTTAAGACAGGCAATCTGAGCAGACAAGTCGGTGCTGTTGCAGCCCGCTGCCGCAAAGATCTGCTGGCCTGCCTTTTGGTAACTTTCCTCGATAGTGAGGTAGGTTGAGTATGTTGTTCCGTAGTCACCATCGAGGCCCAGTGTCTTGCCCCCTCCGAGATTGGACATGGCAATGGCACCTTGGAACTTGCCAATGGCTTTTGGTGAACCGAGATGCACACGAACTGAGCCGGCGCCTGCAGAACCACCGGCGATGGTGATTCTCTTAGGATCACCTCCAAAAGAGGCGATATTGGCAATGACCCAGTCTAGTGCCACTTGTTGGTCCTGGATACCAAAGTTTCCTTTGATGTCCGTTCCTGGAATGGCAAGGAAACCGAGCGTGGAGAGACGGTAGTTGATACTGACAACAACCAGGTCTTCTTTACTCGCCAAGTTTCCACCGTCGGTAAGCGGATCTGAACCGACTCCTCCTGTGAATCCTCCACCGTGAATCCAGAAAAGAACCGGTCGAAGGTTCTTCTTGGATCCAGATTTAGGAATGTAGGGCGTCTGAATACCCAAAAACAGACAATCCTCACTTCCACCACCACCCTGAATACACTGTGACCCGTGCTGGGTAGCTTGAATAGTCTGGCCCTTCTTGGAATAGATAGAAGAGTACTGAAATCGCTTTGGTGTATCGGCGTATGGGATGCCGAGGAAGCGGAACGACTTTTGGTTGCGGTACCCAATGAACGTGTTGCCTCCCGATGCTACTGAGACACTACTGCCCTCGACAAATCCAGCATTTCGTGAGCCATTGTTGAAGGATTGAGTGCACAAAACTGGTAGTTGTTTGCGAGGCGCCGGAGAAGACAGGTAGCTCACGCGGTCACCCACTGAAACGACACCGTTGTCGATGTGATAACCCTGCTCCGCGTCGCTGTATTTGGCGTAGTCTTGGTATGAGAGGGCATCATTGAAATCGTCCTGATGCTGTTCAAGAGCAGCTCGGGTGATGAGCTTCTCATTCAAGGAAGCGCAGGCTGCCGCTGCACTGGCTTGGGGAACCGGGTCGAGGACAATAGCGCCAATGTGGTTCTTGTCGTCTGATCCATTGAGGTTGTTCTGATAGACAAGTGTCAAGGAAGATTTTGCATTTGACACGCCAGCGGTAGCGTTTGGCTGAGCTACTGGAGAAGCCTGAGAGACAGCTGCCAAACCAGCCGTAGCAGCGGCGACAAAGGTGGCTAGGACAGTCATCTTGAATGTTGACGAGGAGACTTGGTCAACAGCTGGAGTATCTTCCCCGTGCATCTTGGCCTTCTTATACAGCCCCGGCAACCCGGATGTCGTTAGGGTCGTAATTTATCAACCGTAGCGCCGGTGCTAGGCAGTGGCACTGTGCAAGAGGCTATTCAAATCAAGCCTTTGAACGCCGGTTTACCCCAGGAACCGATAGGTAGATCGATGCCTAGGCAGGGGCACTGGCAAAATACTAGTTAGTAAAGGTGGGCACCGTTATGGGCATGGTCGATTTTAGCGCCATGTCCGTCTCGACACGTGTGACAAGGTCATGATGGATTTCTGCATGTAGCAACTGGTGTGAAGGATACCCCAACCGGTTCCCATGCAACGGATAAAAATTTGCTATGCTTTTGAGGTCGAAGGTGCCATTGTCGCTGCCAAACGAACTCCAACAGTGATGTATAGGCCGCGATCTGGGTCAAGGCGGTAGTATTTAGCCGTTTAGCCAGCATATACGGTGGTTCAAGGACTAAGAGGCGTTACAGGGGTCGGAGTGGAGGTAGTCGCGATCTATTCGCGGGGCTTAGGTTTTCGGGGTGGGAAAAAGCAGAAGTGGATATGTTATGGGGTAATGGCCGGGTACAATGCGGGGAGTCGACCAGAACGGAGATTTGCCGACCATGATGTTAGTGTTAGCACAACTCGCGGTTTGGATCCAACGCCTTCCACTTTTTCGCCACAACCTTATATTCATTGGAGGTGCAGCGTGGACACGCACGCTTTTCTTTCAGTACGTGTTCATGAAGCATAGTCCAGACCGCGCTTTGGATAAGAAATCACCATACTGTCTAGGATAAACCAACCCTTCTGAGTAAGTTGACTAGAAACTTGACCTAAAACTGAGTCTTTTTCGCATCTCTCGTCAAAGACCGAGTCGCGCGGTATTCGTTGCAATTTCTACTTGGAGTTGCATGTGCGCGCAAACCGTACACATGGAAGTTGACACACAACCCGAGACTCGTATCTTGCACATGGTGTTGGAACTGAGATGGCAGTATGTCATTTGGGGTATGGTCGTGATAGGATGTCGTAGGCCATCATCTTGCAGGATTCGCAGATGGATCTTGTCTATCGCAGTGGGTCACGTTAGGCAGATCGGCAGCTGCAACACTGTGGCACAGCAAATGCTTATCTGGAACATGAGAACTCGAATTCGAGCTTCACATCCTGCTCTGTGTCAGCGCGAGTCAAGAAAACACAAATCTCATAACCTTTTTGTTTTTTGACCCCTCCAAAAGCAGCAAGCGTTTCTTTGCCTAGCGCACCTCAGCGTGGGCGCGGTAGATACGACCATTGTATTATTCAGTAGCTGAGATTGAACCGGGCCGTGGTCGGCACCATGTTTCTTGTTTGTTGAACAAGCACATAGCTACTCCGCAGTCTTAAGGCTTGGGGGCGCAATTGGCGCTGGCATGAAGACAGCGGGTGTCTGCATACAGGGTTCATCCAGGTCTGGAGAGACGACAAGGGTAAGTTTGATAGGTAGCTGAGAAGACTATAGTGAAATAGTTATGACGTCAAGTCATCGCTCAGACACCAGTATGTTAACACTATGTATGCGAACGTGCTGGTACACTATATGCAAAGTGGTCTAGCTCGTGTATCTCGGAATTGTCAACATTGTAGATAGAGTACATGGATTGGATCATAGGATTAAAAACGCCCTTTTCAGACCGATGCAAGGCACTCATAACCCAGCCATGGTTGTTTCGATAAGAAAAAAGAAAAGAAAAGACGGAGACTAACGACTAGTAATACATACATATATGTGTGTTGTCTGAGGATTGACCGCCATGATAATATGTCGTGGTAGTCGTTGAGGGATAAAGCAGTCTCGTAGTCACATGTCAGCACGGGCCGAATCATGAGCGTATAGACACTACACATGTATGCTTTTGCATCTTCGCATCTTATACCTCAATGCGCATGATTACTCCATGCATGTCCGCGCAATTTTTGTTTATTCCCGCAAACCCACTGCGCAAGAGTAGCACAACACAGTGAATATCCTTGTCCAAGCTCCACACGCTGTAACACCGCCGCACCATCGCACCGCTATTCGTCCCCGTTCAGTCGTTACGGCGGAGCGCCGGAAGGCCGGAGCAGAGACTTCCAATACGGGGGAGCTACGTTTCCGACGTTTTGACGTTGGCGCTGGAGAGGACCGCTATACGCTCCAATGACAGCTGTTACCATTCAAAAGGGAGATGAGCTGCAAATTAGCAGCGTGTGGGTGCCTAACTGCGGGGACGTGAGGCTGAGCGCCCCCCGCAGAGCCGTACAAGGACAACAGTAGATGGTGGCCTGAAGGCAGCACAGCATCATTGCTGACCTCCCAAGGATGGCGAAGGCGTCTCAAATATCAACAAAGGAGACGTTCAATGTCGATGATGGTGTGGCGGTTGCTAGGTAGGCTCGTATCCCTGGCAGCGCTCCACAAGAAATTACGCGCTACGAGTGTGCCTGACGCACGCACACAACTAACGGCCATGAAGGGTATCCGACATAGCCGGTACTGCGGTCAAAGAAGCAGTGCAGGAAAGACAACTGTAGTGCTGATGTCTGGGACTGGAAAGGCGAGCACGCGACTGTTGGCAAGTGGCAGTTCACTAGGTAGTTTGTCATAAATAGAGCAAGCTAATAGGAGGATCGCCAGGGTTCCGCGACTCCAGCCACACCAAAGTGGCACCTATATCCGGACCAACGTACAGGATGAGGTCAGACCAGTCTCCTAGCGCTTCCTGCCATTCCAGCCGTTTGAAGCGAGCCATGGTTGTCCGTGGTGTGATTGCAACATTTAACATGGCCGTCCGCCGCATGCCCAGAGGTGTACACTTCAACCATTCTACTAACCCCCTTACCACCTTGGCACCGAGTCTCTCTTGATACTACTAGCATGCGGTGTTCTTCTCTGCTGTCGGCTTCGGCACTAGCCAGCCTAGCGACCTGTAGGCGACACACCCAAACCCCCCCATGAACCGCTACTGACGCAGGTACAGCATCTGCCCTTGGCCCTCGCGATGCCAGAGTCGTCCCTCCTACAAGTGCTGTAGAATCATGGAAGCGCGCTGCCCCACAAGCCCCCAATGGCTATGCTCCCGCCGAAGTTACCTGTCCCTCAACACGCCCGAGTATTCGATCTGCCGATAGGCTCTCCAACTCCGAGACAGAATGGCTCAAGAAGAGAAGGCCAAACACAATAGAGCCCATGCGTGCCTTCTTGCAAAGGGCCAACATCCAAGGATTCGACGTCAACAGATACCTTGATACCCATCGCGACAACACCACAGCCCTGCCAAACATTGCAATCTCCTTCTCCGGCGGCGGATACCGTGCCTTGCTCAATGGCGCAGGTGCTCTAGCAGCATTCGACAACCGAACCTCCGGCTCGACAAATGCCGGTCATCTGGGAGGCTTGTTGCAGTCGGCTACCTACGTTTCAGCCTTGTCCGGCGGTGGATGGCTAATTGGAAGCATTTACGCCAACAACTTCACTTCGGTAGAGGATATTACCAAAGAGGGCGAGAACACTCCTCTCTGGCAGTTCCAGAACTCGCTTCTTAAGGGACCCCCCTCAAGGGGCATCCAGGTGCTTTCAACTGCTCAATACTTTGAGAACCTAGTCAGCACCGTCGGGGAAAAGTCCGATGCGGGATTCAACACCTCCATTACCGATCTTTACGGTCGAGGCCTCTCGTTTCAGCTTATCAACGCAACTGACGGAGGGCCTAGTACGTCCATAAGTTCACCACCCCATGTTCTACGCTAACTCATTTAGATTATACCTTCTCTTCTATTCAAGACGACCCTAGGTTCTCATCTGGAGACGCGCCCATGCCTATCCTCATAGCTGACGAGCGCGCGCCTGGGGATCTGATCATTTCCCTCAATGCTACCGTCTTTGAGTTCAACCCTTTTGAGATGGGCTCTTTTGATCCCACAACATTTGGTTTCGCCCCACTCAAGTACGTTGGCTCGAATTTCAGCCAAGGACAGCTTCCCCAGAATCAAGGTTGTGTTGCCGGATTTGATAATCTCGGGTTTGTCATGGGAACAAGCAGTTCATTGTTCAATCAGATTTTCCTCACATTGAACAGCGTCCAAAATATACCCGATATTCTCAGGAGCCTCGCAACTGGTATTCTAGGAAGGATTGGACGCGACTCAAACGATATCGCAGATTACACGCCCAACCCTTTTTACCAATATCACAACGACACAAACCCTAGCGCCTCCAGCAAGCGCCTTACGCTTGTAGATGGCGGCGAAGATCTTCAGAACATTCCTCTCAACCCAGTCATTCAGCCCGTGCGCCAGGTTGATGTCATTTTTGCTGTCGACTCGTCTGCCGACACTGTTATGTCGGGTAGCCCATCTCAAAATTGGCCCAATGGCACTGCTCTTATTGCCACCTACCAGCGTGCGGAATCGCCAATCATGAACAAGACGACTTTCCCTTACATCCCAGGTCACGATACATTCGTAGCCCTTGGCCTGAACAACCGGCCTACCTTCTTTGGCTGTAACAGCAAGAATGTCACACAGGGTAATAACATTCCTCCTCTCGTTGTGTACCTTCCCAACGCGCCTTATTCCTTCTGGTCCAACACATCAACATTTGAGAAGCTCTCGTACACCCTCGAAGAACGCGCTAGTATGATCAAAAATGGTTACGAGGTTGTAACCCAGGCAAACTCAACACGTGAGGGTGCCAACAACTGGCCTACTTGCGTCGGATGCGCTATTCTTTCCAGGAGTTTGGAACGCAACGGCCAGGCTGTTCCAGACGTGTGCAATCAGTGCTTCCAACGATACTGCTGGAATGGTACCACGGTTGTCAGCGCGGCGCCATACAATCCGAAGATGATCATTTCGGGAGCCAATGCCACACAGAACAGCGGTGTGAGCAGCTTTGTGCCCAACCTCCTTGGTCTTGCTCTGGTAGCTGCTGGGTCTGCCTACATGATGATTTAGGCGTTTGTTTTCTATCTTTGTACTCGTTGGATGACAACATATTTGCGGTGGTTTAAGCCTTGCATGTTTCTTAGCGTCGGAAGCACATGATACCTCTTTCCCATTATATAGCAATCTAGCCTTTGATTTATATCCTGAAATGTGCTTGTTGTCGGTCCCCCCATTATAAATGAACACATCGTCACTGGAGCTTTTGTTGCGGCTCGTCGGTAGCCCTGTCCGTCCCTGCATTAGAGGCCCGTGGCGTATGTATGGATGCCCCGCCATCCCACCTAGTAGCAAAGGGAAAAAAGCCATGACCCCGCCACACTTCTCTACGCAAACCAACCACAATATACGTAACCAACAAACAAACATACGAAATGGCCGTCCCAGCGCTCGAGGGTGCGCCTGTACTCTCAACGCCCGATACACACATCTTCGAAGACCCGACGCCGGCTGTGGATCCCTCGAATCTCCCTCGGTTATCAGATGAGCAGGTCGCGCTCACGTACGAGATTGAACGCACAGTCCGGGAAATACGAGAAGGAAAATGGAAGAGAATTGCTCTGCAGTTTCCAGATCATATGCTCGGCGATGCACCGAGAGTGTATGACCATTTGACTCGAGGACTGAAGAAGGAGCGGAAAGGGCAGAACAGTAGCGAACAAGAAAAGAGCGGGCAGTCGCTGAATGGCACAAAGGCATCGACTGTTGAAGAAGAATTGGCCACAGATATGAACAAGACGGGGATACAGGATAACGAGGGCGTTTTCGAGGAAAAACTGTTTATACTGGGAGACACCTCATACGGCGCGTGCTGCGTAGATGAAGTGGCTGCTGAGCACGTCGACGCAGATGTAGTCGTGCACTATGGCCGCTCATGCCTATCGCCGCCATCAAGACTACCAGTTATTTACGTTTTCACCGAGCGAGAGCTCGACATCGACGCCACCATTGCCACGTTCAAGGAGACCTACCCTGAAAAGGACAAGAAAGTAGTTCTCATGGCGGACATACCGTACTCGCACCACATCCCACGTCTATACCAACGCCTCCACGAAGACGGATACACAAACATCCACGCCACAGAAATCGTACACAAGCCCTCCTCACCCCTACCCAACCGCACCGTCCCACAAGAAGTTCAAGAAAAAGGCGACGACACCCTCCGCGACTACGCCCTCTTCCACATCTCCGACCCACCTACATCTCTCCTCCTCGCCCTCTCCTCCCGCGTATCCTCAATCCACATCTACTCCACCACCGCACCCGCCAGCTCCGCCTCCCTAGCCAGCACATCGAAAACCCTTAACAGACGCTACGCCCTCATTACCTCCCTCGCCACAACCCCCATCTTCGGCATCCTCATCAACACCCTCTCCGTGAAAAACTACATGCACATCCTTTCGCACGTCCAACAGCAAATCGCCGCTGCGGGCAAAAAGTCCTACACCTTCGTCGTCGGCAAGGTCAACGCGGCAAAAGTGGCGAATTTCAGCGAGGTAGGCGGCTGGGTCGTAATTGGGTGCTGGGAGAGTAGTTTAATCGAGAGTCGAGATTTCTGGCGGCCAATGATTACGCCGTGGGAACTTGGTGTTGCGCTCAAGGGCGATGCCGAACGTGTGTGGACAGGGGCTTGGGAGCCGGATTTTCAGAAGGTGTTGGATGAGGATCGCGAAAAGGAGAATCACGAATCGGTGGGTGGTGGAGACGAGAAAGAGAAAGAAGGTGAAGATGGCGCAGAGTACGATTCAGAAGAGGAATCCCAACCCCCAGAGTTCGATCTTAGAACTGGTCAGTACGTCTCACATGCAAGGCCGATGCGGTCTGCTGCAGCGAGGAATACGACAAAGGCTGTTGCGAATGGTGATGGTGCACCTTCGGCTAGTTCTGCGCTGACGAAACGTGCGAATGGAGATATTGCGGCTGTGGGTGGTGTCGCGTCGCCCGGTGCAGAGTATCTGCGATCGAATCGCACCTGGCAGGGCTTGGGTAGTGATTATCAGAATGGAGAAGATGGAGAAGAGGGGACGGGGAGTGCAAGGGCGGCGAAGATGGAAGAGGGGAGGAGTGGGATTGCGAGAGGGTATGTTGTTGGGGATGAGGGAAGGATACATTGAGGAAAAGAAGGATGTTGAAAAGGGACTTTGCTGTAAAAGTGGTATTACTTGTATATGTATATTCTGGCTTCATGTGGGCTCATCGCTCGAAAGAACAAAACGTTGTTTGACCCCTCCACATTATTCACGATACGTTATCATCATATATCATCATCATTGTCGCACACCTGTCAACAAAAACCGCTTCACCGCATACCGAGAGCAACCCGAGCCCAAGCTGTTTCCATGTCCTCCACCAAAGTGAGAAACTCATCGCTCTCGAGATGGCGAAAGATAAACTCGTTGAGTGCTGCTCTGCGTGCTTCATCAGGTTGCATCGTATATGCTGCTAGACGTTCGATATCATTAGCTCCGGGTGTAGTACCACTGGCAACGAGCACGTTCGAGATATGGTGACTAGCTTCTGATACTGTAGGTGTAGTGGGTGGACGACGAAAAGGTCCCGACACTGGTTCTTGTGTGTTCCTCACCTCAACACCTGACGTACTGTGATTCTGTAGCAATACCGAATTAGGGGAACTCGAATTTGCGAATGATAGTGGAGAAGACAACGGAGACGAGAATGCTGTGGGTGACGATGCATGCCCAGAATGGTTATTTGGGGATGTCTGTGCACGTTGAAATAAGTTCTGGTCCTGATTCGGTGTATGAGGGGGTTGTCGCATTGGCTGCTTGCCACGGCCAACCTTGTCAATTACAGTAGGTTGTGGCAGAGGAGGGAGCTCAACATCCTTACTGTTTGCGCTGCGACTGGATCCGGGTCGTTGGGCAGCTGAGCGTGGTAGAGCAGGGGGACCCATCAACCCGGTGGATGGCCTACTATCAGAAGCTCGCCCACTATCGCTTCCCGATGATTTTGGCTCTGATAGGCGTTGAAAAGGGAGTTCTCGTCGTGGCGGTAGCAGTTCAGCAGTACCTGGGCGGTTGAAAAGCATTGCAGTCTCTGGGCGCTCAGTAGATGCTTGTGGAGGTTCTTCTACAGTAGAGCGAGAGTGATCTGAGGAGGAAGAGACATCTTTCCAACTACGACTCAGGATATCAGCGGTGGCCGATTGAGGCCGAGGGAAAAGCACTGGCGGATTCAGAGGACTGGAGAAAGAAGCTGTAGTAAGAGTGTCTCCTCGGTCAGAGGTTGGGGTAGCGAATGAAAGACGAGTGTTAGTAGCTGCTTGTAAGTGAGGTTCGAAAGTCGTAGATGCATTGACGGCAGTGCGAGGTCGATTGGAGATTTCTGCTAATCGCGATGGGGGGCAGGTCAGTCCGCCTTCTGTGTTGGCACTGCTCATGGGTCGCTCAGAAGAAGCGGCAGATTCAATGTTAGGTCTGAAGAGTGATAAAAGTGCTTGTGCTGGTCTCGGAGATGGAGCTGTTATGGATGATGGAGTGTTGTGCCCAGTCATGTGAAGGTCGATTTGACGAAGGCGATTGAATGCCGTGTCGAAGTCTTTTTCGGACTTGAACCTGATTTGAATACGACGAACCTGTACTCTGTGTCAGAGCTGCAGGAACTGAAATAGCTATTTGCGTACTTTTTGATTGGGCAATCGCCATCGGATAGCAAGCAATGGGCTGCGAACAATGGCGGAGGTTGGCAGCTGTTCCGCCTGCATCTGCACTCCTTGATCTTGCATTTGACGAATCAATTTTTCTCCTTCCTTTACGAGTCGCTCTATCTCTATAAGGTGCTGTGTTTAAGAAATTAGCAAGTTTGTTGAACACATGTAGTCAGTAGCTCCGTGTTGAAGAGGTATCAGGCATGCTTGTCTCGTACCCGAACCTGCGTGCCCTGAACCACTTTTATGAGCTGAGCATTATCGCGTCCACCATAGCTGTCAATTACGAAAGTGAGGTCATATGTTTCTTTCTGCCAGTTGAACTTCTGCTGCTTGGCATCCGCGTCTTGAGCCGTGGACAGGCTCGTAAGCGGAAGTGAGAGCATGACAGTTAGTGAGTGGTACGTGGCTGTTGGTTAGTTGGAGATGAAGTATGCCTTCAAGAGATGAATGACTTGGTTGTCAAAGCTCGGTTCTAGCATAATGCTATCCCAAGTCATGGGCATGTGGCTGTGAGAAGACGTGAGACGGATCAAGGAAGTCGCGACTGGGAGATGGTCACATGACCTTGGCGCTAGATGAACGCGGTGGATTCTGGAGTTCTGGTGTTCGCTCATCCATCATCGCGACCGAACGCGCGCCGCGCATTCACCAGCAGATCCACCATTGCGCATGTCGCACCGCTCAAGCCACGCATGTATCCCGATCCGTGCGTCCGTAGTTTCCAGTGAATGCGACAGCCGCAACATGGCCCCAAACAAAACAGAGGAAACCTCCGTCGAGCCCACTCAAGAACGGGAAGAGTTTCTAGATACCTTGGCCGAATACCACGAAAAGCGCGGGTGCGTCATCTTGCCTGTTGTCTTGCACCCAGCGCACCCATATTGACTAGACGTGTAGGACTGTGCTGGATCGCGAGCCAAAGATCGGTAATCGACACATTGACCTTTTGCGCCTTTACAAACGCGTGAATGAAGAGGGAGGATACGACAAGGTTTCTGATACCAAGAACAACAAGCTTGCGTGGCGGAGAATCGCCTCGGAATTTCTCCCTAAGAGCCCCAGCATAACAACTCAAGCCTTTCTGGTCAAGACTGTCTACTACAAGAACCTTGCGTATGTCCAGGCCTCGCGCCTCACCCTGCGGTTCACCCCGGCTGACACACGAAATAGTGCATACGAAATATCCACAGTCCACAAGCGCGAACCCCCGCCACCTGAAATCCTCGAGAACGTATCCGCCAAGGGTGGGGACTTGCTGAATCGTACCGTAGAGAACTTCCACCCGCCTAGTAGTCGGGAAGCCGAGCGACTAAGGGGAGAGGAGGAATCAGACGAAGAAGACGACATGGAGAAGACACCCAAAGAAGACAAGATGGAAGTCGACGATTCCGCCAACCTTGGGCGGTCGACGCGCTCCCTCCGCCATGCGCCGCCCCAGCGGGTGCTGTTCCAGCCTGAAGCCTCGACTCGCCAGACCCGCCAATCCACGGGCCACCTGAACTCATCGCAAGCCAACGGATATGGAACAAGTGGAGCCGCCATGACAATTGCCAACTATGAGCCACGAACAGCTGTGCCAGCCACCATGAAACCCGTCGTAACTCCCTCGAACTCCCTCGATACATACGTGCAATCGCGCAAGAAGTACATCCTCAACAAGAAAAACAGGCCAGTCCCACTGAAAGGCATGATGCTACCCGGTACCGGCTTTCCTGGGCCCAGCATTTACATTCGCGCTCTCAATGCGCTGCGGTCAAAGGAGCCCGAGGAGGAGGCATATGCTCTTCACCATTTGGTCAAAATATCCCACGAGCGAGGCGACAAGTACCGCTTCGATCAATTTCCGGGACTTGCAGAAGCACTCATAGCCAAAGTCATCGATGTGGGCGCGCTCTTCTACGATGTGAGCTGGGACATTTCTTACCTCGAAGAGGAATTCAGTAACCCACAGACCCTGAATGGGTTGTCTGGCACACCCGACCTGCTTGAGCGCATCTCTTCTCTCCGCACGCTCGACATCCATGACAGTCTCCTACCTGAACAGACAGCCAAGTCGCTCAACATGATCAATGAGGCAGCACTGATTATCCGGAATATGGTTATGCTGAAGGAAAATGCATTGTTTGCCGCCCTCGTACCGTCCATTCAGGATATGATCGTCATTGCCCTCAATCTACCCACCCATCCGTCTGTAGTAGAGCTGCAGCATTACGCCCTTGAGATTACCGAGCAGTTGACGAAGTATTGGATGCTAGACTCTCAAAGTCCGCTCTACCGTTCTCTGCTAGCGCAAATCGACACGGATGACCGTGGTCGGATCATTACCTCTTTGAGAGCACTTGCACGAATATCTATGAACCTTGATGTTACAAACAAGCTCTCGAAAGTACCGACGAAGACTCTCAAATCAATATGTGACTGGCTACTAGTAGAAGACGAAGATCTCCGCATAGCCTGCCTAGACTTCCTCTACTTGTTCACTGGTTTCCCAGATAATGTTGAGACACTTGTACACGAAGTCGATATTGAGGGTGTCATCAAGCAATTGGTGCGACTGTTGCAGTATGGTGCAATTGCTTATGAGGAGCGTAGAACCACCCCAAAGACTACGAAATCATCAGCGCCACCAGAAAATGCACCAAAGCTGTCGTCCGCTATCATCGATCATCTAGTCACTCTTGATGAACCAGAGAGAAGTTCGCAATGGCTCAAGACGTGTTTCGAAGAGGATCCTACGGGCGAAATCACACAGATTCAACTTTGGTCAGCATACAACGCAGCCTTCTCAGAGCATATGGCACATAACCCGGCCTCTTTTAAGGCCCTCATGCCTGCAAAAGATTTCATCACAAACGTGTCAACTACGTTTGGTGGTGCATCTGCTCAAGTTTTGACTGTCGGTGGGCAACCAAAGTATACCATAAGAGGTATACGACCGCGTTCCGTACCAGTTGATCCGAGCACCAAGCGGCCATATATGCGCTGCTGCTGGCACCCACCGAGCTTGTTGAATGGTCACACGGATGGCAAACACTCCACGGCCAATGTCGAATGCGGTGAGTTTGCATCTGGTGCGAGATCTATGTGGGAACACGTCGTGAGTGTGCATCTCCAAGTCCCTCGTGATCAGGAGACAGGTCAGTGGCTGCTTGAGCCCAAGCCGGATATCGACATGAAAAACGGAGACGCGGTTTCGGCAAGTCCACCTTCGAAATACTTCTGTCACTGGGGTGGTTGTACGCGCTTCTCTCCCGATGGTACAGAATCTGCGTTTGAAGCTGGACAGCATCTGAAGACACATCTGCCAGACACAAGCATCAAGCATGCTATTCATGCAAAGCACAACCGGACACCATCAGAATCTCGGCCCATGACTTCTTCCTCACAGATGCGACACGAAAGTCTCCAGCCGCAATTCGGACAACCCGTAGGATTGAGCGGCTTAGGCATGAGCGGTCGACCCCAGACTTCAACCAGCTCCGTCAGCAGAAACGGCATGGGCAGGGAGGATTCGTCAGGCCCACACTCAGCTCCAAACTTCCGGTATTATAACACCGCCACCGATGAAGCTAACGATGCGGCCGGCCTTCCTCTGTCCTCCGTGCTCGTCCTCCGCAATCTCGCCCGTCAGCTCAACAAGATCCCGCCGCCAACCTCCGTCACCGAAATCACATTACCCTCTTCTCCAACCCACAAGCGCGCATTCAGTGCTAGCGAAGGCAGTCCTGAAGCTGCGAGACGAGCTACGACAAGCGGTAAGAAGCCGCGTCTCAACGATGCAGCGTCCGAGCAAAGACGCGAGAACGAAGAGAGGGAAGAGCAAGAAGCGAAGAATGCAGGATGGGTCCCGCGCATGTTTACTCCGTTAAGAGACCAGATTGCCTTCACGGCTAGTCATAATCTTACGCTGAGGAATTATATTGGTGGGCTGCTGAAGGCTATTGCTGAGGGTGGAGGCTGATCTTGTTTTATCTACCATCCCTTATAAAAAAGAAAGTAGCTAATCTTTTGGCGTTTTGATGGGCAGAGGAGTGATGTGTTACTGTGTTGAGCAAAGCGTTTTCAAATGGGTGTCTGTTTGGAGTTTCTGCTTTTGTCTAGAGCAGGACTTTTGTATGCCTCGAGGGGAGGGGCTTTTTTTCTTCTCTAGGTATTTTCTATGCAAGTGACTTGAGCAATGGAAAGAAGTGCTAGTTGGATGTTCTCATTTTTTGGTCCTCCGAGTCTTATGCTTCGTTACATACAGCTTCATATCATGTGGGTGATGTGAGCAGCCCTTTTCGAGAACATTTGCGTCACAATGGTCTCTGGAGTTGTTTTGTTCGGATTGAAGAAGAGGCAGACTCGATACCTTGACTATATGCTATGACTATGCAACCGAATAACGAGGTACAAAAGACTCAAGTTTCTCATTTCAGAACACAAGAGCGCATCCCCATGCTAATCAAAAGGTCTCCTTCTCCTCGAAATGTTTCCTCATCTCATACACGGACATGAAAGGAATAACAAAGATGGGATGAACAGGCTTCACCACATCGCCCTCGTCCCATACAACCTTTTGATCCCCAGCATATCGTCCTTGCGACTTCCAATGATACGGGGCACCGTAATTCCCTGTACCCAGATTCTTATTCACGTTCTCGTCGTACACGTACACGTACTGTGCGGCACTGAGCCCAGCAAGGTTGTAACACGTGTGATAGGCATCAGAATGCTTCCCAGGCTTGTCTTTGAGGCCACCTTTCTTCTCCTGGCAAGCAGCCAGGATGTAGCGGCCCAGAGCAGCGCGGTTCCACAGACCGGTGGCGGTTGCGGCTTCGACAATGGACCAGCAGCCGCCGACCCAGTGGGAGTAGCAACCATCGACAAGCTTGTTTGTGCGGCCGTTGTACCCGCACTCAGGCGAGCACTGGCGCGACGAGAGCCAACGTGTCAATAAATCGACGTCGAGATACTTGTGTAGAGTATCCTTTGGTGGGCCGAGGATGGACAGACAGCCTAGGCCGCAGAAGGCGTAGGCGCCGTGGGCCTCGTTGCCGGGGGCGGCTGAAATACCTCCGTCCCAGGATTGGCATTGGGAAACCCATTCGCCCAGACTGTCGGTGAAATTGGTCAGGCCGTGTTGCCGTGCCGGGGCGTCAGGTGGGAGCTCGAGCGGGAGATTGGTGAGGGATAGGATGACCATGGCGCAGAAGGCGCCCCGAATGTCTTCCTCACCGCCTTGACACATGGTGAAGCCTCCGTCTGCTTGCTTCATGCGCCCGAGAAAGTGCCACAGCGATTTGCGGTTGATGGTCTCATAGGCTTCTTCTCCTCCGACCATGGCGATGGAGAGAGTCGCCGCATATGTGCATGCAAGGTGTGCATATTGGCCATAGCCGCC